CCTTTTTGTTATTTAGGTCCTGAAATATGTAGTAATTAGCCTGATTCATCTTCCTCCAAGACCTTTAATTGAAAACATTTAAACAGACAAGCTTCTCAGACCCAAATCCTCTTGCAGCAAATTCAAAACCTTCTCTAAGATCCAATCTTTGGACAGAAAGCAAAAGTAAGTTTGGGTCACAGAGTGAAGACTGTAGCTTCAAGCATTTTGAACTTCACATGAATAAGAGGAGGAAAGTTAAGAATCATTGATTTGTGGCATACATTATTTTAAAGGTACAGTGTGTAGTAATGGGAATACTTTGCAATCTCTAGCAGTCACATTTTAGGAAGAAATGCCCCCTTGCTCACCCCTTCTATCAGTGAAAGGATAGTGGCCTGGGAGGACAAGGTTTCTGCACGATAAGATAAGAAGAAGAACTTTATTTATCCCCAAAGTGAAATTAAATAAGTATAATGATATAATATAATATAATATAATATAATATAATTTAAGTATGATAAGTATATATAAGTATGATCCTCCAAATAAAACTTTGCATTTACGACATAATTACATAAATCATTCACATAAATGATACATGAAATAAGATCTAAAACAGACCCTTGTGGGACACCTTTGTTTATATTATAAAACTAATTTAAACCTTCAGCTTTAACACTCTAGTTCTCACCACTAAACCGTTCATGGTGAAAACCAAATGTTAGTAAGCCTCTGCAGAAGAATCAAGTGAGAATGGACCTAAAAGACAGAAGTGATGACCATATTTGGACAAGAGGGAGGAGACACATTGTAACCCTAAATCCTTATTGACAGGCTCAGCCTAAATCAGCCCCTGTTTTATTTTCTATTTGACTATGACTTTGATCCAGAAAATAAACATATTATGCAGATATTTTCTGTCTTTTTTTAGTCCTCTACAGGACAACAGGACCAGCTTTGGGTCCACAGAGACTTTTGTTTGTTGAAGGATCAGATTTTGGGATAAAAATTATAAACATGTAATATGTCTCAATTTGGAGGTATTTAGATATGATACATGGCTCGGTGGCACAATGGACAGCACATTGCACTTCTAGCTTAATACAGAAGAAGTGATTTAAGGCTTGTGGGTTTGAGCCCCACCAGAGTGGAGCTTTAAAGGTTTCATTACAAATTGCTCACAGTGTTCAAAGTGCCACCCACACCTCCTCCTCTTACACCACCTTTTGTTTTGGCATTCCTCAAGGCAGACTGTTGGGTCCTCTACTACCTTTACACCCCTTCAACACCATCATGTTGATTGTTTTGGTACATGACGTAGTAAGCCAACCTTAATACCACTACCACTAAACGACCCAATCTTAATGAACAGAAAGGGGCATATCCCCACCTTGCAGAGGAGGACAGAGTTTGTTGATAAATTGATTCTTAGTTGGTGCTACAGTGTGACGAGGACAGATGGTTTTGACTTTAAGTGCTCTGAACAACGTGTGTTGAAGAGGCAGATGTGCTGGAGGAAGTAAGTGGTCCAAATAAACAATTACACAATTGTTTATGATTTTGATCCCCATGCATCACAGCTTTCATATAAATTTTAACACTTTGTGCATTCTTCATCAGTTAGACTCCAAAATAGGGTCTGGGTTTAAAAATAATCATTTGCCTTTAACAAATAGTAAACTGAATAGAGTTGATACTCCCAAGATACACCACATCACATTGAAGCAAGCCAAACAAGTGACTCAGTGCTTCTGAAGCCCGGCCAGTAAACTTGCAGAGTATTGAGGTGGAGCCAAAAGAGGCTGCTGAAATGTGTGAAATGTAGTGCAGAGTATTGAAAGCCTGCCAAGAGGCTCACTGTACAGGAGTAATGAAACCGGCCGACACTGTGAGCAGACATGGACGGGAAGATGAACTGTCGCCAGAAAGCACAGCGAGCGCAGAACTGACACCCAGCCAAAAAGTCCTACGAGGCCACAACCATCCTGCTTACTAATCAACTACAGTACAGAGTCGGAGAGAGAGAGAGAAAAAGGGGGGGAAAGGGAGGAGGAGGGAGGGCTTGATGTCTGGAGGCAGGCTGCGGGGAGCAAGGGGCTTCATGACATTTTGCTGATTCATGCTCAAAGCCGAGGCAGCAAGAGAGGAGCTGAGAGTCTGTCAGGAATATCAAACATCACAAACACCTGATGAGAAAAACACACCTGCTGACAAAACATTAGAACCCAGCAGGAAAAATTCAACAAGACTGTCTGCAAACTGTTCAGTCAGGGAGCAGAATTTGATCAGTAACCTATTGTTTGAAAACTGAAGTCTCTTTCCCCAGTTTTCAGCATTTTATAAGACCTGTGTTTGAGTAAAATCATGTTTTCTCAATATTACTGTTGTTCAGTCAAAAAGAGACTATTGTGATTAAATCTTTTATATCTCTGTTAAAAACAAATTTTTATGAATGTGCTTTCATAGGAGTTGTTATCTGGGCATGTCTTAATCCTTCTGAGACTGCTTTTATTTTAATTTTTGGAGTAACAATGGCAGCATCATTTTATTTATTTTTTATACTTTAATCTTGTGAGTTTTATTTTTTCCTTTTTTTCCACTGACAGTTTTTCCCTCCCTTGTTTCTGATTTAAAAATGTGCATTTTTAAATGGGTGTGTATGTGACTTCTGAGACTTTTGGGGACAGCCCCAAGTGGACACTGGAAAAACGACATTTTTTGGCACTTTAGTGTCGACTCAAATTCTCAGGATCTGAGGTTGCCACTGGGATAAAATAAAATAAATCCTCTACCTCTCCTATGAAATCTTTGATCGTTCTGTGCTTATGGATAAAGCTCTAGAAAATTCTACATAATTCAACATAAAGTGACAACAATGAAACTTTTTAAAAAGTTTAAAAAAAGGTTTAAGTGCTGTTTTTGAATCCAAAACTACATAAGTGTGTTAATGTTTAATTACAAATTTGATGTCAAATTTGATTGTTTCCTCTTTTACTGTTTTTGCCTGTGATGATTGAACATCAAACACCTGAGCTCACATTTTAATGTTTATAATCTCTTAATGTTTCCCTTATCTTCTGCTGCTCTTTCTTTGTTCTCCTTTCATGACTGTAAATGATCGTTCAGATCACAGAGAGTTAAAAGAGAGCCTCTGATTGATCCATAATAGACCCCTGATTGATCTGTTATTGATCACTGATTGATCTAGTCTTAAACACTGATTGATCTCACCTCAGGAGTCACAATTAGCTAACATCCCACCTGGATCACAGACAGAAACCACAGGAGGAAACTAAAAATCCTACATTTTGGTTAAACAAGTTTCATTTTGGGGTCCTCTCTTACTCTAGATGTTTAGTTTATATTTAAATATAAAACTTGATAAATGAATTGTACTAATAAGAGGTGAAACCAACCAGGCTAGTATATTTTATCAATATTAAGCTGTAAAAAAGAAGTGTGATTTAGATTGTGCTCTGTTCTGGTTTTGTGGTTGTTGGTCTCTGCCTGTTGTCTGGTTTAAACCCTTTATAAGTTTTATTTATCATCCATTTATTTTATGCTTGATGCGTATTTATAGGTGTATTACCAACCTGCTGGGGGAAACAGATGGAGATAAGCCCATGGCTACAATCCGGCACATTTACATACTCATGGTCATACACACTGTCCTTCACAACACACAAATAAAAGAATGAATGAATAAATAAATAACTAAATAATAATAATCCCTACTGAAGCGATGACATTTAAGCATCACATGCTTTCATATCTCTGTGTTTGTTTGTTTTTATTTTTATTTTAAAAGGACAACAATGGAGTGGCTCCTCATAGTGTACAGTACTTGATTTAGTTTTTTTAAGACTTACAAAGAAGTCGCAAATAACTGCACTGTTTACAGAACCCAGATACTTTCAAAGAAGTCCTGCCTCTGACAAGACAAATATCCTGGGGAGGCCAATCAGGTTGGAGTGAGTGGGGTGCAGTGCCACCCCTGGTCGCCCCTCTGGACATAACCCTGGATGGGAGTAGTCTTGTCAATTTGGGTGGTACTTTGCTGAATATGGAGTTTTTTAGAAGAAAGGCTATAAAACTGACAGAAAGACAATTTGTATTTGTCTCCATATTATGTTTACGTTTCAGCAGCTGCTGTTTGAACAAGAAAAAAATCACTGATGCTCTTCATTTACTTCTTGTGTTCAGTTGAACATACATGTGTATGTTCTGAAAATATTCCCGCACAAATAACAGTGCTCCGCTCTTCTACCCTCATGATTTACATATTCAACTAACTGTTGCTTGATATCAGCTCTAATTTCAGAATGACCTGAATAAAACGTCAAAGGTCTGAATCTCAGACATCTGTGTACTTCGGGATTCTCTTTGTGCTTACTGCAGCAAACAGCGACATCTGCAGGCCACTATAACGCACTGCGGATTAACCTGAGCCAACTGAGGAGATCCAGAAACCTGGACAAAATGTTGCATGTGTGAACATCGGTGCAGGAGGAGTTTAAATTTATAAAACAGCTTACATAAGTTATTTCCTTTTAGAGGCCCATAAACATAAGAGCCAAAAATCACTGTAAGAGTTGAAATACATTTCACCTCAACCACCTGAGATAAAACAGATGCCCTGAATAAAATTATTTGAATTCAAGTACTAAACTGTGACGCCTGTCTGTATTTGTATGAATCTGTTAACGTCGTTTGAAGACAAATGAAAGTTTAAACGGAGATCAAGTGAGCTAAATGAAGATGTTAACCGTCAAACAAAGAGTTTCCATGTTCAGACATTATCACATCATTATTCCCTTTAAAACATCACAGAGTTAAAAGGTCGAATCAAAGTCCGGGTTTCCTCTGATGTCTGACTGAAGTCCAGTCTTCAGACGCTCTGATGGCTGAAATCAGGACTCTCATTAACATATTAAAGAGCTGTCAGGTGTTTGATGGGGGGGCCACACTCCTCTTTAAAACTTTCTTCAGACCTCACTAACTTTAATCAGACCCTCATCATGGACAGAAGCACAGTGACGGACTTCAGCATCGACAGGATCCTCTCCTCACAGCTCGGACTCAAACCGACCGGGAAAGATCGATCACCGGGCGGTTACCTCCAGGAGATCCCGGGGGGACGCAGCCTGGACTATGCTGGAAACTTTACGGCACCTGTACCGGTCCCGGTTCCAGTGCCAGTCCCGGGCTGCCTCCATTACCGAGGGATGGGCTTTGGAGAGGCGTTGTACCCGTACGGAGGCGGATATCAACACACAGAGTATACCGGATTTTACCCAAACCCGGGAGTTTACCTGCACTTCAACCCTCAGCACCCAACAGGTACTTCACATTTTACTCTTTTACTTAAGTGTGTATGAAAGAATTTTTTAAAGAAACGAAACGATCGTTTTTCTGACATTACCAGGTAATAAATGAGATAACTTTTTGTAGCCTAAATATTTTTTCCTGCAAATATTTAACCTAGTGTAATTATCCGTTATTTCAGAAAAAAAACTAATATAGTTTGGTTTTCTAATTTTGATTTCTTTCAATTCCTAGATTATATCCAATGCTTTGGAAAACTACAGGCCTTATTTTTTCGCTCATTTAGAAAAAAATAGCGCAATTAACTTTTTTTTCTGTGGGTTACTATAACTGAATTCCTAAATTGAAATCCTAAAATACTTTACAAATCTCAATCCACCCTGAACTGATGATAAAATATGAATTTGAAAGTGTTTGTAAGATATTGTTTAAGTGTATTTTCGTTAAAATGTGGCTTTTAATTCTTTCTACCTAGACGCTCACCCGTTATCAGGTTACCATGACTACCACCAGGCCGCTGTGTCCGCGCAGCCGCAGTCACGCCAGAAGTCCCGGATGAGGACGGTGTTCACGGATAGTCAGGCCAAACAGCTCGAGACGCTGTTCGAGCTCACAGACTATCCGACGGTGGAGGCGCGTGCACAGGTGGCGAGACTCACCGGGTTGAGCGAGGAGACCGTCAGGGTGAGTTCAAAGTCTGACTCTCAGACTGTCTAAAAAGACAACCATCAGTGCTGTCAAAGTTTCTCTGGAGGGAAAGATGCTGTTTATGTCTGATTCTTTTTCTGCTGATAGGAGGAGTGGTCATATACTAAACTCCCCTTTTCTGTCTGGTTCCAGGTTTGGTTCAAGAACCGTCGAGCCCGCAGGAAGAGGCAGCGCAGCGGGTCAAAGGTCAAATCCCCCTCCCCACCCCCCTCCCCAGGAGCAGAGAGGAAGATCTTCAGCTCCTTTCTCTGAACCTGGAAGACCATCCACCTGCTGCTCAGAGGAATTACTCGTCCTGTGCTGCTACTCTCCACCTCTGTGCTACCGCTCTCCACCTCAGAGGTCAGAGGTCAGCATCCTGCTCACGCTTCACACTTCAGCAGAGAGGCAAACATCTGCTCACTGCAGCTGCTCTGACGATGCATTCGGAGGCTGCTGGGAAAGTCAAGTATCAGAGGACATGACATGTTTGCTGTTGTCAAACCTTTGTAAATGACGTTTTTTTTTAAATTATTTTTTAAAAGTAGGTCTAATTTATTAAAACAGTATTTAAGAGACACTGTTTTGGAAACACTGGTATCTTTTGTTATCTTGATTGGTGTCACTGAGAAATAAACGTCATGATATGAAACCTGTCCTTATTCTCTTCGTACCGTTATTTTGGATGATTTCCTTTTAGCAGAATTTTTTAATGTGAAATTAAATAAAACATTTACATTTTTACCATCTACTTAAATATGCAGCAAGATGAAAGGAAAACCTGGATTTAGGACCTTTGAATAAAACTCTCAGACACTTCAGAAATTGCATAATAATCTTGGATCAGGATGTACAGTACCTTTGCCCCCAAGAAAAAATGTTGTACTTTGGAAATGTGCCACTAGGTGTCGGTGTCAGTGTCGCTACCATATGGTCGCTACGTACATCTGCAGATTCAGGACCACAGTCCCAGGACTGCAGTTCTAAGAGTCTTCTTGTTTGTGACAGATGCACAGCTCAGAGAAAGATGATTCAGGTGTTTTCGTGAGTAACAACACAGAGACAGAAAAGCTAGAAAAACAACATCAAATTCTTTATTATAGTCATAGAGTTGTCACTGTAATTATTAGAAGCATTTCCATGCTGATGAGAAGAATATACATTTACTGAAAAAAACAAACCAGAAAATACTGAGAGAGAAAGTCACAGAGAGAGAGAGCATGCAGTGAGTATCTGTTAGGATGAGGACGTCCGATACTTGTACTCCCGTTTCCCCTTAATGTCCATCAGCTTCACACACTTTTAAAACAGGAGTTACTCACACACATGGACCGTAACCGAGCACATAATGAATGCACATACATTACAAAACCGGGAAACATAAAGTACACTTAGTGAAGTTATCAAAATATAGGCTATACACTGTTTATTCTTAAGACGTATTCATGTTAAAACAACCAGTGCTGAGTTAGTTTTATAAGAATGAATTGAAGGTTATCCTCAGACATAAATGCTGATCCATTACAGAAGATTTAAGGGACAAAACTGGTGATACTGAGTGTTTTAGCACAATAAATACGCTACAGAGTGGCTGAATATCTTCAAAATTAAAAAAAATGCATCACTCTGTGGAGTGATGCATTTTTTTTTCCAAGGTTAGCCTAGTATTTTTGGAGCCTATGCCAAGCCAAACTGTGAAAAATCTTTGCAGCCATATGGGTCAGGGTTTCGACAAAATTTTACTCTATAGATCTTCTCATTAATAGAATGGCATACATGGTCTGGAAATGTAGAAATAACCTTCAAACTTTTGAGAGAAACTGAGTGAAAGAGCAGAAAAATGTGGTGGTGTATAATGAAAAGAGCTAAAACAGATGACACCAGTTTAGACCCTTAAAGGAAGCAAATCTAACAGATCAAATGTATGAAAAAGCTTCTGTAACACGTTGTTCATGGTGGGATGATTAACCGGTGACTCACTAGTGACACTTAGTGGCCGAACCAGAGCAAGCTCCACAATTACACTGCAGAAAGAACACAATGTTCAAACCAACAGGGACATATTGACTGTACTGTACGTTTACTGTACAAAGACGAACCTCACCATCACTGTGGTCCACTGACATCTATGTTCACCTATAGGATGAGGGAGGTAAAGGATCCCTACTCTGTGGGGATTTAGCATTAGCATGTACTGTGTGTGTCTGTGAGAGAGAGAGTAAAATTATAAACAGGGTTAAACTTCATCATCTGAAGTAGCAGTTTTGTTAAGGTTTGGCTGAGAAAAGATGCTAACAGTGAAAATTTGGGAAAATAAAGCAGTATATCATCTGCATTTCACTTGAGTGTGGTGACAAGAAATCGGTTTCCAACAAATTCAAAGGCCAGTTTCAAAAACTCAAAGGGATTTCCACCTTTTATTTAAGAGGTGTCAGAGTTTTTTGGGTCACATTTCAGCCAGACAAATGTGGGTTTCCTTGTTCAGAAATAGTTATCATTAACTTTTTTTGTTTTGTCTTTGGGACTAAGAGAGAAATTCACTAGCCATTTTCTTGTCCCTGAACAGAGCTGAAAACTTTAAGAGCTTCATCCCAGAATAAATTTTGGGCAACACTTGGACGCTTGGAGGCCTTGACTGACCACACTTTTCCTACAAATGTCTGACATTGTTCCTCTATTTAGTGACCTGAGCTGCAGCCTGTTCGGCCAAAACATCTCCACATATCATATCAGGAGTTTGTGTCCAAAGCTCTGGTCGCCCAGGAAGGCGCCACACCAGCCATCCTGAAACTCATAGAAAAGCTTAGGAGCTGAGAGTGCAGAGTTTTGTGAGAATGGAAAAGTTTTGGTCAGACTATGATCTTGTGCTAAATTGAACACCTGATGAGATTGAGCGCTGTAGTTGTCATTAGCAGATATTGAAGCTGATTCCACAGGCACAAAAAGAACAATAATTATCAACAGCAGAGTGCAGGAGCAACCACAAAGTGTTTCTTCTGGCCGAGGCTGCAGAGCAGCTGAACAAAATCACCAACTACAGAGCTCAGTTTGGTGGTTTCACTCAAAAAGAAATGATCCCTACCATTAAATGTTCCAGATTTTTAGGGAGAGACAGAAAAACTGGGATTGCTGATGCATGAGGCTGAATTGAACTTCTTTTGAAGGAAGGCCTGGGTTAGGGTTAGCCTTGGAGACAGGGTCAGGAGCATAGAGTAGAAAGGAGAGAGCTGAGGTGGTGCTTAGGAAACCTCCTGGAAACCTCACTGTAGAGGTGTTCTGGGACAGTTACACCAGACAGAAGCCTTGGAGTAGATCCCAAGCTTGCTGGAAGGATAACATCTCTCATCTGGGCTAAACAACATGGGATTCCCCAGGGGGAGCTGAAGATGTATGTTTGGTCAATTTCTAAGTCACTGAAATGTCGGCATACCTTCACAGATCAGATTCTTTTACAGCTCTGGTGGCTCGTTCTAACTGTTTGACTTCTCACAGTGCAGCCTCGGCCGTCAGAGTGTGAGCGTGTTCATCTCTCTGTATCCGTGTGCTTACAGAGTGTAAAGAGACATTAACACAGGAACCATGTCCACAGAGATAGGTACACTGTTTACATATTGCTGTTTGCAGTTATATTTCAAGAGAGATTTCAACATTAAGCACACACGTATGTTTAGAATAACTTGTGTTTTGTCTTTTGCCGATGCTCACATTCACAAAAACTCTTTTTAAATGGAGAAAGAGGGATGAGAGAGGAGGGGAAGAGAGAGAAATAGAGAGGGAAACTTTCATTAAGGGGTTTAAGTTTCTCTTAAATGTTTGATGAAGGGACATAAATATCTACAACTGATTATCATCAACAAATAAAATAAAATAAAACTTATTTTCAGACACGAGTATGTCTGTAACAACAAAAAGTATTGAACTCACTGGACAGGGGGCTGAAAACACTTTGATTCAAATATTTTCAGTTTTTAATTGCATTAAAGAAAGTCGTTTTGGGTCTGTTAGCACTTTTGGTTAGCAACAGGTTACAGCTCTTGTTTAGGTTTCTTTAATATACACTAAATTGAACTCTAACTAGATGGACTTTCTATTTGGCAAAACACTGATTTATAACGAAAGTTGTTCCAAGACTTTCAGTCAAACCATGTCAAATGCTAGAAAAATCGAACAAAACTTGAAGATAAACTAGTTCTTTCAGCTGTACACCTTTCTAAAATTGTCCTGCAGGTACGTCTGTGTTTAAACGAGACCAAGAACCATTCAGTGATCTTCCATCCCACCTGTAGATGATGCAAACATGAAACTGCTACAAGATGATAAAATTACATACAGTGAAGCTAGAAGTTTTGACCCTGTTTTCAGTTACATATCTGAGATTTAAGCATGCAGGTGAAAAGTTGAACACAGTCTACAGTTAGAAAGTTTGAAGAACTGAGATCTGATCTAAAGCCCTGACTTTTGGCTTTGTGTTTCAGGTGAAACCCAAGCTCTCCGAGGCCACACCCACACTGCGACAGCTTCATTTAAACACAGCATTCAAAAAACAGCCTCCCTGCTCCTGGTCAGGGTTCATTGTACTTCTGTTTCTACAGGTAAAATATGACAAAACTGGAACACAGTCATCAGATTCTCCACAAATTACAGTTTAAGAGGCGTGAGCAGCCAGGGGCGAGTCAAAAGGGCTTGTACAGGCCCCCCTATTGAAATATGATAGGCCACCCCTGATGCTGCCCAAAATCCTGAACGTTGATTGGCTGACTGCCTTTAAGGAGAAGGGACTCAGTATTTAAAGCAACCATTTGGGATGTGTTGCAACCATGGACTGTCAAACTTCTTGGACAGAACAGAGCTCCTCCTACTGACTGGCTGGAGAGAAAGAGTATCCTTCTTTTGCACTTTAAATCATGACTTCAAACAATCATCTTGTTTGTTGTGTCTTTGGATATCAGAGCTTTAAAGATTTACCACCTTTACTTATTCCTTGCTCTTAATCACAGCAAATCAAAAGGAGACTGTTGCAGTGTGGACATAGTGGGCAAGTCACATTATTTTGGATCATTGAGCAAATGTGCTTGGCTCTTAGGCACATTTAATGTACCTAACGGAGTTTCTACATCAACAGGATCAACAGGATCACATCTGTAGTGTGCAGAGAGACGGCTTATTCCAAAAAAGACTACAAACTCTGATAGTAAGTCTGTGGGTGTTAAGGTTCTTGGTCTGTGAGTCTAGTTTTTGTCCAGAAAGTGGAGGCCAGATCTTGGTATGACACTGTCATGGCTGCCTTGCCATTCCAGAAAAGCCAAAGTGGACCAATGCTGAGACATTTTGCAGCTTCAGTTGGTAGTTTTAAACTGCAAATTATGTGTGACAGCATCAGCGTTATCATCTGTTTTACAGGTCGTCTGTTGGTTCAAAATTTGGTGAGACCCAAACCAAGTAGCAGCAAAGGCAAAACAAAGCAGCAAACACTAGTTGTCTGTAGAGGGCAGAATCTCTGCCTGAATAAAGATGCAACATGAACAGATATCAAGCTTTGACAGTGAGATAAGAACTTTTTGATAAAAAGTGATGAGATGTAAATATAATATTTTGGGGGAATTGCTTTTGCAGAGCTGGATTCTCAGTTTCATTAAAGGAATGCAGGACATTTGATCAGATACAAGGCACTATAGATTTTGCTATAGAACGGCTAAATTAGAGGGATTTGGGCTGAGAGGAAGAGGGGGCGGGGTTTCACTACGAGAATTTAACCGACGACAGTGAGAGTCTGAAGAGAGAAAGAGAGAGGAGAGCTTAAGTAAAAGATGAAGAGAGAGGAGGGTGGAAGAGACCGGAAGAGATCCATCCAGTGGAAGAGGAGAGGAGGAAGAAGGAGGAGGGCGTGGTTAGGACTGCATCTCAGCACGCAGCATCCACGGAAACCAACAGCAGAACAGCAACCTGGAGCAAGAGAAGTTGGAGAAGGAGCGTTACGATGAGGATGATGCATGTGCATGAGTACGGAAGCCGGGAATGGCCATGGATTTTTCTTTTTTTATGCACTGTTATCTCGTGATAATGACTTATTATCTCGTTATCTCGATATAGCAAAGTTCATTGTCTCATGTTATTATTATTATTATTATTTAAAAAAATAATAATTATCTCCACAAAACAAAGATGTTTTCTCATGATAACTGAAATGGTGTTTTAGCCGACCTCAAACGGCAACTTTCTATGATTTGTGCATGGTATTGCTAGGCTTTTGCATCTGTGAACCTGAAACAAAAAGTGTTGATTAATCAAGTGAGGTGAAGGCTGAAATGCTCCCTAAACTGGGCTGCAGAACAAATAACAGCTATTTTCACTGCTGCTGTTTGCAAAACTATCCAGTTTCTCTGCAAATAAAAGTCATTACAAAAAAAAAAAAAAAAGAGTTCTAACAGCCATGCACAGTTACAGTGAAATTTATACTGTCTGCTGAGAGGTGGTGGTAATAACTGTGCTGCGGGATTATCAAGGGGTCAGGCTGCAACTTTTCACTCGACAATAACTCCACCTCCTCATCACCTGAAAATTCTATAACTGTGTATCTCCTCAGCACTGGTATTGTGACCATAATAAGGAGATGTCTGTGGCTCAACCCTGGCATATACAGGCACACTTTGTCCACATGTACTGAGACAGTTTGGCCACTACACATAAATCGGACTTTTACTGATCTGTGCACACTCCTCTCACTGACTCATTTTTGTTGTAAGCTGTGAAATTTCAGCTATGCACTTTGTGAGCATAACTGTTAACTGTGTAAACACACAACTTTAGCTTTGATATGACTTGAATGCTCACGTTCACAGCAAGACTATACTGAAATTCATTCCTCCACAACAAGAATGTAGTAAAACATAAGTCTTAAAAGTGTCGCCTGACATGGTTTAGTGAATTAGATGTCCAGATGTGGAGTGAATGTTCCCTGACAGATTTCCAGCAGTCTGACTCCTCTGTGTAATCTCACCTTGATATGGAACTCTCAGAGGTCAGGTCTTTAGGGGAGCGCATTGTGTTGAAGTTTCGTTTCGGCTGTGCCACTGCAGGAAAAAGACAAACACAATATTCAAAATATAAACTATTTTCAGAAAAAAAAAAAAAAAAAAAACATTTCCTTGAAAGCTCTTATCTTCGGATTTCCCCTTAAAATTAGTCTGACATAGCAAGACAGAGGAAGACACTCACTGGTGACTTGGTGGACTTTCTTCACCATGGATTTGTCATTCTGTGAGCCTTCTTTAGGACCTCCAATTCTGACCAAACGACAACAATAAAAACAAGTAAGTTAAGTTGTTTCTTTAAGACACGCAATAAACTTAGAACAGATTATCCCAAAAAAGAGAAACTGGACTTTACTTCATGCAACCCTGGTTTAAAACAGAACAGAAAGCAGCACAAGACGTCATCATTTACTACAGTCTTACCTCTGCACACGGGAGGGCGGAGCAAACACTCCATATTTGGGCAGGCAGCTGAAGTAACGGACTCCAAACACTGAGCCGTCATGTTTTCCTGTCGGCTGATCCAACTCGATACCAAACCAGTAACCTGAAGGGACATTTGAGCATAAAACCGTTGAGACACAAAGAGTTGTATGCAGTGTTCATTTATAGACCTCTGCACGAACAGACCAAACTGGACTTTGCTGTCCTCCAATGAACTGAAATGAGCATGAGCAGCAGACTCACCTGGAGCAAAGTCTGTCTTTCCATAAAAGCGAACAATGCCGTTCTTCTGTCCGGCCACCAGAACCTGATCTCCGACTTCCACGTTCAGTCCCTCTGGATCCAGACTGGCAACTGAAGACTTCTTCCTCTGGGCTGAAAGCACACGACATACACACTCAGGATGGATACACCATGATGTTAACACTGATGCACAGACACATCTGATGACAGATGACATGATTTAATCCTAAATACATGACTGCAGTGTGAACTGAGGATCTGTGTTACCCCTCTCTCTCTCCTTCTCTTTCTTCTCTTTCTCCTTTTTGGTCTTCCCAGCGAGACGGGAGGCCAGGTCCATGCGAGGGGTTCGGGGTGTGGAGGTTACGGATGACAGAGTTTGATCAACGGCTTTGGAAATCTTTGAGACTGGAGCAAAAATCCCTGAAGAGTAAAGGGAGACAGGCACAGTCAGAATCAGAGCCTTAAGACCTCTTTTAGCTCTGCTATCGTCTCCACCTTCCTCTGGGACAAAATCCTCTAATCTTCATGTAATGCAGCCTCATTGGTCCAGAATAATGAGCCCTTTGTACATGTCTTTGCAGGTTTTTAATGACCTCCCACAGCTAAGAAGTTACCTAGTTTAGGAGGGCAGATGAAGTAGCGGACACCACCCACACTGCCATCGTTTTTCCCCTCTGGCTCGTCCAGCTCCACACCGACCCACTGACCGCTGGCAAACTCTGTCGTTCCACAAAACCTCAGAGTGCCGGCCTGAGAGAGAAACACAGAGAGGGAGAGATAAAGCTAAATTTTTAATACAACTGCAGAGAGTTAAAGCTGGTAGCAGTTAGCGTCGTGGTTAATGAAGGGGAGAGAGGGTGGGGCGTCAGATGGCTTTATCTGGTCATATGACAGGAAGAGGGTGTGCTGTCAGAGTGGTGAGTCAGTCCAGTTAGTCTACAATCCAGCCGGCGCTTGCTCCAACCAACCTGTTTGAGGAATTCAGGCTGGCTGTCTTCAATGATGGGGTCTCTCTGGAGCTACAGAGAGTGTGAGAACACACTGTTCAGAGCTCGTACAGCACAGCGGCCATGACAGCTCCATAGACATCACACAAAATAAACCCAAACTTTACTCTGCTCATCATACACACATGCATATTCTGATCTTGTGTGACTCTCAAAGGATGCATTTAAGGCATATGGGCCTGGTTTTAGGGATCAAGAAATGTTGGACAAAAGCATCAGAAAAAAAACCTTTACAAATAACACTGCTGTTCTTCATCTTTAACAAAAATCATGAGAAAAAGTCATATGTATGAGTTCTCAAAGACCTTACTCTCCTTCCAAGCGATCATTCTTGCAGCCAAAGGAGTTACCCATCAGCACTTTTACGCTTTTTCTATGATCAGTTTTGGGCAAACTTTGAACCCCCCTTAATCTTTAAGTTAGAAAATACTGGCTTTTATCATTGTTGCAAGGACTGCAGCGTCTCCAACTTTCTGAGCACACTTTGCAGCCACACTAAAGTGGACTCACTAAGAGCACTTAAGGATTATTTTTATGGCAAACATGAAAACACAGTTTTCTCAGGTTAATCATCCTTCAGCTCAGTCTGCTTGTCAATCCCACATTCCTGCCCTGACTTGTGTCCTCCCCAGTGTCCCTCTGACCTTCATGTCATCCAGCATCACACGGTCGCCCAGCTTTAGCCCCAGTGAGGACAGCATCAGGTTTCCGGGGATGTTGTCGTAGTTGGGCAGCGTGGCTCTGGGCAGGTTACAACTGAGGGGGACGGCGTCCAGTAGCAGCTGCTTCAGCTCTTTGGCCACCATGGCCGCCTCCGCCTTGTCCAGACTCATGTCCATTGGGTCAGGGACCACATCAGCGGGGACCTGACTCTTATCATTCTGCAGAAAGAGGAGAGAAAGCAGCCTTTTTTCACATGGGATGCATATGACTGTTAAAAGAAAGCAGCAAAAACCCAGTTTATACATGAACAAGATGAAATCAGGAAATGTGCTGCACAGGGAGCGCTAAAAACCACTAACATGAACTTTAAAGACAAAAATATTCATTATAAGGTTGGTAGATATCATTCATAATTGAGAAACCTTCTTTTCCAAACAGAAACAGTTGAAATAAGACAAAATCAGACAGAAAAGTGAGGTGTGTTTTTACCCGAAGGCTGGGGTTGGCTCCATGCTCCAGGAGACACTTGACAGCCCCCAGACAGAGGTTGGAGGCGGCGATGTGGAGAGCTGTGCCGTAATGAAAATCACTGCAAGTGGAGTTTAACACTAAGTAGACAACAGAGGAAGAGGAGGAGGTAAAGATTAGTCATGTCGGTTAATGATGCTTGACTCTCAAAGTGTGTGTTTGTGTGTGTTTGTACCTCTGGGTTTAGCAGCTTTGAGCAGGACTCGGATCAGTTCAGGGACGTCAAAGTAAGCGGCGTAGTGCAGAGCATTCATATTGGTCCAACGGCTCCTCAGACTGACATCAGCGCCCAGAGAGATCAGCTGAGCGGTGAGACGCAGAGCAGCTGACGGGTCGCCTATAGTCACAATAAGAAGCTCCAGTTTAACAGCAGGGGAGGACCAGAACCCACCAGAAGATGACCAGAACTCTGTCCACCATTCAGTCACGGGTCTGTGCACTGGTTTTTAACAAAGTACTATGCAGAGAGGAAACCAGATAGAAACATGATCCAGACACACCAGAGACTTCTCTGGACCTGAGTCCATTTAAGGTGGACTGAGGGGAAGAGAAAACTGTCATTTGACATTCTTTTTCAAAACATTTGACAAAGTGTCTTTTGGACCGTTTGTTTTGTCATAAGTGCAGGACTGTGGTTGGAAAAGATAAAATAATCTCTGACATTTGATCCTTTAACAGATCAGCGCATTTGCAAACAGCAGGGTCTCTGTCAGGCTGATATACTGAATCAATCAAAGTCTTACCGACGCCGTGTGCTCCGGCCTTACAGCTGTAGTGCAGAAGAGTCATGTCGGTCAAGCCGTCACGGTCATTGACATGGCAGCCACGCTTCAGGATCTGAAAAATATGATTATCACAGAGGTCAGGAGACCATGAACACAGCAACTCAGTTCATGACTGTAACTAATCATCAGTTTTAATAAGTGAGCAGATTGTTAAAATATGAAAGTGGCTTATCTTACTTTCCTTTTTACACATTCAGAGCAAGACATAAACAGAGACGATGAATTAAGTCATTTTTATTGACCTTATTATAGGGAAATGTTGATTCACAAATTTTGGAAATGTTCAAAATAAATAAAGATCAAAAATCAAATAAAACATGATTTTTCTTTTTACTGACGTTTTTTGTTACAGTCTGATGGTAAAATGCTAAAAAAAGAAATACTTGGAAATAACTTTAATATTATATATATATAGTTTTTTTTTATATGATCTTACTCTACACATTTAAAGAAAACTAGGTTGGAAATTGTTTTATTTATTTATTTTGTCTTTCAGGACGTTGATGACTAAGGGACTACAAATATATTTGGTTTTGTTTTTTGGTGGAAAATCCAAAAAGAAATTTAACCAATACTGAACTCAGACTTTGCCTTAGATCCTTCTCTCTTCATATTAGCGAATATTAATGATAATGACTACATTTCACTGACGGCTAAAATAACAATAACAGCATCTTGATTAGAGCCACAATCTCCCACCTTGATTCAACGTGTGTAGTATACAGCCAATCATAAAATGCCTGTTGAAAATGTAAATTCAGTCAAATAAACATTGATATTAAAATGCCAAAGGTTCAAATCCAGCCTTTAGTTGGAGCTGAAATGTGACTCCATCTTTTCTGACTCACTGTCTGCTCCTGTTTTTTATTCCCGCAGGCTGACTCAGCTTCCTGCTGAGTCATGGTAGAGTCTCATTGACTCTCTCTCTCTCTCTCTCTCATCCCTGTCTCCCTCTTGTCTCTCCCTCTGCTCTGCACCGCCCATTCTTCTTCTTCTCTCTAATAAATCAATGCAGCCATTTTAACTGGGTCAATGTCACTGTTTTTTGTGTTCTCGTATTGGAAATGTGACTGACGTTGTGGGAACTCACCTCTCTTGTAGTGAAAAATAACGATTTCACACTGCAGATCTGAAAAATATTTGGGTTTAAAGTTCTCTTTTTTTGTAACGACTTTTCTAAAACCAGGGCCAGGTTATATTGGAAAGTAAAACCACATTTATATCAGGGGAACTTTTCCTCAGGGTTAGATTTACAGAAACCTTTAGAGGGACTCTGTGTACTTTCACCAGGAGTCCAATGACATCCTCAAAGTCCCTGTTTTTGGATTGCACCATTTAAAGTATCATGTATTTGGGGGCGTAGCTTGCAGGACTCATTATCTCTGACTGGCTGTAGGCTTTTTATTCCCTTTTTTTTGTTGTTGTTCATTATGTTTAGACAAACCAGCAGCGTTACAGAAAAAGACAGACATCCTCTAAGACGTTTGTTGTGCGTTTAATCCAGAAGCAGCATTTTCACAAATCATAAAAAAAAGTTTGCCAAATCCTTTCAAATATTCCAGCTGAAAGCACCTTTTAGTTTGGTTTTGGATGTAAAATTTGAGGTTACATGTTTATAAATGTGACTTAAAGCCAATGCAACCTCAGCAGTCTAAACAGCCTGTGCATCGCAGCAGCTTTCAGTCTCATCTTTAATGTCACAACAGCTGATCACAAATGTTTGCAACCCCCACATGCATTAAACCTCATTTCTGCAGTTAATCTGAAGCTTTTTGTACATTTGTTTGACTTTGTTTAGACCGAGATAGAAATAAAACATGAACTGCAATGTCCAACATTCAGGCTTCCCTCTCTTAGCTACACACTGCTCAGGGGGCTTTCATTGTTCATTGTCTGTGGCTCTGTGTGTGTGTGTGTGTGTGTGTGTGTGTGTGTGTGTGTGTGTGTGTGTGTGTGTGTGTGTGTGTGTGTGTGTGTGTGTGTGTGTGTGTGTGTGTGTGTGTGTGTGTGTGTGTGTGTGTGTGTGTGTGTCATGATGGTTGAATCTGGGTCAATGTGACAAGGAGAACTGCGTGTGGTTTCAGGCTCCTTGCCAGAACAACCAGGATGGGTGATACAGGCAGTGAAACACAACTGGACAACAGTTTGAGATGCTCTTTAAACTAAGTCCTGCAGCTTTAAATAAACTTGTCATTAATTTCACTCATGTGTTTGTGTTTATGTTGAAGGAAAGCATCACTCCTGTTTTAAGAGGCACGGCAGGGAAACCTATTCTGCAGAGTTTCTATCATCAGTGACAGTGCTGGTTAAGTTACTTAAAAATAGTAATTAGTTACAGATTAGTGATTACTTCTCCAAGAAAGTAATCCTGTTACTTTACTCATTACTTATTTTCAAAAGTAATCAGTTACTTTACTAATTACTTTAGCCTACTTACTTTTCAAAAACATGATGCACAACTTGAATAACTAGACCTTTACGCCTAATTCTATTCATTTAGCATTTTCCATCATATAAAATGGAATTAAATTAAAAGTCACTTTTTAAAAACTTGTTTCATTAGTTTGAATCTTTTAACTTTATACACATTGCATCGAGCTAAACATTGCAATCCTTTTTCTGCACATTTATTCATATTTTAGTAAATAAGGCAAGTCCTTCTTCTGTTAACTCATATTTAACCATTCAGCAGCATGAAGTCCTGTCTCTCCACCAGAGCTGGATATGGTAGCCGCAGCGGTCATGTCAGTGGGGGGATCTGGGGTTTTTGCAGTGAGCTTCACATTCCTGTGCTAGCTTGCTAGCTCCTTGCTCAGATAAAAGTGTTCTTCCCATGCAGAGTGTACAACGTAGGCTAATGTTTTTGTCATCTTTTACCAAGTCAAACTCAAGAAAATGTTGGTACCTTCAGAGCATTAAACGCTGCATGGTCCTGCTCTCTCCCGCACTCTATGTTGTCTCTTGTTAAACACTACTACAAGTTGTTTACCACTATTGTCGCTCTGCTCTTGCAATGTTGTCAAAACTCACCAGACAGTCTCACAAAACAAAATCACGGTTTAGTAATGTTGTAACACAGCCTGCTTGCGGAAAAATAACAGTAATCTAATTACTGTTTTTGCAAGTTTTTACTCATTTACTCATTACTTGAAAAAAGTAATCAGATTACAGTCACGTGTTACTTCTAATGCTTCACTGCCCATCACTGATCAGTGATGTATTTCAGCTTGTCATCTTCTCGTCTTTATCGTGAGAACAAAAGGTCGTCAACAGGTAGTCGGCGAGCTCTCACCTCGTTGCCGATGATGTCGATCTTGTGCTGCACTTGGGGAACCCACTGACGCACAATGGCAAACAGCTCGGGGATGGTGGTCCGGGGATCCATGAGGATCTCCAAACAGGCTGGGTCATTGGGGTCGAAGAAAGTGAAAGCTGGAGAGAGAAAAGAAATAGGTAATGAGCTTTAAAGTACAGAGGAAATAACAGAAGAGAGAAGAGCAGAGGAAAGTACAAGCAGATTTCAGAGATGTGGGGGTTGATGCCAAAATGTTGATGTGACCCTCATTAATTTGGCTGTAACCCCTGAGCTCGGCACTTTCTCTTCCTGCCAGCTTGGCAATCTAAGATCAGACAGATTTCATTTCACTGAGTGACTAAATCACCTCCAGGATAGACACCGCCAACAACTTCCTCAAATCCAATATTTAGTCAAGTTCAGAGTGAGGAGCTTTAACGCTGTGAACTTATATTACTGTTAAATTTCTGGTTTCAGCCAAATCAACCAGAAATAAATGAACACCTAAGATAAGAAAAAAATAGGTGGGAAATATTCATAAAAAAGTCAGAGTTCAACATTTAAAACTGACTGTACGTTAGAACTGCTCTGTATTCACTGCTGGATGGAGATGGTCAGGACACACACACACAGAAACACAAAGCCCACAAACACAGACACACACAGAGTGTATAATGGAGTTGGCCGATCTGAGTTTGTGTCATGAATACTGATCCCCCAGTCCTCCACACAGCAGCTGTCCCCGAGCTTTCAGACCCATCGATCCATCAGACTGATTCAGAGTCTATGAAGCAACTGTTCTCTGCTGTTTATGAGTCAAACTGAGTCTGTGTGTGTGTGTGTGCCAGTATGTGTGTTCCCATGTGTGTGTTCTTAGGGTGTTGTGTGTCCTAACAGAGCTTCAGCTGAGATTGTTGCATATCAGGATCGTCTGTTTGTCTGCAGCCTGTTTCTTGAAAAAAAAACTCAATAAATGGGAAATTCTGGTGAAGTTTCATTCATACCACCTTAAACTGAAGACTGTTTACTCCGAAAAGTACCAACTCCAGTACAGCTCTCAGTTTCACTGTGGCTTAAATACTACTTAGTAACATGTAACTCAATGTCCTGTCAAAAATACCCAAATATCCCTTTAAGGTAGTCTCGGATTAGAGGTGTACGGAGCAGAGGTGTGTGAACAGTGTGTATTTAAGGTGGAATAACAGTACAAGTTCAGGGTGTGACTCTGTTATGTGTTCTGTTCGACAGTGTATTTAAGGTGTAACAGCAGTGGGTAATAAAGGTGTTATAACTGTATCTTTAATTACAGGTGGGTGGATATGTAACAATACTGAGTATTTAAGGTGGAATAACAATGTGAGATCTGAAAGGTAATGTAATAGTGTATGTAAGGTGCAATGATAGTACACTGTGTAACAACATTGTGTGTTTAAGGTGGAATGACAGTGTAGCGTCTTATTGGATAAAATAAAAAGGTATTTTCCTGTGATAATGCAACAGTATACTTAAAATGTGGACTGACAGGTTAAACTCTTAAAAGTGATGAAACAGGGTGGTTTTAAGGTGAAATGACAGGTTAGAGTCTTAAAGGTGATATAACAGGGCGGTTTTAAGGTGGAATGACTCACTGTAGTCTTTAGGTAGCGGGGCCTGGGCGGACGGGTGCACCATGGCCCTGCGACGTGGCTCATGAACCGGACTCTGGTACTCAGAAACAGACAGCGGCTCCTGCTCCTGCTCCACCTCCAGCTCTCGGCCGGTCACCGGCTCCTCCTCCTCCTCTCGCTCCTCCCTCTCCTCCCGCTCTTCCTCCTGCTCGTCATCCTCGTCATCGTCCACCTCTGCCCTCTCCTCCCCCTCTCGTTCCTCCTCTAGCTCGTACTCCTCCTCTTCTTCCCCCTCTTCGTCCTTCTCCTTTTCCTCCTCTTCTTCCTCCTCCTCTGTCAGAGCCTCCTCCTCCTCTTTCTGGACCCTCCCCTCCTCCTGCTCCTCCCGATCGTGCCTCTCCTTCTCCTGCGCCTCCAGGTTCTCCTCTTTAGTCATGATGAGGGATGCTGCAGCTGGGCCTGTAACAGAGGGATAAACAATGTTAATTATTATTTCTATTGTTCTTATTTTTAGACAGCAATACATAAATAAATAATCTCTAAACTTTAATCTGACTTTAAACTGTGAGATTTTAAAATATTAATCTCTGCACCATCAGAATCCTAAAGTCTGGGGTGGGGAGAGCACACCTGTTTCACCTTCACACTCAGACAAACTGCTTGAATCTTACTGTAACATCTTAACATCAGCCTGTTTGCTGAAGCCTCACTGTGCATCCTGGACTCATTCAGAACCAGAACCAGTCCCTGATCCAGAACATTTAATCTCCAAATAGAGATGAAGCCTTTTGATCTGCCTCTCTTCGGTCTGCTCCAGCTTCCAGCCCCTCCTTCTTTCCTCTCTCTGCATCATCAGACCAGTGCTATGTTTAGCTCCTGCATGTGTAGATGTGTGTGTGTTTCTTTTTTGAAGTGTGTATGTGAGAGAAGAAACAAGTAGCAGCTTAGCTAATGAGCCATTGAAGACAGTAGTGGCTTCAGAAGCTAACGCTAACTCCCTCTGTCCATCATTAGCTATTGACAGGTCTGACTGGATCAAAATCTTCTCTCTACTCTGGAAAATTGATGACACACTGACATCCATCCAGCAGCCACTCCCTCTATCAGCAAAACATCCAACTACTCCTTCATCAACAGATGCCTGCGAGAGTAAAGAGGAAAGGAAGGAGGGAAGGAAGGAAGGAAGTGCACCCAATCTTTGACTCCTTACACATTTATATTTGTGAAAGAGTCACTTCATAATATTCTGTTTATAAATTCAGGAAAACTCTTGACTCTGTCCTGAAGATTTAGCCTTAACAAACTTAATTTAGAGAAACAAACTGCTGATTCAGAAGTGGTGCAAGTTTATTAACATATACAAAAGTCCACAACAAATGCAAGAATGAAAATGCACTGCTAAGCAATAATACTGGATGCAAAAAGACAAAACAACTGTTTCAAATCCATCAAATTCAAATCTGACGGTGCGTTTCCATTGAGTTGTCTGGTTCTGCAAATTTGGATTCTTGCAAGATGCATGTCAGCTGCCCAATAGTAACCTGATTGTCATTTTTGGACCCGCTATCAGACTTGCACATCCTGCAAGCATGGTGCTTCTCATGCAGCATAAAATATTTAAAAAAAAGAAGCTTGCTGATTTTTTTCAATGCGCTGAATGCAGATTTGAGCCAAAATAAACAGAAAAATGATCAAACCTTCTGTAGTGATTTTGAGGGTATTTCTTTTTTGTATTCTTGTGTGTGTGTTTTTTTAATTGCATCATTTATGGAGTAGCAGCAGGTTTCCTCTTAATGTAGTTTTTTACTGCTTGCATTATGATTTTATGTCATTTGCTGTATCAGTGCATTTGTTTTTGACTTTTGCACATGTTCAAGAATTTGCATTGTTTCTAAACTTGCAGAAAGACAATCATGCTGGCTGCTGAAGATCCTTTATTGCTTTAGAAATAAAGTAAAGTACTGAAAATGTTTCATGAATTAAAAAACATATCTCCTTTTTTTCCCTTTTAAATAAGACGAAATTAATTCACAAAACAGGAGCAAAACATCTTTTCACACACACACACACACCTGTACATAGTCTAAACCGTTCACCCAAAGCTTACAAGACACCAGTTTTCTTCATGAAAGATTTCTCCAAAATGGCTGAACAAGTTTTGACCATTCTCTCTGCATTTGAAACTGAACTTTTCTTCTTTCTTTTGCAATAGCAACCACAGAGGGCATCCTCAAAAATCCCCTACAGTGTCAGTGAACATTAGGGTAACCCTGAAATGATTCGCTCTCGCTTTCTGAGCTGCTGAGAGAAACAGATAATACAGAGCAGAGCAGGAGCATTCAGCCAATAAGAAGCCAGTTTAACCAGTGACCCAGTCTTAATCTGTCTGCACAAACACATACATGCATGCACAGACACTCACTATCATGCACACACACTGCAGATAATTTAGTAGGTCAGATAAAGGGTTTAAAATGTCTAGAGTCTGAGCTGTGCATCTGAGTTTTAATAGGAGTCATCTCCAGTCCTCTGTTGGAAGCACACGTGAAGCTTAACATCATGCAGGAGCTGTAAATTTATCCCAGAGTGAACACCTTCAAATGTATCCAGTAAATCTGTTTAATGTCCAGCAACAGTGAAAAAAAGAAAAATGCCTTCAATGTCTCTCCAACAATTCAACAAGGACTTCTGTGCACACATTCAGGCACCCATATTGACAAAGCAAAGCATCATGCATCCAAGCAAAAAGAAAAAAGTCAATGCATGTTGCGCAATGAACATACAATTAAACTTCCCACAGAACAATGTAAATTGCGCAGGTTAAAATTTTCAGTACTTTGCACTGTCGGTTAAATGATTGTGCACAAAGAGAAACTGATGAAAAGGAGAGGAAGATGCAGGGTGCTTTTTTTTTATTTCACAGAGATTTTTTTAAAGAAAAGGGTGTCTTGGTGAAGCTTACTGATATCCCATGAAACTATAGAACATGCAGAAACAATAATGCAAGTGTTTTTCTTCAGCTGCATTTCCAGAAGATACAATTAATTCCCTGTCTCTGTGTCTGTAACATGTTTTTATGTAATCTGTAGTCCCAGCTGATCTCAGCTTCATGCCTGAACAGAACAGTAATCAGTATCCAGACCAGGACCCAGCTGAGGGCACCACAACAGTTACGCAACATGACCATATGAGTCAGCGTGGACACACACAGGAAACAAACGTGTTGATGAAAATGTGCTCAGAAAACCATAAAAATATAAATTAAAATTCATGCTGGCTGACAGGATGACAGAGGGTCATTGTGTCTCTTGACACATCTATGTGACATATTTTCTTTATGACATAATGATCTTCTGTGCATTGATTGTAATAGTAAAGCTCCTGTGAGCAACTCTTTGTTTGTATTGAGCTTAGTGCCCCCTTGTGGGCAAAGTGGTACCTCCCTCGATAATCAAGTCCTGTACACGATTAAACTTGTTATCCCAGAAAGTAATCTCATCCTGCTCTCTGTCGCAGTAAAACATCTGCTACAGAAAAAATAAAGAGGATGTTTCTTTGAGGTGCTGTCAATCATCTGGACTGCCAATATTCCCTAACCCGGGGATTCCACAGGATCCGGAAAAGCTCCACTCCGCTCTTGACCGGGAGGCGGATCAAATATGCAAGCATATAGTGCCCACCGGATCCAATCTACCGCTGCCATTAGAGGAGAAGCACTTGTGGTATTTCCGATATTTCTCGCGAGACTGGACGGATTCTCACGTGTTTCCCCGTGAGACATTGTAAGAGATCCGCCAATCGGTGTATATAAACCGCGGTGTATATAAATACACACATCCCACAACCCTGGCTTCTCCTATTATCAAGTGAAAAACAGTTCAACATATTGACTTTATTTTATTTTGAAAATTAACTGGATATTTTACTCTGTAGCCACATACAACTTCCGCTGCTGCTTGTGCTGCGCTGCACCGAATTGATGTGCCGTGCTGCGGCGTTCGGCAAAGATAAAAGCCTTGCGTATCTGATCCGGCCGCCAGAGTTGATCTGCAGCGGAACCGGACGGTGGCCGGATTTGTGTGGAATGACACACAATGATTATGTGTGCCTGTTTGTGTATTTGATCCACCTGCCATTGCAGATCGGAGCGCAGTCATTCCAGATCCTGTGGGTTTTAGCCGTAAAGCTGTTTCAGCCATTAGAAACTACAGGATCGAAAGTGTGGTTCTTGTTTCTGGTGGTCATGTTAACTTTGATAATTCATAGTTATTACTGTAAATGCCAGTCTGTTTAAGTCAATATTGTTGCACCATTGATAACCAGAAGGATTAAGGGTGAACCGCTTATTTTTCAACATGTTGTGCTACAGTGGTTCAAACTAAGACAGCCACCTGTGAAGAGAGTAGAGCAGAGAGAGGAAGAAGAGAGAGGAGCAGGAGAGGAGAGGAGGGAGTATCATAGAGGGAGGAGCAGGAGGAGGCAGGTGTTTGTATATGTGTGTCTGAAAAGCTGAGGGACAGACTGAACATGATGAGAGAGGGTGGAAAGATAATTTGCACCAACAAGCTTTTGATCTTAAAAGTGATAGGCATTGTTTTGAATCATAAAACCAAGTCTTGTGGCAAAAAGACTGAATGACTTGTTGGATCTGAAGCCTGTGATAAAAGCGGTAAAAAGCTAAATTCTTCAATACTTTATGACGATGTAAAAAAATACTTAAGAACAAGTAAAACCTGGCAACTGAGTATTATCTTCACAGATTAAGCCAAAGCTCTTTAAAGGTTTCAATAATGGTGATATCAATATCAAAACAAATAATTTTAGTCAGATTGATTAATTATTCAATTTTATTGTAAAACATGAGATAAAAACTTGTACTGTGTTACCAAACTTAAGCTTGCAGACCCTCGAACTGTAGTAAGTGGACCACCCTTGGATAGCTCTCTGTTTAACTCGTTGATGTAACATAAAAGTAATTGGGATCACGTTGGAAGAACTGCACTTTTATTTTTTAGCACTCCTCGCAGAAGAAAAGCATAAAGTTTCACACACACAGCTCCCTGCATCAAAACCCGCAAACACAATCAACACAGTTTCCCAGAATCCCCTGCTGACATAGCCATGTAAACTCTAGCCCTTCCCACATAATAAAGTCACAGGTTGAGCCTGTAACAACTGTCAGAATACATCTGACCTGACACATACCCCCCTCCAGCTCAGTTTGAGACATCAAAATAACTGCCCAGAAAAGGGCCCTCTTTATGTTAATGGTGTTATTTGCTGTAATAGATAAAACAAGAAACAAATTTTCAATTTCAGCCTGTTACATGATGGTGTAAAAACTCCTCATTGGAGCTTTAAATATATATGAACCTAATGGGTCTAAATTACAGATTTTGGTTGTTTTCTACAGATTCAACAAATATGTGCTTATGATGTTTGTCTTGGTAATGATTAGATAGATAGATAGATAGATAGATAGATAGATAATTTCATCCTACAAATTCATTTCATAACGACCTTGAACTGACTCATATCTAAGTCTTCTGGTTATGACTGGAGTAGGGTGCTCCTGTGGGAACACTGGTCGGACTGGAAACCACCGAAATAACAGACAATAATCTAAACTGAATCCGAGCACCGTAGACCGACCTCAAATTCACAGAAATCCACATAAAACGGCGATCTCACGGTTTAAAATGGGTTGATTGTTGAGATTGGGAGGGTGTGTGTTCGCCATGTGATGAGGACCAGCAGGTTGAAAAAAGAAGAGGAGGAGGAGGAGGAAGGGAGGCCATGGCAGCATCCTCCTCCTCCTCCTCAATCCAGCCTCCATTTTACAACAAAACAAACCGGAGACACTGATACGGCAAAAACATGGTCAAATAAAGCAGAATTGGTGTTTGACAGAGATTAAGCTCACAGATCACAGCTCACAGAGGTGTTTCTGATCCTGAAGAATCTAAACCAACACCAACCAACGCGACAGCCCCGGTTTAAGGTTTGTGCCAATGTGCGTAGTAACAGACTGGGAGGAAAAACGCCCCACAGACAGACAATGAAAACACGCACGAGCCAAACTGACATAGAAGTGTGTGTGCTGGATCAATAACCATCTTCAAAATCACACAACCCTTTTTTTAAACACTACGATAATTCTTGACAGAGACCGTGACGGAGTGAAAACATGTTTGGGAGGTTTGAACAGCGCCCCTCCATCAGCATCTCCATCTTCTCTCAAAAACAGCACGAGACAATCACATTCTTCATCAACATCAACATGGCACGAGGACTGATCCCGCGTGAGTGAAAGCTGCAGGTGAAGATGTTTTTACCTGAAAACAAGCCGCAGGATGAGCGCTGATGAAGGTCCTCTCTGTTCACAGCAGAAACAACACTGATGAGCTCGCTCGCTCGCTCTCTCTCTCTCTCTCTCTCTCTCTCTCTCTCTCTCTCTCTCTCTCTCCTCTAATGTAATGCACTCAGTGTAGCCTATCTGAGGCTCTGCTGGCGTCACGAGTTGATCGAATGAACTAAAGCAGAGAAACAGACCACACTTAAAAACAATTATGTTGATGGACCATAATAAAACACACGCACTGCAAAACAAATAGTCACCCGTGGTGTTAAACAGGGACATGAGTATATCATTTTTGATTGGTTAAAAGCAGTTTTTTTAGAAGTGCCCCGTGGATGCCCTTGTCTAAAATGTAAAAACATACACTCCTTTAAAAACCATTTAGTTCTTCTCAGTACAAGATCTCCTCAGTGTACGAAACTAAAAAATAGCGCCCCCTGGATGCTCTTTCACATCAAAAATAGCCCTTTGGATGCCCTTCCAGTGAAAAACGCACAAGAATAGGGCCCTCCCCCCCAGTTCATAATACATATGAAAATTCCCTCTAGATAACCTTCAGGTGTACAGAATGTAAATTAGTTCCCTTTAGATGCCTCTGCAGTGTAAATGCCACGTTAAATGCAATGTTTAAAATGCCACCTGGATGACCAGCCAGTTTATACATTGTAAAAATGGTGCCTTCTGGATCCCCATCCGATTAAAAATGAATAAAAAGTGCCCTTTAAATGCCTATTTGAGTGAATATTCTGTAAAAACAATGCCCTCCCAGTGTATTATCATTTAATCGTGCCATATGGAGGCCCTTTCAGAGTGGAAGGATCTGTTTTAGGTCCAAAACTCTTCATTTTATACATAAACGATATCTGTAACATGTCAAACCTTTTAAAATATGTTCTGTTTGCGGATGATACAAACTTATTTTGCCATGGGAAAAAATTGGAGGAGCTTCTGAACACAATGGAAGGAGAACTGAACAAACTTAGGACGTGTTTTGATATAAATAAATTATCCTTGAATATAAATAAAACAAAACTTGAAAACCAAAAACCAAAAAAAAAAAAGACAATGAAATCACCTTAAAAATAAATAATGTACCAGTTGAAAGAGTATATAAATATAAATTCCTTGGAGTGCTTATTGATCATAAATTAAGCTGGAAATCTCACATAAAACTTGTTAAAAGGAAAATGTCCAAAACCATAGCTATATTATATAGATCGAAAGAAATATTGAATCAAAACTCTTTATATTTATCGTATTGTTCCCTCATAGTCCCATACATGACTTACTGTGTGGAGATATGGGGAAACACCTATAGATCCGACGTTAATTCAATCTTTATTTTACAGAAAAGAGTTATACGAATAATCAAAAGAGCAGAGTATCAGGAGCATACCAACACCCTATTTTTAAATCTGAACACACTAAAATTCTAGGATATAGTCCATCTTCAAACCTTATTGATTTTGTTCAAAGCTCACAAAGATCTCCTTCCTTCTTGTATTCAGAGGTTGTTCCAGAAGAAAGAGAACAAGTATGAGCTTAGAAATAAAGATATGTTTGAAACAAACTGGGCAAGAACAAATACCAAACAACATTGTATAACTGTGAAAGGGGTACGTCTATGGCAAAGCTGTGATAAGGAACTAAGGATGTGTAGTTCAATACATGGATTCAAGAAAATGTTTAAATATAAAATGATAAATAAATACAGAGAGATTTTATGATCATATTATCTATTATTGCACGGTATATACAGTAATGTGCTGTGTATATGGTAGATAATGTATGGTCTTATGTATATGGTGTACATGTATGTATACATATGTAGGTGTGTGCGTGTATGTAGATATGTAGGTATGTGTATGTATGTGTATGTATGTATGTTGGTGTATGTATGTACACGTGTGTATATGTATGTGTAAGTATATACGTATATGCATGTATGCATATATAGATGCATATATTGTTTATATTGTCGTGTAATTCAAAACCAGATTTTTTAATTTTTTTTTTTTTTTGCTTCTGTTTTGTACAGATTTATTTTGTTTATTTTTGTGCTGCTTCTCTTGTTTTCTATCTTTGAAAGTATATTCTTTACATTCTGCCTAAAAGTGAGGAAAAGGTAGGCACAATAAGCCATGGGCTTCAGCCTACACCTTTTTTTGGCCCAATGATTTAAATGAAATGAAATGAAAAGTGTAATTACAACATTTTGGGACCAAAAATAAACTGAACTGAACTGAAAAACCGGACTGAAACTGAATATTAGTGCTGAACTCAAACTGCAGCTACACTATGGAGGGAAAACACAGCAGAGACATTTGAACAGGTAAGTGCAGACCTAATTACCTGCTGTGACCTTTACTTTTACTCAAACTTATTTCTTTTCATCTCTATGAGATCTGACAACAGTTAAACATAATTGACAGTCAAATATTTTCACTTAATTTTACAAAAAATACAATTCTGCATTAAAACCACAAATTATAAAAGACTTTTGGAATTTTTTAAAATTAAAATAAACAAATGCAGCCTCAATTATCTGCACACTAAGCCTCAGCTTACTAAAGTGTGCTTTTAAACTTTAGGCTTTTTTGAAAACCATTTGTTTCCTTTTTTCTTAGATGGCACACTGAAATAAAAAAGTCTAATCATGTCTCTTGCCATGTCTCAAAAAACAATTCAAACCTTTAATTTGTCCCATTTTTTTTTTTTTATTTCGATCCTGGAGCTCCCTTTCTCTTTTGTTTTCCATGATGTGTTCAGTTTTATGCCTTTTTATGTCTTTTATAAATAACATTGAGCTTATTATCACTCAGAGCCTGAACACTACTGATATCTGCTGTCATTCATCCAATCAGTGTTTGCTCCATCCAAAAAGTCTGACTCTGCACATTCAGGGTTTATCTGCTCTGCACTGGCACTGCTGGAGTTACGAGATATGACTGTAAATTCAGACTTTCAATTATCTCTTGCATTTGTTTTATTTTGGTGTACTAAAAACTGAAATATCATAAAATTTCAGCTATTATTTTAACGAAATTAGTTCCAAAAATGAAGGACAAGCTTCACTAAAACAGGGACTTAGGTAGAAAATGGTTATGGGGAAAATATAAAATCTGCAACAAAAATGTGCAGATTTAGTGACGAAGACCTTTGCGTGCATCTCATCATAAATCCTTACAATCTGAGTTTTATGATACAGTTAAACATCTACATCCTTTGGCTCATCACAGGCTACTGGGCCACCTGCAGCTCTTGCCAGTCTCCACTGTGCAAGGAGGATTTCCCAAAACCTCCTGATCTGCATGTCAACATAGAATTCAGAGACATGTTGGAGCTTTTTAAGAAGCAAAGTCATACGGTGAATGTGAAAAGTTCCCGTCCCAGGGAAGGGGAAGTGGAAGTGCTCTGCAGTCTCTGCGATGGGACAAGGCATAAAGCTGATAAGTCCTGCCTGATTTGTCTGGCCTCTTACTGCAAAAATCACCTGAAGCCACATAGCTCAGTTCAGGCTTTGAGGTGGCACAAGCTCATCAACCCTATGCAGACTCTGGAAGACAGGTTGTGCAAGATACACAATAAGATACTGGAGTTTTTCTGCAAGACAGACCAGAGCTGTGTCTGCGCCCTGCGCTTAAAGAATCACCTCGGAATGCATGAAGTTGTCTCTTTAGAGGACAGGCTCAAGGACAGGAAAACCAAGCTGAGTCATGCAAAAACAGAGGTCAAGCGCAACTTAAATGAAAAGCGCTTGCTGGTTCAGAACTCAATAACGCAATGTCATGGTGAGCTACAGAGATCAAAAGTGGAAACTGGAAAGGCCTTGGACGCTCTAGTGGCCTTGATTGTGACCAAAAAGATGACACTAATCGAGCTGTTGGAGGGGAAACAGAGAGCTGCTGAGCAACAGGCTAAAACATTCATCCGACAACTGCAGCTTGAGATCACTGAGGATACTCAGAGGTATACTGAACTAGAAGAGCTCTCAAAGACCTCCTCGAAGACTTCCCATCCCTGCCCTTCCCTCTGAATGCAAAGCATCCCTTTAAAGCCCAACGTCCTCGACAAGTAGAGACAGTTAGAAGTGCGATGGCTGAAATTGAGGAGACAATAGATAAGCAGCTGGAGAGGATCATCAGAGAAATCATCCTGGAGGAAGAGAGACTGATCAAGGAAGTATTTAGTGACGAGCTCGAAAACATCCAGAAGCAACATGCAATTGATCTGACTCTGGATCCAGACTCAGCACACCCCTGCCTCTCAGAGGACAGGAAAGAAGTGAGGGATGGAGGCAGACGAAGGAACATCTCTGACAACCCCCAGGTTCAACTTTCTCTATTTTATCCTGGGAGAAGAGGGTTTTTCCACCAGCAAGTTCTATTACGAAGTCCAGGTAAAAGGGCAAACATGCTGGGAGGTTGGCGTGGGAAGAGTCCATCAACAGGAAAGGCATGGATTTGTCCCTCAGCCCAGAGAGTCGATCCTGGACTCTGGGTTATTATTTTGGACACCTCCAAGCTAAAACCAATCCTCCTGTGGTTTTGCCCCTGCCTGTAGAGCTTAAAAAGGTTGGGTTGTTCATGGATTATGAAGAAGGGTTGGTCTCTTTTTATGATGTGGATGCAAGAGTTCTGATCTGCTCCTTCACAGGATGTGCATTCAAAGCAAGGGTGCCATTACTGAGGAACATCATCTCACTCTTGGTTTACAGCAGCACACCTTCAAAGACCAGGGTCTACCCTCTATTCAAGCCCGGCACTGAGCAGGAGAGTGACTCTGCTCCTCTGAAGATCACTCCAGTTGGATGCACCAACTGTGGTCCTGTCTGCTGATCTCAAACTTTACTTGTATGGTAAAGTTTTGAATTTAAAACATCCAATGATACAGAATCAAAAAAGTCTGAATTTAGTAAAAAAAAAATAAAAATAAAGGCGACCAAAAGAAGAGGATCTGGTCCTATTTGAAGTATCATTGATGGAGCCTTCACAGATGTGGAAGCTAAATAAAAAGCTAATGCCCATACTTCTAATTGTTTTGAGAGGAAAAAACTTTGAAGTGTGTTTCTAATATTTACAACATATTTAGAAAAAAGGAACGTGTTAATGTTTGATGAAGTAAAGGGAAATAAAAATGATGTATCCAGTTGATTCTTAAGATCTTACTTTGTAGGGAATGTTTGCAGCTTGACCCTGAGTTTTTTAAAGATTGTTTTGTATCAGAAAAGTAAATACTACAAAATATTGAGAAAAAAGTGCAGAATATATTAAACAGATTTTGAACTATAACTTAATTGTGCTTTTTTAATTTTGTTTATCTTTGTTATAGATTTAAGTGCTATATGAAGCTCTTGTTTGGTTTTTATATACACTCCCTGAAGAACAACCAAACAACTTAGAAAATGATCACAGAAGCTTTTGGTGTGCCTGCCTCTCTGCATCATTAATAGGTGAACGTCTGTATTCGTCTGTGCTCTCTGCCCTCTGGTGGTCAACGTGATGAACTACAGCTCTGTCTGATAAGAAATTGGTGAAATCAGGTGCTGGTGTTTGATACATTTGTGATACATTGCCAGTCCCTGATTAAACGTTAACCTTTAATATATGTTAAATATGTGATCTGACCATTAGTGATTGGACTGTGCATGATAGCTCTCTGGTTGTCACAGAGGCCCACTGCAATACTTCCTATTTAGAAACTTGAAATGCTTTCAAAGAACTCAAAAATTGTGTTGATACCTCTTTCAATAACAGTACCTAACATCCATTTACTCACTCTGCCCTCTTTGCAGAGTTGCTTTTCTTCCCTGCCCCTTGGTGAACACTGGTGGTCATTTCATCTGTTTGAATTTTTCCTGCCACATGAAAACATGGTATAAATGAAAAAATTAATGTGATTAATGGCAGAGTTTTGTCTCCATTTTTTTGACATGTGTTTTTTCCCTAATCAACCTGACCTAAAAATTGCTCAGGAAAAACAAAAAGTTGACAACACTTTGGTCATCAAATACTTTATTCTGACTTTGTGGTGTGTTTTAGCAAAGGATAAATTCAAATAAAGTGTACTTATTGAAAAACTGGTGTTAAATTCTCCTTTTTATACAGACAAAAATCTGCCTTTCCTTTGTTCTTGTGATGAACTGTTTCTTTATCTGACCATAGAGAAGACTGTGTTCAATACAGAGTGCGAGGTTGAATATTTGCAGCATCATTTAAAATCCTCAGCTGTTTTTAGACTCAGCCCTGAGGTCGTATAACTCATATCCTCATAATCAGATTATGTTTGTCTTTAAGACTTCTCACATGTTAAACAGTTCTGGCCATTAAAAGGACAGATACATTTGAAAAAATCCATTAGCTCTTGGTCCTGGACTGAGATGTGTAGTATCGAACAGTAGGCCATTTGTGGCTTGTGCAGACTGAATCAGGTTGTCATAAGTTGCAATGCTTGGAGAACAGTTTATACTGCTCAAAAAAGAGGGTAAGGTCCTACTCCCCGTCTTCCTTTATTGCAAATGACTTTATAATATCACAGTTAACTTGCTCAGGGACGACATTTAAATCATTACTAGTCAGTTAACTTACATTAATTAAAAATGATTCCGAAAAGGCTGTGCAGTAAATTGGCACTAAAATTAACAAACAAACATTAACAGCCGAAAAAGCTCACTTAGATCGCCCGATATAATTGTCCCGTGTGCTGTTAAATATATTCTTTATTTGTTTTTCATTAATAGTGGTTGAACTCTTACAATCCGAATTTTCTTCGTTTGAGGTAACTTTTTACATTTTAGATGATTTTTACAGCATTTTTGAGAATTTGTGAGTGATATAATTGCTCAAAGTTTGGCCACTTTGCCCTCAACGATTATGGCAGTTTCGCGTTGCAAACGAAGGTCAGACTGACTCTTGCCTCTGATTGGACCGTAAGCTTTAAGGCCCTCCCTTCCTCTCCTCCATGTGGCCTCTCGCTTCTCTGATCGCACCTTTATGCTGCCAATCAAATATCTCAAGCCAATCGGATGCTTTTGTCCTTCTGAATCGCGCCCCATACAGTCGCCGGCAGTTAGTGCTACCATCCAACATGTCGGCTGCGTCCGTGTTCCCCATGTGTGCGCGAGCAAGCCGGGGCCTCTTGCGGCTCAGGAGTGGGACTGTGGCCGCCTCCTCCCCGGCGGTGGTAGAAAGCGTCAGGACACTGTCTACGGAGCAGCCGCCAACCCAGGCAGGCAGTGTTACGGGCGGACTGGCTCAGGCGATCCTCCAGGAGAGACTCCAGCAGCAGAGTCAGGTGAGGCAGCTAGCTCTTATGTGCGCTCGATTTCATAAGCTAATCAGCGTCCCCGGTAGCTCGCGCGTTCTGCTGTAAAAACTCCGCCCGCTTGAGGTGTCCTTGTGAAACAAATCGGACCCACTCCCGTGACATTTCTAGCTTCAGGTTGGGCTGACAGCTAAAATACTAAATCGTTTACTGACACTTAAAGAGCGGTTGCCATTTGTATATGTGTGTCAAATGTGAGCTTCATACAAGTGGAATGTCTGCCCTAGGCTGCCGTAGTTTCTTCTGCAGTATCCTGAATGAATGAACCTGAGATTAAGGTGGCTAATATGCTAGCAGGCTAATGTTAGCATGTGTGTGTTACTGTTACCAGGAGGTTGACTGTCTCTCTCTAACGCCCCAAACACACTTTATCTTAGCAACCTTTCCCCAGATTTATCGGTTTATTTCCGACGAAGAAGAAGGTCAATGTGACAGCTAACATACAGTTGTGTGTTAGCTGTCATATGTGTATGTAACATACAGTCACACACACATTGCTTCTGTTGAAACCTGCTGTCTCCTCTCTGTAATGTTGAGGCTCCTGACTCTATCACACCGAGCTGACGGTGTGCGACAAAACCTCCGGTCTTATCTGTGTGAGTCTACAGCCAAGGTTTGTTTGGTTTGAAGGTCAGAAAAGACCCCCGCCCCTTCTGCTCTCAGTAAACCCCCCAAAGTCTAAACTGGAGCAAACTGACAGCTGCCGAACCTGTTTGAAGGTAAATTACTGTTACTTCATCACAGACTAGTGTTAGACAGGAAACAGCAAAAACACTAGCTTTTGTATTTTTGTTGACACGAGCAAATTAACCATATTTTTGGAGATTTATTCCCAGAATCTGTTTGGCTTGAAATGTCCAGAAGTGCTATACCGATGTTAACTCTGTGAACTGTTGTCTGATAGTACTGTGTAGCCTATGTATGATTTTAGAAATATCACTGTAGAAAGGAATCTCTCAATACACCATTGTTTAGAGGCTCAGGATGTTTTCCACTCATTCTGTTACAGCTGCTCAATTAAGGCAAAAATAATAATCCTAATTAGAGGTGGACTGATCAGTGTTTTTCAGAGGCCAAATTAAACAACTCAATCAGCCAAAGTAGGTGAGGCAACACACAAATTCATAATCTATACAAATAAATTACAACTTATCTATACAGCATCATTTGTTTCTACAAATGTACATAAATATGATTTATCATCAACACTTACCAGTTGCTTTATTTCCTGCATTGCCAAACTATGCTGCAAGACCAACTTGGAGCTGTGTGTCTGAAAATCTGGGAAAGAGTTGGCTTCAGTTTATGGTTTACGCCCATCCTAACTCACCCAGAGAGGTTATCTGAAGCATAGGCTTTACATGGAGACAGCTCCAATACACAGTCTCAGAGAACTTTTATCATGGGAAGAAAATTAAATCTAATTAGAAAGAGGATTTATGAAGGTCAGCAGAGGATTGTCTGGAGGCCTTGAAGGAAGCAGCTTCATAGCTGATTTTGGTTCCCTCTTTTACATGGCGGTCTACATCTCATTTCTGCGATGTTGTCAGACACTGGAAAAAACAATCTGAGCCTGTGAGGGACAAAAACCAGAACCTCCCAAAGTGACTTTTTTAAAAGTCGTTAAATTCTGAGTAGCAGACTAGGTGGATAAGGAAATGGTCAGGAAGCAGTCAGAACTGAGCACAACACACAACATGGCTAAACACTGGTTCACAGAGTCTGCAGGTGGTTCACTAATTGTGGCCACCATTAGCAGAACTCGAACCATCTGCCCTCAGACTCCTTGCAGGTTAACGGACTTCCCCTCCTTTTCTGACGGACTGTGCTAGTCATCTTGTTTACATTCAGGTGGTGGAGCATAGTAGCAATACTCAAGTTGTAGGCCCTCCAAGTAGCAGGTGGCTGTACTACAAATTACAGTGCATCCGGAAAGTATTCATACCACTTCACTTTTTCCACATTTTGTTATGTTACAGCCTTATTCCAAAATGGATTAAATTCCTTTTTTCTCTCAAAAATTCTACACAAAATACCCCATAATGACAAAGTGAAAAACTTTTTTTAGAACATTTTGCAAATTAATTAAAAATAAGAACACTCAAATGTTGCATATACATAAGTATTCACACCCTTTACTCAATACTTGGTCGAAGCACCTTTGGCAGCGATTACAGCCTCCAGTCTTCTTGTGTATGATGCAACTAGCTTGGCACACCTGGATTTGGGGAGTTTTTCTCCATTCTTCCTTGCACATCCTCTCAAGCTCAGTGAGGTTGGATGGGCAGCATCAGTGCACAGCTTCTTTCAGGTCTTTTCAAAGATGTTCAATCGGGTTCAAGTCTGGGCTCTGGCTGGGCCACTCAAGGACATTCAGAGACCTGTCCTGAAGCCACTCCTTTGTCTTCTTGGCCGTGTGCTTAGGGTCATTGTCACGCTGGAAGATGAAGCGCCGCCCCAGTCGAAGGTCTCGAGCGCTCTGGAGCAGGTTTTCATCAAGGATCTGGATGTACTTAGCTGCATTCATTTTTCCCTTGACCCTGACAAGTCTCCCAGTTCCTGCCGCTGAAAAACATCCCCACAGCATGATGCTGCCACCACCATGCTTCACTGTAGGGATGGTATTGGCGAGGTGGTGAGCGGTGCCTGGTTTCCTCCAGATATGATGCTTGGCATTCAGGCCAAAGAGTTCGATCTTTGTTTCATCAGACCAGAGAATTCTGTTTCTCCTGGTCTGTGAGTCCTTCAGGTGCCTTCTAGCAAAGTCCAAGCGGGCTGTCATGTGCTTTTTACTGAGGAGTGGCTTCTGTCTGGCCACTTTGCCATAAATGCCTGACTGGTGGAGTGCTGCAGAGATGGTGGTTCTTCTATAGGGTTCTCCCATCTCCTCAGAGGAACGCTGGAGCTCTGTCAGAGTGACCATCGGGTTCTTGGTCACCTCCCTGACCAAGGCCCTTCTCCCCCGCTTGCTCATTTCGGCTGGGCGGCCAGCTCTAGGAAGAGTCCTGGTGGTTCCAAACGTCTTCCATTTCTTAATGATGGAGACCACTGTGCTTTTTGGGATCTTCAATGCAGCAGATATTTTTCTGTAACCTTCCCCAGATCTGTGCGCCGATACAACCCTGTTTCGGAGGTCTACAGACAATTCTTTCGACTTCATGGCTTGGTTTGTGCTCTGACGTGCTCTGTCAGCTGTGGGATCTTATATAGACAGGTGTGGCTTTCCAAATCATGTCCAATCAGCTGAATTTGCCACAGGTGGACTGCAATCAAGTTGGAGAAACATTTCAAGGCTGACCAGTGAAAACAGGATGCACCTGAGCTCAATTTTGAGTTTTATAGCAAAAGGTGTGAATACTTATGTATATGCAACATTTGAGTATCTTATTTTTAATTCATTTGCAAAATGTTCTAAAAAAAGTTTTTCGCTTCGTCATTATGGGGTATTTTGTGTAGAATTTTTAAGGGAAAAAGGGAATTTAAACCATTTTGGAATAAGGCTGTAACATAACAAAATGTGGAAAAAGTGAAGTGGTATAAATACTTTATGGATGCACTGTAGACACAATATATGAACAGCCTTTCAGGCCTTGAATAATGAGAATATTGATGATTTGTTGATCCGACTCATACTAAAGAAACAACACTTACAGGTTTAGTCAACCAACGCATCAGTGGTCATGAGCAATGACAGTAATAGTCTGTTCTGACTGAAACTGACTTCACTTTATATCCACCAGGTCAAGCTCGTCACCCATCATTACAGTAAGATGCTGTTGTTTTACAGATGTTAATAGCAGAGACATGTCTGTCATTGTTTGGTGCAGGGTCAGCCTCCTCCTGAGGGGGGTGATGGAGAGAAGGAGAAAGAACAGACAGATGACAAGAAGCAGAAGGAGAACACGGCCTACGCCAAGAAGATGGTGCTTCGGCTAGCGGGGATCATGGGACTTGGCGGGGCGGTCGGCATGGTCTACATATTTGGTGAGTGTGGGAACCCTGAGGAAACCACAGGGAACTTTTTCCATAATTGGTTTATGTTAATGTTCTTTTTAAAATGTCAGCATCTTAAGTTTGGCCATTACTCTACACTTTATCACTCCTATGGTGTTTTTAGTTGTCCAACTTTTACAACCCACAATGAAAGTTTTGTAACCAAACCTGGGTATTATTGACGATAACCTTCCAATTAAGTTTTAAATTGATGCCAGAAGGGGAAACAGTCAGTGCAGTGCTCTGTCTTTACTGTCTGAGTCTGTGTTGAAGTCTTCAGCTGTCTAAATGGGATTTTAAAACAGCTTAACCCCCCATCCTCTTTATCAGTTTACATCAGTGTGATTGGTTTATCACCTTCAGCTGCCTGTTCCTGTCCTGTAGGGATGCCCCCCCTGAGGGGCGGAGCTATCTGCTGTCAGTCAGAAGTGTCAGCTGGTCTTCAGAGAGGAGTCAGACTGGGAGCAATAGAGAGGTTAGTTTGTCAGGTGGGAAGAACATGTCTGTGGTCAGCCGGTGAAAATCAAATCAGCTGAGACGAATGAAAGGAGAAGTTTTAGATTTGAGTCTGAACTTTTTGTGAGGCTGAACAGAAAATACTGAAGATCTTTGGAGTTTCACTTTAGCTGTCAGATCAGGAGAGGTCAGACCCCGCAGATCCAGCAGAGCCTGAGTGGTTCATGTTGTCAACTTTTCATCCCCTGATTTATCTGCGATCCTGAAGTTTAAACTTTTAACCTGGAACAAAGCTGCGTTTGGATTTCCTTCTTTTATCAGTGCAGCCCTCAGCACAATTAGTTCATTTCCTGCTTGGTTTGCTGCTGCACTGTTTGGATCAGGATACCGCACTAATTTGGAGGATTTGGATGCCTGCTTATTATTCCTAGAGATTCACCTGATTTTACTTTTTCTCATTTTTCTTCCTTTTTTCTTTGTTGTGGAATTATCTTGTTAAATTACCAAAGTGGAATATGCATTTGTGTTTTGGATTATGAGCGTGGATTCAACCAGTGGAGATATTCTTCATTAAATCCTGACAGCTGCTGCATACCCTGGTCTCTCCTTGTGCTTTGACTGCAGATAGGTTTGTGAAGTACTTTGTTTTGCTTTGTTCTTGAAGGATTTGATGCCTTTGCTGATAAAATTTACAGGTGTTTGTATCGAGGAACCGAAATGCTGAGTTTTGAAATTTAGTGATGTCTTTTCTTTTTCTTTGCAGTCTGTTAAAGGGGTGAAAAAACTGCAGGAGTGCATGTGTTGTTGACTTGCATGTCAAACTTTTTGGGTATGATTAGTATAAATTTTCTTGTGTTGTGACAATTTGTGTATTATGAGGGTGTAGTCTGTTGAGATTTTGTTGTTGTAACATCAGAAAAATACTAAAAATGACTTTCAGAAGTTCTCTGTGTCCTCGCTTAAGTCTTGTAGTGTCCTGTTTTTCCAGATGCTAATGTTCCAGTCATTTCAGTAAATCCCACATTTTTGAAGCTGAAAACAGGTTGTGGATCAAGAACTGTTTCCAACTTCTCTGGTTCCTCAAAATTTGACTCTGTCCAGCTCGTTTTTACTTTATCGATGCTGGCTTTCTGGTTTCCTTAAACAGTCAGCTCTGTCTAATGTGACTGCTGTGCAACCTGCAGTAAAAGACATGCAGCGAAGTCTGAGATAGAAACACAGCAAAGAAATGTCTCATATAAGGAAGAGTGACAATTACAGTGTAGATTATCTGTATTAGAATCAGGTTCTGAGCCCAGTAGTAGTTGTACGTTTGAGGAATTTGTCTGTTTTGCCACAAAAACAATGAAGGTCAATAGAAATAAAAAAAAACCATATTCAACAAATCAAATGCTTTTCAACAGCAATACTATGACTGTCAAGCAACCTTAAGTTGAAGTCAAAAATATTAAAAAGCGATTTCAAAATTAAACAGATCTAAATAGATTTTGTACAAAATCAGTAAAAGAGAGCTGCACATTTTTACAGGATGGTTTAAGAGCAAAATCTACAAATCAGACAGTGTAGTGTCTGCAAAATCATCTTTTAATTCAAGCATTTAACTCTTACACCGTGCTGGAACTTGAGCTTGTGTTCCAGGAGTTTCATGCACTTGATTCGCCATGTTTCTCTTTCGGACAAAGTAGCACATCTGCCGGTGAGCCCTTAGCACAGCTGAGTGACATGCATGCCTTTCTCTGCCTATTTCTGAACTTTAGTTCAGATGTGATCCATCAGTTCAGGCAGGTGCCAGAAATGTTGTTTTTTGTGTTCTGTGCTGCAGAGACGTGTTAATTTTGATTGATGATGACGTTACTTTTAGATCTCTCTTGTGTAATAAAGTTTAAAGCAGTGGAATCATTTAGACTTTTATATGATGCACGGTCCGCTGTTAAAGCTGCAAATATTGAGCTTTATTTTTGTGCAGTTTTCTAAGAGTCTGCTGCAGTCTGTATTTTCACTGTGAGGTAAATCCAGAGACCTGTGATAGCTGCTAATTTGTTGTTTTTCCTTCTTTTTCAGGCACTAACTCTGTGGACGAACAGGGAAACCCGGTGAGTTTGATTGTCACACACTCCCAATAATCCCCCCAGGTGTGAGTCTGCACACATGATAAACAGACGCCGTCAACTTTAATGTGACTGTCTTTGAAAGTTTGTGTCCGCACATTTACTCGTCTGTTCTCGTGTGTGTCGAGCAGTCTGGTCCGAGGCAGCGGCACACTTCAGCACTCTGCTGTGAGTTTCTCTGTCTTTGAAGTGTGGTGCTGCTCTGCTCACCTCACAGGTAGGAGATCCTCTTCCTGTTGTAAAGGCCTCACATCACAGGCGGCCATGACGTGTGTCCGTCTGTCTGAGGTGTGAGCTTGGGAGAGGAAGGAGCACACTTATCTCACCTTTAGCGTCCCCTTTGGGATACTGTTGTTGTGTTAAAGAGAAGGCAGCACACTTCACAGGTAGATGTGATGTCAAATTCTCACCTGAGGAACATCAAAGAGGTGGATTTTCCCATCCCCTTACTCTGACGACCCTCATACTTGGTGTAGGAGTTTTAAAAGTCAAATAAAGTCATTATATAAGAAGAAACAAAATCATTATGTTCTGAAAACTAAGTGGTTGATTTAGTCTGTGATTAGAAGCATGATGCTGTTTAAAAGAGGGGATCCCACCTGTCTCAGCTAACTGCTTAGTCTGTTCAGAGTCCAGATCCTTATAACAATGTGGATCTGAGGAGACAAGTTACAATGTCATTTAGCAGATACTTTTATCCAAAGCGATGTACATATGAATCAGACACCAGTGAAGGACATACACTGGGAGCAAGGAGAGTTAAGTGTCTTGCCCAAGGACACGACAAACAAACTAGGGATAGGGGGGAATCAAACCGCCAACCTTCCATTCGTTGGACAGCTGCTCTACTCCTAGGCTACTGCCAAGGAGCCAGACAAACCATTAGAGACACTTTCAGCAGACGCTCCACAATCCTCTGTTTGGTCCAGACACCTGTCTGCTGACTGTGAACCAGAACTACTGCTACCTATGACTGTTACATTAGTTTCATTAGCTGACTCCAGAGGCCTGTACTATGAAGCTGGATTAACACACCCAGGATAACTCTGCCACAACTCACTCAACTTCACCAGATCTCTGTAACCCCGATCAGTTGTACTGCAAGGCAGGTTATCAACTTGATAAATGTATCCAGTTGAAGCCAGTCTAGATCCTTGCTCGCACACATAAAGGGGGCGGGGTCAGTGAGTTATGAGGAGTTCCGGGACATTATAACGGCAAGGAGCAAGACTGCTGCAGCCACTAGAAGCCGGAGGGACTGCTAGCAAAAAATCGTCAATTATGTGAATTAAATTTGTGCGTTTATAAATTTATGGTCCCCTAATATGTTGTCATGCAGTGCGTGTGATCACCATCATCATTGGCCTCATTATTTCAGATATAACAGCAGAGCAGTGGGGAAAAGAGTACGTGGGAGCAAATAAAAAATAACTATAAAAACATCCTTCAGAGTGGTTAGTAGGTGTATTGTTAGATTTTATTTGTATGTATTTCAACATGTAAACAGTGATTTCCTCACACTGCCTTGATGAGGAGCTTTGCTTCTTTTTTCTCCATCATCTAATGGTCTCATGTCACCTGCAGACACATTTGGGGTTAAGAGGAGTTTTCTAATCTGCTTCAATAAATTCTAAATGATGACTGATATGAAGCATGAAACTGGAACTTGGAGCTTGGCAAATATTAGTGCATTGCTTAGACTTCATGCTACCTGAATACTGAGAGAACGTCATCAGGTAAATCAAACGGATTTGATCGATCACAAAAATAACGCTCTCAGCGAAGCGCTCCCCTCACTATCCGTGCACCGATGTCCACGGGATCCAGCAAAAGTGGGCAAGCCATTTTTCAAGAGATCCATGGTCAGTGGGCGGTCTTTTATACCTGCTGAGATCCTATCCTGAAACATAACCTGCTCTGGAGCTGGTTTGGTGTTCTGCGTAAGTTACCGGGGCAACGGACCCAGATGGGAAGAAATCCATCGTAGTACAGTAAACCCAGAAGTTTTTCCAGAAGTTATCTCACTAAGATCAAATGCACCTTTCTAGTACAAGCCTCTGGTCAGCTGTCAGAATGGCCCTGTTGTTGTGGGTGTCTCTTTAAAGGACATACTTGTCTCACATGAGAATCATTCTGTTCGAACCAGAGAGCCTAATGTCTTGGGATGTTGTCCTGTTAGAAGCTCGTCATTTCAGCTGTCAGCTCGAGAGAGAGGAGAAGAATTTGATTTCATCACTTGGCCTTTTCGACTTTTTCCTTTCATTGCATATTAAATAACTCACCTCGATGAGTGTTCAGCTCTTCTTTAGTCTCTGTATATTTGTATTACTGCAGAAGACTCTGGCAAAATAACAATACATGCTCATAAATATGAGCATAATGATTCAGATTTAGTCCGTAAAGACATTCATAACCCCAAAATAGTGTTCTTTTGGTATTTCTTATACTGATTCCTAAAATGTTGCACGTCAACCATTTTTAGCATCAACTTTGTTGTTTTCATAGAGTTTTGGGCCCAAATGAGTTGCTCTGTGAGGGGAGCGGAGGTGTGAACGTGGGAGGCATGAGCTGTCTTTTGTCTCTGCTCATTTCCTTACAGTCAAAGCGCTCTGCCTCCTTCAAAGAGCACACTTATCTCACCTGAAAGAGCTCTCAGGAGCCTCCAGCTCCCATCAGACGACACACTTCTCATGCCAGAGTAACAGTCTGTCCTTCAAAGGCACACTTATCTCACCTCTTTAGACTCCTTAGACCCGGACTCTTTCCCGGCTTCACGCTCGACATTTGCTAAACAGGACGATGACATGTGGCGTGTGTCAGAGCAGCCAAAGAGCTGTTTGTCTGGGAAAAGTAGCTTTACTTCAAAGCAGCACCTCACAGGACACATTTGGTGTTTAGAGCATGTACAGTGTGTGATCTGAAGCTTGTTCTCTGGTCATAAAGGGATTACACGACATCAGACGTGTTTATTTTACAGTAAAAAACAGCAACATTAAAAGCTTAGAGATGCACTAAAGCAGATTTTTGCCAATATTTCTAAATCATTTCGTCCATCGCTTACCCAGTCTACATGCTACCCTTAATGGGACAGCTGTCAGTGCTCTGTGTGTTTGTAGAGGATATACCAATAGATAGATGACAAAGTATTTAAAGGTGTCATGTATTAGGTTCAGGTACAGTGTCATCTGTGGGAAACACTGATCTCAACACTACAGGGACTCTTAGATTGCCTCTCTTGATCCGTTCATTTGATGAGGTTGAGATCTTTGGTTGAATCAGAGTTTTTTTTTTACAGTCATTTCCTAAAATGATGTGAGGATGTGGGAACCAGGACCTGTCCTCCTTGAAAATCCTTGGTTCCCGACCTCACAGGTTATAAACCCTCAGGCTGTATCCTGTCTGGCCAACACACAGACTTCAAAGCTGAGGCACACTTCTTCGACCTCCAGACTCCTCTTACCCTCCTCCTGACTGTCCCTACTGTCAGAGGAGAAACTCTGGGAAAAAGTTCCTTAAAGGACACAATTTCTTTTAGCTTTAAAAAATCTGAGAGGTGAGGGTTCAGAAAGTCAGGAAACATTTCTCTCTTTATTCTACTATGGGAGTCTCCATTGTGTTTTTTCTACTTGTTAATTTTCCGAACTTCTATCCTTTTAGTCTGCAGGTAGAGTGACATCTCAAACAGCTTGTAGTTTGTTCATCTGGGTTTGTTCATCTCACCTCTCTGGCAGATCCTTTTAAACTTTGTTTTTTCGTGGATAAAAAATAATTGATCACTTTCGGCATTCAACCCCCCAAATCCTGCCCCAACCAGTATGTTTCTATGCTAGAAAAACAGGTTTTTTATGTAAGACCAACTGAAACTGGACTTTTGACACATATCCAAACATATTAATCTGACTGAAATGGCAGTGAATCTAATTTCCTGTGGTAGGACTGACATATGATATGAGATAATGCGGTTGTGGAGCAGTTTTCTCTCAGGTTTTTGCCCCTCAATCAGACTGAAACTAGCTGAAGAGTCCTGCACATGCTCCACAGTTTGCCCGTCAAGCTTTGAAAGTTAAACCAGATAAATCAAACAGAAGACTCTGTCACTCCAGTGGATTTAATGAATGAGGGATCAGTCATTGTTATCCTGATGAAGAGGAGCTGTGGGAAAGACTGAGGAGGACGAGGCTGTCAGGGAAACTGACAGAGCAGTGACAACAGGTCTTTAGAGGTGATGAGGCACTAACATACGAGGGTGAATTGAAGTCAGCTGCTGCTCGGTGAGTCAGAGTGAGGTGCGAACGAGGCCGTTAAACCCTCATCGACACCTGGGTATGGCTGCAGAGCTGCAGCCTGGAGAGCAGGACGGAAACTGGTTCCCACACTACAAACACACACACACATGATCACTCACTCACTCACTCACTCACTCGAACACACACACACACACACACACACACACACACACACACACACACACACACACACACACACAGAGTAAAACACAAAATAGCTGCAGTTTGAAGGTGAATATGGTGCAGAACAGGCAGATTATAGCAACACAGTTCATGGTACAGACTGTCCTGCTCTCAGGTTTAAGGTGGAGGTCTACCAGAGTTTTCAGTAAGACAGAGGGGGTAAAATATTTATTGATTTTGGATCAATTAAACAGCTGTAAAAACTTCTTTTCCTAATAACATGCATATCCATGTGCAAATGATGGAGAAGTTCATGCAAAGATCAGCTGTGAATTTCAAACCGAGGTTCCTGCATCGCTTAATTTACAGGCAAGGCAAATATTTATGCAGTTTTGCATCACGACCACTTGGTGGAGCACTACACCAGAGCTGTGAGCTTTTCCCAGTGTCCTGACCAGGTCTGCACTCCCCTGTCCTTTGCCTTCCCTTCCCTTCTGTTCTCCTTGAATTATGATTAGCCTCACTCTCCTGTTTTCCTCTACATCCTCCATATTTAAACATCCATTCTTCTTCATCATTTCAAGCTTTTCTGCTGTTTTTTGTCCTCTCTTGTTGTGTTACAAAGTGATGCACCAGAAACACAGAGATAACCCCGCACTTTGGTTCTGCTCCTCCTCTGTCTTTTGCTTCATTTTCTTTCTCTTCATCTTTTCGTGTCAATACATCAATCTGTTTCTCCTTTAATCAGCTCTGTTTCTCCTCTGATTCCTCATCCCGGTTTTGTTGGATCAGTACACAGCAGTCTGTTCGTTTTATTATTCCAGATGGGGAACATGATTTTCAGTCAAACGTTATAAGAAAAACCACAAAGCTTTGTCTTCATTGTACATTAGGGAAAACAAAACAACCCAAAAAATGCAAAATCCCACCAGCATGTTTACCAGCGTGAACAGAAGGGTTTGATCTGCTGGAGTAGAGACTCAACCTTAAAGGGATATTCCAGCGCAAGTTTAAGTCATGGTCAAACACACCGTAACACTGAGTTAGACTCTCCCTCGGGAGATGAATATTGCCCACCGCTTATTTCTCATTGGGGGACAAATAAAGTTATTAATTGATTGATTGATTCTCTTGTTCCACCAACTTCAGCAACAACTGTATGATAGCAATACACAGCGGTCTATGTCTCCACGTTCAAACCTCAACCAAAAAGCCACTCTATAGTCACTACTAATGCTCAGAACAGCACCTAACTTCATCAACAGTACATATAGGGTCCTAGCCATAGCACTGGTCACCACACAGCTCTTTAGCTTTGCTTGATTTCTTTAGCTAAGAGACCAAACACAACTCACCCACTCTCCTCCCCCAGTAGGGGAGCCCTGATGAGTCGATCACCAAGTGCAGCTGTAAATTTATGGTTATTACTTCATGGAAACGCAATCAGACCGAGACGCTGAGGCAGAAGAAGTACTGCGTCTACAGTGCACATACAAGATACACAAGAACTGTGATTGCATTTCCGTGAAGTAATAATCATAAATGTTCTTTCTTGAGATCTCTGCTGTACTTGGTGATCGACTCATCAGGGCCCACAAACAAGTGGCTGCTGGAGAAGAGTGGGCGAGTTGTGTTTAGTCTCTCTGCTAAAGAAATTGGGCAAAGCTAAAAAGATGTTTGGTGGCTAGTACTATGGCTGGGACCCTGATTCAGAGAGCTGTTATTTTAAATACAGATTTTAATCATTTCCCTCTTTTCTTGTTTCCTCACAGATTCCTGATGAGTTTGACAGAGGTGAGTGTGACATATCTGCAGTGCTTTGTTTACACGACCACAGGCTGTAAAATCAACCATCAGTCAAGACTAAACAAAATCAGATCTGGCTGACTGTGTGTTTCTGTTGATTCACACTTAGGCTCTTTCATCAGGTTGTTTTTATGGGGAATACAGTGAGTAATTGTCTGGACCTGTCAGCAGTTGCTCCTGCGGGGTGCAGGTGTTTAATCTGAACAGACTTATTCCTGATAAATTGAAGAAGGATGTTGTGAGAGTTAAGCTGTGTTTAGACTGATTGATACCGAATTCCTGAGAAGGTGAGCTGCATGTGTTAGCACAAACAGACAATTCTTTCACCTTAGCTTCACCTTGAATTTCACCCACCAGGATCCTGATGTTTGAGGGCAACATGAGGGTTGTTTGTGTCATAATCTTCATCTTGATTTAAGATGGATGCTGAGGTAGATGGATATATGGATGCTCAGGTAGCCACAATGTAATGTCATTGTGGCTACCTCAGCATCCATGTCCAGGCTCCTGAGATCCCAGAAACTTCAACGACTGCATGTTTATAAACAGTGTATGTTTGAATCTGGGCCCTCAGTGGAATTAGGCTGTTGCAGCTTTCTCACCTGTAATGTAGGAATTTCCCCACAAAAATAATCAATTGATTTATTTGCTGAACCCTGAACAACCAATCTTGACTAAATGTAAAGTGTACATATTCAGTGTTTTTTTAAATCAAGGCTCAATTATGTCAAATGTAAACCTATAATGTATGTCACTCCTGTGTGCAACACAGTGTTTATTTTCTGTCTTTAAATTTTATTTACTCAAGTCCGCAATCTGCACTTTTGGTGCATCTGTGTAGCTCTCTCATACTAAATGCACTATTAACACCTGTTTTGCTACCATGTCAACGAAAAGTAAACCTATTTGAGCACTAGAAGGACTTGTGCTAGAAGGAAAGTGTCAGAATGTGCTGACATGTGAATGAGGAGAGTTAGTGATGTAGAGGCTGTGTTGGGGAGTAAAGCAAAGACACGCAGACAGGAAGAAGCCTGACTTCAGCTACAACCAAACCAAATCTACACGGTTCTGCTTCTTTCTGCAGAGATGTGGATCTGTTTATAAAGTTTTGGAGAGCAGAACCACTATAACAAAATCAGAAAATTACTCCAGCTGTGTCTTACCATCACTCTCTCTCATCACTCTGCTCTCTCTTGGTGGCTTTTGGCTGAAAACTTGACTAATATATTATTATTATTATTTTAGAGCGTGCAGTATTAAAAGAACCAGAACATTTCTACCGCTCATTCTTGGCTGTTCCTCACCTCCTCCAGCACCCCCTCTGCTGGTCTTTCTTCCCTAAAATGAAGTTTTTTAAATCGAACCAGATCTTTAGATGCGGTCTGCCTCCAAATGATGAAAAACTAGCAGCAGATTGCGCCTCAAAAAGCCTTTTTTCTCCATTATATGTTCGTATTGTATGAAGCGTGTGTGTGTTTGTGTATATGTTTTGTGTGGTGTATTCACCCCGTCTCGCTCCAGATGAGTCCCCTCCGTCTCCTCCTGAACATGTGTGTTTTTATTGACACCCTGGCAGCGCTATGTGCGTTAGTGTCAGTGTTTGTTTGAATGATGGATCACTCCGCTGAGCCTCGGTGGCACTGCCAACTGCTCTCACTGTGTGTGTACCAACCACCCATATGCCCCGTCCCATCATTCATCCCTGAACCGCCACCTGACCGCCAAAAAACACACTTGCACACACATTTACCTCCTGGTTATTTATCCGAGAGAGAAAGAAGTCAGCAGACTGAGCTTCACGCCAACAGGACAGAGGTCAGAAGTTACTTACAATGCCTTGACAGAGAAGCAAAATTACCATTAAATATGTCACAGCCCCCTGAATAAGAGCTCCACGTAAAAGTCCCAAAAAATAACAAAAGTGCAAAAGAGATGGAGAGTTTCCAGATTTTTACCAGATGTCTTTTGTTCACAACCAAACTGAGACATAGTGAGACAAAACAGACTTCCTGTCCTCCAAATACGGTTCATCACAAGTGACCTTTTTTTTTTTTTTTTTTTACAACAAATGGATCCGCCTATTGAAATGTGGATCCAATCACTGTTTGAACGGGACAAAATGACTAAATACTCAGTATTTAGTATTTAGTCAAGCCTCAGTATTTCTCTATCAGCTGTCTAGTGAGTTTCCCTGCAGTATCTTGAATATACATTCAACAGGAGAATATCAGACTTTATGATCAAACCCCTGTATTTGTTTCTCCTCTTGTGTCTTTTTTTACATCCACTCTCTCAGTTTGTCCATGCCTGCTGCCAAGAAAAGGTCTTAGTGGATTTTCCCTCCCTGTTGAGTCACATGATGATGCAGTCTGAGGACGATTAGCCACATTTCCGAGGTTTCACTTCGATCTGTGTCGATGTGACTCTCTCTGTTAACGAGTTTTGATCACCCGCTGCTCCCAATAATCACTTCATCAATAATTAAATCTCCCAGAGGTCCAGTGTGCGTCTCCAGCCCCCTCTTGAATCCTTCCCTCTGTCTCTCTGTCCATCATAAAACCCTCCCTGAGGTCCACTTTGTCTAGAAACCGTCTCCTTATACCTCTCTCTCTCTCTCTCTCTCTCTCTCTCTCACTTCTTCATCTCTGTTCATCTTTCTATCCGTTTCTATCTGTCCATCCATCTGTCTCCATCTCTGTCCTTATTCTGGACCCCTGAGGTCCACAGCTCTGTGTCCCTGAAACAGGTAAAAACTGTGAGTTTTTATTGAGGTGCACCATCCCGTCTGGAGCCCAGTATGGATTGAAGGTTGTACAAACAGAGGATAGATGTATGGATCTGTGGATTGGTGGATGAATTGATGGATGGGTGGACTGATTGATTGTGCACAGAAGGAGGGATGTGAGTAAAGGTCTTATTGACGAGTTAGTATGAGCAGGCGATCAGAATTCGTTTAAAAGTACAGTTTCGTTTCGGCCGATCGAACTGATGTGATCCTCACAGCTGTCAATCAAACACACTCTCAGTTAAATGTAGTGAATCTGTGATAATCCTGCCCTATTCACCCTGTATTTCTGTTTTTAAATGATTAACAGTGATGAAAAACAGCACTAGGTTGTGTTGACGATCTTTTTAGTATCTATAATTCAGAAAATTTTTGATTCAGGCCTTTTCAAATATGCTTGTTCTATCAGTTCAGGAGCTCTGTGGGAATACAATGGCCGCCGGCTTGCAGACATATGAAGTAAAAGTAGGTCTGGACTCCTGACTTTGAGGAGGACATCTGTTCTGTTATCAATGCATGCCATCTTTTTGATTTAAATCCTTACTCAAGCAGCTAACCTGCAAATTTGTCTGGAACAGTGTGTCGAGTGAGACTCCTTCATTGTGTGTCCTAACACACGCTGGTTTGTTCAGAGCTGGAAAACCTTTTCCTCCAGTCTCTAAAATCTGCAAAATATCCTCTTCAGCTGACAGGAGGGTGGCAGACTGTATTTGTGAGATGACAAAGCTCTGAGAAAATTCAGCATTTGTGCGAAATAATTGAGTTTTTGTTAGTTTTCTGGAACGGTTTGGCCATTCCTAAAGCCTTTCTGCTATTTTAAGGGTGCAGATTCAAAGAAGGCAGTTTGATGATAATAACTGAAGCTGCAGTTCAGCTCTGAAGTCAGGATGCTCTTTTTTGATTTTTATTTGCAGATGCAGTCTGAGGACGATTAGCCACATTTCCGAGGTTTCACTTCGATCTGTATCGATGTGACTCTCTCTCTAAACGAGTTTTGATCGCCCGCTGCTCCCAATAATCACTTCATCAATAATTAAATCTCCCAGAGGTCCAGTGTGTGTCTCCAGCCCCCTCTTGAATCCTTCCCTCTGTCTCTCTGTCCATCATAAAACCCTCCCTGAGGTCCACTTTGTCTAGAAACCGTCTCCTTATACCTCCCTCTGTGTCTGTAACTTTATGACTTTCTCTCTCTTTCCCCCTCTCTCTCTCTTTCCCCCTCTCTCTCTCTCTCTCTCTCTCTCTCTCTTTCCCTCTCTCTCTCTCTCTCTCTCTCTCTCTCTCTCTCTCTCTCTCTCTCTCTCTCTCTCTCTCTCTCTCTCTCTATCCATCCGTCCATCTGTCTCCGTCTCTGTCCTTGTTCTGGACCCTTACCACAGCTCATTAAGCTGATATGCCTGTTGGTGTTCACAAACCCTCAACAGGTTTTGGACTGTTGGACCGGTCAGGACCAATCAGGACTGCAATATGGATTAAAGGATGAATGTGTGTATTGGTGGGTGGATGAAAGGATGGACTGATTGATCATGCACAGAAGGAGATGTGGGGTATTGATTGATGGGATGTTGGTATCAGCAGGCGATCAGAATTCGTTTAAAGGACAGATCCGTCTCAGTGGATCGACCTCACAGCTGTCACTCACTCTGCTTTATGGCGCCATTTGAGTCTGTAAGCATAACTCGTCAAATCTACTTTAATTATGTTAATGTTTTTTCATTTCTTTAAGTGTGTCATGGCCTAAGGAAAACAGGCTTCATTGCACTTTGTAGATGTGATTGATGAGGGCTTGAATTAAGGCTAAATGGTTGTTTTTTAACCCAAACTGATCCAGCACAAATCCTCACAGTCAAACCTGTGATGTCAGGTTGAGGATGAAATATGTTACCGTTAAATATTTGTCGTATTTGTTTTAAGTAGGGAAAGTGCACAGTATTATCAATCAGAAAGGACAAGACGCGTTTTGACCATTTCTGGTGTCACTGCTGGGGATAAAAATCAGGCTGTATTTGAGAAAGAGACACAGTGTTTGTTCCATTTGCTCAGTATCAGGAAAACAATACCAAGTCGTAAATCAGTTGTTTGAAGGGCAGAGCTGCAATTTATTTTTTGCAGCTTTGTGTTTGCAGTCTGAAACAAAAATGCATTTGAAAGAAAACATGTCGGCTCTAATGTCGGTGTTATTAACTTATCAAGGAAATGTTGCTGAATTATGATTTTCATTATTTCATTTCAAGTGTGTTGATTTTATTACCTCTGACTGCAACAATACGAAAACATTTGTTGTGGTTTCAAGAACTTGAGTATCCAAGTTGTGAACCTTATTCTGGTTTTGATCATGTTGGAGAGCTGGTGTTAACATGCAGATGGAAGAACTACAAAGAGAGTTTTAAATATTTGGCCAGAACATCATGTTGATCATTGATTTCAATTAAACAAGTAGTGTGGTCACATGGTCATTGCATCATCATATGGTTATCACATCATCACCTATTGATCTTCCTAAAGGTTATAAATGATATTGAATGATAACCTGCTGATTTATACATGCTTTAGATCTCTGAACATTTCCCATCAGCCCCTTCAGTGTAATGTGGGCCAATCATGACCTCAGGGACCTTTCAGGACCTTTTAGGGACCTCAGGGACCGAAGGCCAAATATTCCCTGATGAGCTTAGGGACCGGGGTAAAAGTTCATGATCCCACAGGGAGCTCCTTCAACTCATTTCTCCTCATCCTCCATCCCTCCCAAACCTCTCCTCTTTTTCATCCTCACCTGTTTTGTCCTCCTCCTCCTTCTCCTCTGGGAGCAGCAGACGGTGAGCAGAGTGATGGAGGGATGGAGGAGTGAATGGGTCTTATGGGACGTGTTTGGCCACTGACTCTGTTCGTGTGCCAAGTGGCGGCATTTGTGTGCAAGACGCAGAGGAGCGTCGGACACCATGGCAACCAGGACATATGACACCACTTACCCACACGCACACAGAGGTCCCAATAGATTTCCTGACACAGTGACCCTCACAGGCTTACAGTTACCTAGCACTGTCATATCAAACTTGTGATAAATACCTTTAGGTAATAGAGCAGACCTTTGTTTGTTCATTTACAATACACAGTTTTGGTCTGAGCATAAATAACAGTCAGCAAAAAAGTCTTGGTCGGTCAAAGATACTGTTAAAGGGATATTACAGTGTTTTTAAAGCAGACTAGTATGAGTTACATGTCACTATGAAATGTATCCGCTGGTAAGCTCCGCCCCTTTAATGAGAACCCATTAGGAGAACCAGCTACCCAACATGCTAAAACTACTCATTTTAGTGTTTTTCACTACCTTTGAGGGATGATCACAAGTGGAACATGTTTGCCCCACCATGTGTTATATATTGCAAATAAGGTGTAAGGGGGGTCAGCATGTATGAGCCACCTGACTTCTGACGAATAGTCTTTAATAGTCTTTTTTTAAACATATTTATATGCCAGAAAAAACAGGCTGCTTTAGATTTTAACCACAGGACCGTTAAATAAACAAGAGTAATGATCCCAGATCAATTAATAACTCTGTATCAGCTGTTAAACTGTCCCATCTACATGTATTTGAATGAAAAATAGAATATTTAAATGACTTATTGATTAACTTACTGAGATACCTAACATGTCAAACAGCCCAATAACCTGGAACATGAGAGAGAGTGTGTTCATGCTGCTCTAACATGAACACACACTCTGTCTGTTCCCGGGGGATTCACTCACTCACACAGACACACACACACACATTCACTCACTACACTACAGAGGCCGGGCCACACTGCTGTTTGTCCCCCAGAGAGAAAACAAACGATTGACGGAGGAGGAGGAAGGGGGTGTTGTTGTGAAGCAGATGCTGAGCCTGACTGCAGCTTTTGTTGAAGATGGAGGCCCCTCCATCCTTTTCTCCTCACCTCCTTCTTCATCCTTCTTTCCTCTGATTGCGTCATTCCTTTTCTCTCCTCCCTGTCTTGATTCCTCTTTTTTACACCGTTCCTTATTTTCACTGCTCGTTTCTCTTAACTCAGATTTTAGCCCATTAGCAGCCCCCCCCCCTTCTTTCACCCATCACACTACCTCCTCTCCCTTCTCCTTCCTTCCTCATTATTTTCCCTCACATTTTTCTGTTTTTCCTTCCTCCTCCTCCCTTATTCCTCCTTTCATCCTTTCTCTTATTCTTTTTGTCAACCCCTCCCTCTCTTATTCCTCATTTCTGGCTTTTGTCAACTTGTTTTCTCCTTCCCCTCCTCTTCATCCCCCTCCATCTGTTTACAGCTGCCCAGTTTTTCATCCCTTTCTCACAGCCCATAAATTTGTGAAAGTTTGATAATAGTTAAACTGGTTATTTTTCTTTTCTTCTCTTTAATCCCTCTTTTTCGTGGACCTTTATTATCTCTTTAAATCAAAACTTTCCCTCCTGTCATGAGTCATGACCCTGGCTGATGTGAGGTGTTGCAGATGTAGCATTATCTGTCCTTTTAAGCACTTTTTGTACTAAATAAAACCTGTTTTCAGAGTCTGCTCATAATAACCCTCAGCCTCTTCCTCAACACCTCTTTTATATTATGTGAATAAAGGTTTCTTTTGATGTCCGAGCAGCTAAAAAACTATGTGGAGATGCAGCTCAGTGTTGCCATAATACTAACAGAATTTGCCCGGTCCCATTAAAAAAAAAAAAAAAAAAAAAGGGAAAAGCAAGAGACAAAAGTGGGAATATTTAAAGGGAAACTGGTAGTTTAAACTGAATCTTTTTCATTGTAATGACCAGTACATGCAAAAGATCTGTGGTGTTTGAGACAGATTTTTTGTGTCTGAAAAAAAACAATGTTTTGATAACATAAAAAAGGAAATAAATTGATCGAGAAAAAAACATCATCACCATGCGTAAGCTTGTCTCATCATTAGACTACATAGATGAGATCGGGGTGCCCAACCTTTTTCAAACCAAGATTGACTTTTTAAGTGGCATTCTGTGCCACATCCACCATGTCAGTGGATCGTTAGACGGGAGAGAAGGGCCCTGCCATCTGAAGCCATCTGTAGTCTCGACAACAACTGGCCCTCTCGCTCACACACTTTCTGGCTACGTAGAGCTGTTGTAGTAGTCGAGTAGTATAGTATATAATAGTCCCCTCCAACTCATCGTGGAAATCATGTCTTTGCTGGTTTACTTCCTGACATTTTCGTGCTGTGATAAGGATGCTGGGTAACTGGAAGATGGACGGCTCTCACCTTCTAATCTCATACATGCCCCACCAGGTTGACTTTGCAGGGGTTGGCAACGTACCCATAATGCCGCCGTAGCGCACCAGGTAGCCAGTAGCTAAACTATGATGTATTGAAGTTGGATCTGTTTTTTTTCTGTGATGTGTTCAGATCATAGACTGTATATAAGATGGACAGAGTCTGCCTCCTTGCTGGGTGAAGCCACTCAGAGAACAGCACCCTCTGTTGATGGGCTGCAGTATAGGTCATAAACCCGCCTCCACCAGCAAAGCTTATGGGACTGTGGACGAACTTTAGAAATGTATTACACAGAACATACATTTTTCTCCCCCTGCTTGTGATGTTGACATGTAGTTATTGAAAGACTGGTTTGTGCTCAAGTCCACTTTTTTTCTGTGAAGCTCCGTTTTTAAAAGTTATTAAGGGGTTCATGTTTTCTATGATTGACACCTGATACAGCCTATGGGTGTTTAGGGATTGCGTAGCTCTCCCGGGGGATACGCTGTTTGAGCCGAGCGTCATCACAGCGACTCTTGGCGACTGCACGCCCAAATACGCGCATCGCTACTGCGCAGTGCTGGTTTCAGGAAATGAAGAAAAATCCCAGAAATACCGAGAGCTATTTGGCTTCAAATCCGTATACAGGCGGTAGGCGGAACCAAGTTGTCCATATACAATCTATGGTTCAGATGTATAAGAATATGTTTGGAACAAACAGTCGTAAATAAACAGAATTATGCCACATTATGGGATAGGAAAAAAAGTTTTTCCAGTGTCTCGTGTCGAAGATCAGTCCAAGATCGACAAGTTGATTGTGATCAACTGGTTGGGCATCACTGGATTAGATAGACCGTATTAATCCTGATCAAGACTGCAAATGTCATATTACAGTGGGGGGCTTTTTTAATGTCTGCTAGAGTAAAAGATAGGAGAATAATTGTCAGTAGCATGTCAGAGATATCTGTAAGTCAGAGCTAATAACCTCAGAGAGCTGCTCTGCCAGACTGATGAGAAAAACACATTAACATACCAGGTGAAAACAGCACTGTGACACCTGCCACACAGAGCAACATTACATACGTCGTGCTTTAACTAGGACTGACCTACTGAGTTGAATTAAAAACAAAAGGTTGAGGTGCAGAGTTTCACTTTTAACTCCAAGAATTGTAATGACTCCAGTTTGGATCACAAGCAGCTTTTAGGAACAAGATCAACTTTGATTATAATGATTATTTTTTATATTGTCTGAGTAGATCTTCATTGGTTATATGGAGAATTCACAAGCTTTTAGTCTGAGAAATAAAGTTCTTATTGTCAGTATCACAGTATTCTAGGACAGAAGTTTCTCATTATCATTGTGGATGAACAAACAGACCTTTAGTGCAAAACAAGCTGTTCTGTTTCAGCTTCAGTAACACAGTCACCTACCAACAAAGGTTGATGGCAACGCCTGTGCCCTGTGGAGTGTTTCTGAGTGTTTTTGTGGGTTGGGTCTGGTGGCTTCAAAGACAGTGATGTATTAGCAGACTCTGGTTTTAATGGAAGCCTCTTACTTTATTAAAAGCGATATCCTTTGTGTAATGCTGTCAGACACATGGGACAAACACGTGAGCCTGTCAGAGACCAAAACAAGAGCTTTACTGCTGAAGTTGAGTTTGAAGCCATTGAGTTATTTTGTGGTCCTGGCAAAAGCAGAATGCTGAAGCAATTCCAAAACTTTTATAACCTTTACAAATTCAAATATCTGGAAGGGAAATCAGAAACAGGTGTAAAAATACAGAGATTTCCCCTCCAGAGTCCTAGTAATGGTAAGCATACCCTTGCGATGACCTCTGCCAGGATGAATTAAGCTTGACTGGCCTCAGCATCACCTTTGGAGTCAATTTCAGAGCAGGAGAAAAGTTGTTTGGCCCGTTTCAGCCCAGCCAGGCTGGTAAGGAGGAAAACACCAATAGTCCTGGTCTGACAGCTCTACAGAGTGAGGCCTCTCACACAAAGAGCCGACATTGACTATGAAAGGAGGACCGTTAGAGAGGAACAGAGGATGAAAGGAGAGAAACAAGAGAGGAGAAGAAAGAGGAGGAGGTGGCCTCTTCTCCTCCACCGAGAGGAAACACACATAAGACCTACAGGAATCTCAATCATCTCTCACACAAAGGCTAGAATCGGTGGAATTCTGAAGTTCCACCAACAGAAAAAGTTTAATGAGAAAGGTTTGCAGAGTGAGGTCATTTCAGTTATTTAGAGAGAGTCATAAAACAGCTGCAGAGCTTTCATGCTCAATATTATTTGACTAAACAAGACCTCAAGACCACCAGTCAGACTGGACTTCAGTTCTTGTTTGTAATCTGCGCAGATGTCAAACCGAAGTTCAGAAAGACTCAGTCTATAAACGATTTATTTATCTGTATTGATTTAAGTTTATGTTCGTTTTAAAGTGCCCTCACTAAAAAAAAGCTGAAATGTAGTCACCAGCTTTTTGTTTGTTCATCCTTTCCAAACCCTTGATTGTATCATCCATCCATCCATCCATCCATCCATCCATCCATCCATCCATCCATCCATCCATCCATCCATCCATCCATCCATCCATCCATCCATCCATCCATCCATCCAATCTACCATCAGCCTTTCACTGCAGAACCATTCATCAATCATTATCAGTCCATCTATTAATCCATCTTTCTCTCCATCTGGAGTCCATGGTATTCTGTCTGTCCATCTCTTAGTTCTTCTGTACATTACTCCATCCACCTGTCAGTCTTTCCCTTTTGCCCTCAGTCTGTCTTTTCTCCATCACATAATCCTTTCTTCTGTTTCAGAGGCCCTCAGGTATTCGGACCATCCGTCTGAAGTGACAAAACAACGCCATGAAAGCCCCTGATACTCTGAAACATGTTTTGAGTGGTGGAAGCTGACAGAGGGACAAATATTCCTCCTCCTCCCCATCCTTTTTCTGTCATACTCTGTTCATCCACCCATCAGCCACCCTGAAACATCAATTCCACTCCCCTATCCTCCCCCATCAACATGACCGCCCTTCCTCCTGCTCCTGCTCCCCCTCCTCCTTCGTCCTCAGTTAATCAACATGATAAAAGCCAGTCTTAATCTGCCCCTTCACACATGCACACACACACACATCAAAAAAGACATACACACATAATGTGGAGGCTGACGTCATAGGAATACACACACACACACACATTTTGGGCTTTCCTATTACTGGGTGTGTTTAGTTGGAGTCTCAGGGGAGAGGAGACTTAACAGCCGACCATATACTCCCACATTGCCCGCACATGTGTGTGTTATCATCCCACTTCATTTAGTTTTCCCAGAACACAACTTCTGTTTAATTACAGATCTGGATATCTGCAGATCTGGTGTGGCAAAAATGACCTCTATGATGATCAAGAATGGAGGGTTGTCAGTATTTACGAACAAAACACCAAAGTAAACTTCAGTCTGACGTTTTTTAGGCTTCGATGTGCCTCATCAGTTTTGCATTTTTGATCCCCACACCCCTGGTGTTTTGCATCCTGGTTGTCCACAGAAGCTCTTTTAACTTCCTGTGGCTGTTGAGCTTTCTGTGCCAACCCCTGAAATTTCCTCTTAAAGTGCGTTTCTCTAAACTCACTCCAAGTTTTGACACCAAACCAGCAGCTTGTGGATTGTTGAGCTGCTTCAACACACTGTTGTTGTTCCTGCCCTGAGGAAGTGGGCTGTTGTTTCTAATGATGTCAAGCCAAACACCTTATTATAGGAGCAATTCTGGTCTTTCTGAGCTTGGGCTCCACTTTTGCACGTTACTAGGGTTTGAGTGACTAATAGTACAAAATACAAGAACGGCTCTGGTGAATTTCTTCACCCTGCAGCAATAACACGTGCTGTGGTAAAAATAAGCTGGATCGAGTTAACTTCTGTCCATGAAAGGTTCTTGTTTCAGCAGGTGACAGGCATCATGAGGATAGTTTCTGTTTGTTTTTGTGTCTGTATCACCAAAGATTCACAATCACACAGACAGGTGGAGGCATCAGCCATCCAGAGACTTAAGAGTTCATCCATGAAAGATCTGTGATTTAGTCAATGGAGTGTGTAGTGTAGGAAAACAGAACTGATGTTTTTATTTATTTATTTGTGAACACTGTTGTGTTAAAAAGTTAAGACCAGCAACAGTGTAGGAGCGTCTACTTTAAAACTAAGATGCACCACAGCCGAAATGCTTGGATTGCATGATATTCACAGTGAATACAGTGATACCTGCAGTCTACAGTGAACATATATACATTTATATGTCAGAGCTGTTTTAATGTTATAAAGTTTCCACTGTGACTGTTTGGTTCATGTCTCTCTGATGTTTAAACAGACTCTGGTCTTGGAATTCGTTTCCTTCGTTTCCCATCTGGTTTTCCAGCTTTGCCAGTGCAGACATATTTTTAGCCGTCTTTATCTCATAAACTGAGTTGCATAGCTGATTCCTTCCCCACAAACAGCCGCCCTCACTGTGTGTGCCCGTCTTTCAGTAGCTGTTTGCAGATATTTTCCTCTCATTTCTGCAACAACAAACCTTTGTCATTTTTGTGGTCATTTTTCTTTTTTGCTTTAAAAACCCTTTTTTTAAGCTCTAGATAAACTTAAAACTTAAATAGGGTGTAAATTTGCCTAATCAGTCGTTTTTATTTTGCTCACCTGCATCTTTGACAAAAATCACTGATGTTAAAAAATAATTGACATACTTCTCTGAAACCTTTGCTCCTGATCCTCCTTTACCTTCCCCACCTTTTCAAACATGCACACGCCACATATAGATGTGTGGACACGGCGCGTGTGAAAGCGTCAGCGCGTCATTACAGCAGGACGGTGGCAGATGGCTTCTGTTTCCTGCTTTAGAACGCTGCTATGAACTCTGGGGTATTGAGTCCCCTGGGAGCAGAGCGTGCTAGCTTTGGCGTGTGTGCTTAGAGATGGAGAGAGGCACGCGTATGTGTATCTTGCTATTGTGCTCCTTTTAGAAGTAATGAGCCTGCGGCCTCATGGGAAAGCAAGTCTTTCTCATTATTAATCATTAGCGTGTTGACAGCTGGAGGTGTTATTAGCAGGACTCTGCACTCTGGTTTATCAGTGGCATCATCAGCAGCGAGCGTGTCAGCCTCATCGATCAGTTTGTAGACTGCAGGTCAAACCAGGTGATCACACTGATGATCTCTCTAAACAGCTGAGCCGCCCTGACCAATCAGAGCTCATCCAGGATGTCAGAGAGCTTCACTTTAGTTTGGAGCAGTTTCTCCTGAGGTTTATCCAATTTGATTACAGCAACATATGTGCTAGACATGTTTGCAAGGATCTAACATTACAGTGATTCAATTTGTAAACATCAATCAGCTGACATTAAAGACATTAAAGTGTCCTTTCCAAATCCCACTCATTTTTCAGTGTATTTGCCTGATTCTGCATTTAAGGCCTTATCAGAGAAAATTTCAATATTGGGATAAGTGTGAGGAAACTCTACCACTAACCTGCTGAGGTTCCTACAGTGACATTAAATAAACAACAAATCAACAAATATCACACACTGCATGGTCGTCTTTGTGTGCTGTCCGTTTGCTCTGGGATAAGCCAGAGGTTTGGAGGATTTGAAAATCCTCCAAACTCTTACAGTTCTAAAGTTGTTATTAAGGAACAACCAAACAAGTGAAAGTTTTGTTAATCTCTCTACAAAGGAGCAAGGACCAAAACCAAGACTGGATGGTTCCAATCTTCAGGCCCTCATGCAGCACAGCATTAAAAAAAGACAGAACTTAGGAGTGGAAGTCACTGCATGGGCTCTAAATCATTTATTTAACAAAAGTACTGTTTGTCCTCTACATTTTGGATATTGAACTGAGTGTCTTTGGCTAGTGGTCTGACACAACTGGCTAAGATACTGCTTTTTACATTTGAATGGAAAATAATCCATCGACCCAGAATAAAAGACGATTCAATTCAAAATGTAAATTCCTCTTAGCTGCTGCTTGAGGCTTGCAGTATCATCATATAAAGATATGATTTCTCATTAAGTCCCATTTTACGTCCTACAGTAAGAAGTATATACTGTACATGGCATATTATTTAGAGCAATAAACTATTGGAATAATGAAAAAAAAATCCTGTCAAGAACCAAATCAAGTTGATTGGTTTTTAATTCTTGGTACGCTGCAGTTTTTAAACATCACATATTTTTGATCTGCATCTGTTTGGAAACGGCACTAACTGATCTGATTACTGGAACTACAGACTAATACTAGTTCTGATGAAGAAGTGAACACCCCCCGGCTTTTACAATAAAGCACTTTTTCAACCCTCATTAGACTACAGGGGCTTTTTGAACACAGGTCTGGTCTAGGGGAGATAATTTAGGAAAGTCTTCAATAACTTTGACTCTAAGTCTAATGGGGATGAACTGGGTAATCATGACGGGATTTCTGAGCTTGTCTGGTAATTTTCTAATTTTGCATAAATCAAAGTTCAACTGGAGGAGAATTAAAATGGTTGTATGGAGGACTGTTAGATTTAAATGTAGATCCAACTCAGGAATATTTTTAGTCAGAATCAGCTGATTTTCATCTTTTAGAGGGAGGAAGCTCTCTGCACATAAAAAGAATAATGATAGTATAAAATACGAGCTCAGTGTTAAATATGAGCAGCAGATTAATATCAGCTTCCTCTCATTCATTAATCGTGTCTGTTTGTCAGGTCCAGACACGCTCATTGAGCTGCCCAGATAATATCAGCTGTTAGAGACGGGGTCTCCTGAGGGAGTTGTAGTTTTTATGACCTGTCAGGACTACAGCTGTGAACACCGTCACCTCTAAAATAAAAGGATCTAACTTAACACCATGACTGTGACTACATACATGAGCATCATTCTCCTCTTTTTATCAGATTCATGAGGGTGAGTCAAAAACACCTTATCCTGATTAACTGAGATTGTGGCTCAGGTAACGGGTCACTACAGGTGTGGACTATATGTCAGGGCTCTCTGATCAAACAGCTGCAGCTTTACTTCACTGTTGCATCAGCCTGTTTGTGAAGAATCCTGTTGGTGATTTCAACTTGATCATCTCGTATATTTTAACTCCATAAGGGTTTACAGACTTTCCTTCACATGTCCTGAACAGTTTTCTCTGTCTTTCTCTCAGATCCTCCAGTCGTCCAGCAGCTGAAACGAACCGTCAAATATTTTCAAGACTACAGACAGGTGAGTGAGCCACATCACACAGTCTTATCTGACAGTGATGCAGTAAATAACACCTTTGTTCAGCATGAAGTTCACGAGTTAATTTTTGGAGACATCCAAAATAAAAGGAAGATTTGCATGAATGATTCAATCAAATAGCAGCATAAATGTGACAGCATCAGCAGTTGTTCACATCCTCAAGAGTTTCCAGTGTTTTACTTTCACTTTTTATCTTGTTTTCTCACAGGAAACAAGTCAGTTGTTTTTGTCTTTAGCACTGAGCTGCTCACTTGATCTTTCAGCAGACTTTTCCTCACATGAACATCAGTTTGATTTCAGGTTTCTGCAGCACGGACTGCAGGTTAAACTTGTTGGTTTTCCTGTTCAGTGTTCATTTTGTAGGTGATTTTATTTTAATAAGGGCCTGTCCTGTCTTCCTAGTGGGTTTTTCTGTGCAGTAAAATATGCTGGCTCCATAAATAGAGGAATATTTTCAGCGTGTATGTAAATATTCAGTTATCTGGGTTTTCCCAATCAGCTCTGACCTCTCTCAGACAAGCTGACTTCCTCCTACTCCTCACTCATTCTGTGTGTTTGCATGTTTGTCTACTCTTTTTAACGTCAGATGATCATCGAGCCAACAAGCCCAAAGCTGCTGCCCGACCCCCTGAAGGAGCCGTACTATCAGCCGCCCTACACGCTGGTGTTGGAGCTTACTGATGTCCTACTACACCCGGAGTGGTCGGTATGTCTCCTCACACGTTCTGGTCCTCAACACAAGAAGTCCCCACAAACTATAAAATGTGAAAATGATCAAATTACTGTCACTAAATCCAAAAAATGTCAGAAAGAATCCAGGGAGTGGAAATGTATCAGCTCGGAAATGTCTGGATGTCTGCACAAATATGCAGGAAGAGGTTAGATTTGGTTGGTTTCAGCTGAAGACAAGTGTTCTCCTGCTGCTGTTTGTCTCTGCTGCTCCCACTGTCACTGATCTTGGTCTTGTCCTGAGGCTAGTGAGCCTCAGATGGAGCAAAAACTTGTCCTGAACCAAACAGACAAAGATTTGTTCTTTTTTTGTCTGTTAGTTCAGGTTAAATAAACACCGCTCCACCACTTTACCCTCCTGTGTTTCCTCTTCTCCTACTTTCACTCCCACTTTGCCTCCTTTCTTCACGCCTGTTATGCTGTTATACTGCCCGTTTAGCAGTCAGAGATAATCTGGATGTACAGATTACTGTTCAGAGACACACCTGGACTGTTAACAAACAGAAGCAGGAGGACAGACAGACGGGTAACAGGTAGAAAAGAAAAGAGCTCAATCTGAGAGTTTGAGGCTTTTATGGGACAGGTGGAGGGTCTGAGGTGTGTCACACCACCTGTCCACTCCCCTTCTTGTTCCCCCCCTTTACACACACACACTCACACACTGTCAGTTCACCTACCTGACAGGTGTGCAGTAGCTGTAACCCAACACCTGCCGTCTGTTAAAAAGAAGAAACAAGTACCTCCACCTGCCTCAACACTTGAACCCTGCTTCCTGTCACTTACACACGCACCCACACACATTTTTTGATGTATCATTATCGTGTTTTACCCACTTCTTCTGTAAACACACAGTGACTCAGTTTACGGCTCTTTTGTGTTTAAAGACTTTTATACCCAAACACAGACACCGCAGGCCCTCCTTTCAACCTGCACACACACACACACACATTCACACACACACTCTCAACAGAAATGCTTCAACTGTCACCAACATTTTATTGCTCCAATCACAGCTGCAGATTATCATCAACAATGAAGGAAAACTTGTGTTTCTTTGTCTGCTCTCAACACAAACACACACACACACACACACACACACACAGGTTTGTTGACTGTGTGTGTTTAACTGGAGCAGCATCCAACACGATCTAACCTGAGTGGAAAAGGTCCTGACCTCTGAGCGTCTGACTGTGACTGAACAACGGCTGTTCATCTACTGCACTTACACACAAACACACAAACACAGACTCAGTTACCGAGCATGCTCTTGCTCAGATTTCTGAAATACCCAAGATGGTTTTAAAAATTTTAGAAACTTTTTTTTGGAACTAAAAAGTTCCTGTGGCTTATCCAAGATAGAACATGCACATCAGGTCAATGACATCCAGGACAGTTATTTTAGATAATTTGCACAGCTCTATTTTTGAGTATCTACATCCTGAGTTTGAGTTCCTCAAAAGGTTCCTGGGGAAAGTTCCTGCAGTCCCAAAGCTCCTTTTGATACCCTAAAATCATTATCTTGAGCCCCATAAACCTCAGGTGTACTAAACACTCTGAAAACCTTTGTGTCACCTAAAGACTCAGCAGTGTCTTGTATGTTGGTGCAGCTTATATTTCAGATGTTAGAGTCCTTTATCAAAGTCAGCCACACAAAGAGGAACTCAAACGTAATATTTTGCACAATAAGTGAGATAAAGCCGATTGGATCTTTTTTTTAAAACAGGGACAGCTGTTAGACCTCGCCCTTCAAAACCATGAGAATGCATTGACAGAAGTCGTCTTTTTACCCTGCAGAACATGGGAGTTGTCTACCTCAGTGATATACAAGGGATAGTGATAGTTAGGGGATCATTATGCGCAATAGATTCCTGAAAGGGTGAGACTAGAATCCAACATTGAAGCCCCACTCTGCATTATCCTGCATTTTACCCTGTTACTAATTCAAATTAAAATTCAACTTTATTTGTATGGCACTTTTCAGACAAAAAGAATGCAGCTCAAATTGCCTCACAGAGGCTAAAAAACAACAATTAACAACAATAAAACCCAAACCTTCCACCCACACACCCAACCATGGACCCACACACACAAAGACACACACCCACCTTCACTCACCCACACATATACACACAGAAGCACACACAGTGTGAGAATTTAAGATATATTGTTAGAGAGACATGGCCTGACATCAAGACATTACGTGAGGAAAGAGCTACCTTTGGAAAACACTGGAGAAAAAAAAACATTTAAAAAGGTAAAAAGAAAGACTAAAACCTACTAATCAAATCCATAAGTAAAACAATGCTAAATAAATATCACAATGCTATGAATTATGGGTAACACTGCATGCGTTTCATGCTAAGTCTGCAGAAATGTCCTCTTACAGAAAGGTTGCATAATAAATAAAGAGGACACCTCATGCACTATACAGTCAGACAGTGGTACAGCCCTCATGGACTTAGTGATCAGGACTGTTTCCCTGCTATAGGCTGAAAAGATTTAGCCATGTTTGTTTTTTCTTCTCAGTTGTCGACAGGCTGGAGATTTAAGAAACGGCCAGGAATCGATTATCTGTTCCAGCAGCTCGCTCCGCTCTACGAGATCGTCATCTTCACTGCAGAGACTGGCATGGTGAGACACACACACATGTTAGCCTGGGGTTAATTAATAATAGTTGTATTTACCACTAAATAAGGCCTTGGAGGTTTCTCTGTCATGCTGATCTTGGCCACCTGCCGCAGATCAGATCAGATTTATAATTTAATGTTTTGGTTTGGTTTGTTTTGCTTTTGTTCCTTCACTCCTATTTGCAGTTGTGGTGCACAAACTGCCTCAGGACAAATTTAAAGGATGGTTTTAATAATGCAGTAACAGGCTAAAATCATTCAGAGTGAGCCCAACCTACAGCAGAGTTTATCTAAACATCAGAGTCACTGAAAACTTGACTATCAGTTCAGTTAATGTGCAACTGCAGCCCTTTAGAGTGGGGAACAAAAGCCGGTCCACTTTACTCTCCACATAATCTTGAGTATAAGAGCTGTCCTTTGTTTTCTCGTATACCAGAGTATTTGTTATGACCAGTAATTTAAAGTGTTGGTGTTTACATGTCGTCAGTCCTCAGCCTGGTTTTTTGAGATGCTAAAACAGTCATCCACTCTGTTTGTGTGTGAAGTGTGTTGACATGTTTTCAGTCGTCTGAAGGCTGAAAGCTCAAAACAGACACACAAGCCAACACAAGCTAACACAAACACTAAACACAGTCATGAAGACAGATTATCTCCAATTAAGTCACACTTTGGCAAGAACAAGTAGAAGCTGCTAAAAAAACTGTTTTTAAAAAGAAGCAAACCCTTTAGATTCTGTTATCGATCATTTATAAATAACAGACTCTTTAAAACACAATGGATGCTCAATGACATTTCTTCACTCTGTTCCTGTGCATTTACAGACGGCGTATCCTCTGATCGACAGCATTGACCCTCAGGGTTTCGTCATGTACCGTCTGTTCAGAGATGCAACTCACTACATGGAGGGGCATCATGTGAAGGTATGAGGTGTTTGTGAACAACCCCCCCTCCTCATCTTTGTCCCTGTCCAGCTCATGATTTTCTGAATATTTGCTAAAATTTTAAATTCTTGAAAACAAGAGGAAAAATAGTCCTTCTTTTTCTTCAGTGTGGCACAATTTAGTGTTGTCATTGCAACACAAAGAGCGGGTGAGACAGGGTAGTGTGCGGTTGTTGTTCAATACATGATAATAGAAAACCAGCATTATGCGAAAGAAGATAACTTAACAGGGTTCTAAGTACGGGTCCAGTACCTCCATCAGCACACATGCGTACACTTTGAAGCAAAAAATAAAATGTTGACACTTTTTTTTGACTAGAAACTAAAATGTTGTAACTTTTTATTGACTAAAACTAGAATGTTGGAAATTTTTATTGACTAATCTTATAAAGTTAGAACTTTTTAATGACCAAAACTTAAATTTTAAAACTTTTTATTAACTAAACTTATAAAGTTATACATTTTTATTGACTGAGACTAAAATGTTGGAACTTTTTATTGACCAAAACTAAAATGTTAGAACTTTTTATTAACTCAAAATGAAATATGACAACTTTTTAAATAAAACTGAATGTTGGAAATTTTTTATTGGCTAAATTAAAATATTAGATCTTTTTATTGACTAAAACTAAAATGTTTTGTACTTTTTATTTACTAGAGCTCAATGTTGGATTTTTTTTAATTAAATAAAACCAAACGTTTGAACTTTATATTGACTTTAACTAAAATTATGGATCTTTTTCTAAATGTAAAAGCTGTCCAGACTGGCCCTGTTCTAAAACCCTCAGCATTCATCTACTTAGATGTTTGCAGTCCTTATTTGTGTGATTTATTAGCTGTTATTTAATTTAACTTAAGACTCATTTACAGATTTCCTTAATCAAACTGTGCCATGAACTCCACTTTTTTGAAGTTGTTCTGCAGTGCTCAGCAACACGCTGCTTACTCCTAACTCTCTCCACAGCGCCTCCATCCTAATTTTAATATATTTAACTTTGAGCTGCTTCTCTTGTTATAGCAGTTCCTGGACTTTAGGATTGTTTGTTTAATTATAGTGTGTTCAGAAGAGAGAAGAGGAGGAAGAGGAGCAGGACAGTTTTAGCATGAATCCTGTAAAATCACCTGTACGCAGCAACACTAGCAGGCCAAGGCTTTGCAGCACTGCTGTACCCCCCCGCCCTGCTCTACATCACTGCCTTCTGCTGCTGCCATTGATTTCTCCTCCTCCTCCACACCACAATAGACCTCCCCCTTCCTCTCCTCTGTCTCCCTCTCAGGCCTCATTAACATTCTGCCTCCTCCTTCTCTCTCTCCTCTCTCCTCTTCCTCTTATCTCACCTCCCTTCCTCTACTTCTACCCTCCCTTGCTTCCTCAATCCTGTCAGGACCCCCACCCACCCACCCACCCTTTTCTTCCTCCTCCTCCTTCCTTCTGTCTCCCTCCAACTGTCATGGCTCTTTTATTGACGAACAGTCTGGAGGTTTAAGAAGCTGGTTAACCTACTTCCCAGCAAGAAGACACACTTATGGTCTCATCTCCATAACGCCAAGACAGAGCTGAAAGCAACAGATGCTAAGAGAGAGAGTTCTGAACGCTCCATATGCTGAGGGAGAGTTATTAATGCTCCATATGTGCAGAGAAAGTACGGTACAAATTAAAAATGTAGTTTGATTAAAGCCATGGATGTCCTTTTTCTGCCCTCCATAATCCAGATACTGTCGCGTGTGCTTCAATGCACAGAGAATTAAAAAGCTTTAAGTCTGCAGCATCCTCTCAAAACAGCCTGTAAACTCAACCTTCATTTACACATTCATCACAAACTCCTTCCCTTGTGTGGAGTAAAAACATCAACTTCAGCCTGTTTAGAATTATTCAATTACACCCATGTTGACTGATTAAAAAAAGCCAAACAGAAAAGCCAAGGAGGTCATAACAGCGGGCCTTTTATTGTTACTGAGCGCTGCATTAAGAGAAAAACCACAGCAGCTTAGAGGCGCCATACAAGTACACAGAGAGACTATTTCACTGTTTATGGTTACACAACAGTCATGGTGGACAGTCAATAAAAAAAAATAATGCATTAGCTTTAGATTGAAGGTGTGCAAGAAGTGTGTTGCATTATTTAGGTCTGTGTCAGTTTTTTGATGCACAAAAACAGGTGGTACTGGTCTGAATGTTTCAGGGACTGTGATAAAAACAAAAGTGGCTGTAAAAACATTTATGCATGTTGTGTTGAGTTTTTAAAGCTATGACAGTTATACTAAACATGCTTATACCACAGTTTGTAGCTCTGTACTGAAACTTTGGGGTCTTTTTAGACTTGGTGTTAACACGTTCAGTGTGGGGATACAGTTTCTAAGCATCCTCTGTGTTAGATATTTAGAAATGTCAACAATCAACTGTTATTTACTCATTAAAACAAAAAAAATACAGAAACAATCCCGAATGTTTGTCCCGGAAGTCCTCCATTTCCCATAGCATCAACTAGGGTTTTTGCAAAGCTGCAGGTCATATTGAGACGTACAGAATCTTTTAACATGCAGCTTCTCAACATGAAGAGCAGAATCCTGCAGACGTATCATCACACAGGGCGAGGCTGAAGAGATCTGAGCAGAACATGTGTCAGTCTCATAGTGTCCTGTTTTCTCCATACGTGTTCTTGTTGAGGAAAAGAAGCGAGGATCATGGTCAGAGCATGGCGAGTGCAGTCAGGTCACAGCTGGTCAGGAGGTGCCAGTTTGCAGAAATACTGGCGTGCAGCTTTGCCAGTCTGAGAAATTTCTCTGTGTGTCCTTTAAAAAAAGGTGCTACTTGCAGAGCATCCTCACTGTGTGCAACACTGAAGGACGCTTCAAACTTCTGGTCATACCTGAACAGCTCTTGAAACAGAGGTTCGTCTATAGCACTGTAGCAGATAAACACACAGCTGCACCCACATTATTCTTTGAAAACAGCAGATTATGTGATGCATGAAAACAATACTTCTCACCGTGCTGCGTTATTGTTTTTCAAGACACTTAAGGCTTTAGATGACTGCTGGAGGAGCTCACTGCAAACCTTATTTTGAATGATCCTGAAGAAATGATCTTCAGGCAGACACACAAGAGTTAACTGAGAAAAAAACGTATTGCCTCTTAAAAGATGCCATTAATCCTGTCAAAGGTGAGGGGTGTTCTTACGGGACATTTCATAGCTCTATAAATAAATCTCACCCTGACCATCACTAAAGTGTTTTATGAGGCAAAAGCACAAGAATCAAATATTTATAATGCAGTAAAAGCATTCAGAAAAGTACGCTAAAACGTGTTATTGAAACAAAAGCCTCCTAATGTCTCATTTTTGAGTCATTAATCTTCTGAATCACTTTCCAAAGACCTTTTATTGTCTGTCAGAGAAAAGGATCAGAAACTGATTGAGTTCAACAAGTTGTCTGACGCTCATCTATCAAACATAATCCGGATGTTCTGTCTGATTCTGTTGAAAGTGTATCTCCGGTTAAGTGTCATTAATTCTCTAAACCCCGACCGTCATGCAGCTATTGTTCGCTGCCCTGCATCTGAGCGTCGGCTGCAGCCCTGAAATGGATCAGACGTCTTAAAGTGTGTCGGCTGTTGCCGGGATAAGAAACAGGACAGTTGGATTAACTGTCCTCCTTCATACTTGTGCTGAAGAGTAAGCTCGAGACCTCCATCACCGCGGTTAGGGGTCCATATCTGGTCTGTAGGGAATCAGTAGGTTTAATTTATAAAACTTTGCTTTATGATATTCAGGACGGCAGTTTATTTGGCAGAGATGTATATGAGTAACGAAATGAGTTATAGTTAAGAAGTTCTTCCTCTCTATCCCAAGAGTCCATTCGATACCTGTTTGATCTGGGTATGAATCCAGCAGGTTATATCAAACTCTATGCAACCAGCAGGTTTGTGATTTTAAAGAGATAGTTTATTATTTTTGAAGTGAGCTTTGATAAGATACATTCGAACCATGAGAGATGCCACTCAGCTCAGCCCCCTTAATGAGAAACTACTAGCAGAGACTGGACCCTTAGACCGGGTCGAGAATCTAAAGTCAACTTTAATGGAATTATTATACAGCTATGTGTGTGGACAGTTTAGCTGAAAACACACACAAACACACACACACACACTGGAGTGAGACAGATGCCTTTTATTCATTGGATGTGCAGAGGAAGAACGAATGTTTCCACTGGGGTTACACACACACACACACACACACACACACACACAGACATACATACACACACTCAGCAGTTTTGGGGGGGAGAGCTGGGCACCAGCAGCGTCCCTCTCCATCTGTCCCATACACACTCTTGACATCACCAGCTGGAGCTCACAGAGAAAGTGTGTGCGTTTTATTTCAGCATTAAGGATCATTAAGATAATAAAGTTGCTCATTTGATTAAGATTGAAAAAGGTCAGCATAATCCCTCAGATTAGATTTCAATGAACCAATGAGGTGTCTTAATTACATTTTCAGTCATTTTGGGGATTAATGTAATTATGTATGTGCGTGTGTGTGTGTGTGCGTGCGTGTGTGTGTATGTAGGATGTGTCGTGTCTGAATCGGGACACCAGTAAGGTGATCGTGGTTGACTGTAAGCGGGAGGCGTTCAGGCTTCAGCCCTTTAATGGGATGGCTCTGAAGAAATGGGATGGAAACTCAGAGGACCGGACACTTTACGACCTTGCCAACTTCCTCAAGAGTAAGACACCGCCCCGCTAAGCTCACTGGTGTTTTTATAATCACTGTGTGTTTCAAGCTAAAGGTTTACAAAGCAAGACTCTGCTCTCCTCTCTGCAGCCATCGCTCTCAGCGGGGTGGAGGACGTCCGCTCAGTGTTGGAGAACTATGCCCTAGAGGACGATCCCATCGAGGCCTTCAAACGCAGACAGGCTCAGCTGGCACAGGTGGGTGGAGAAATCAAACGCACCCCGACTGTGTTTGAGCCACTTTGAGTTGATCTGACCGATAAGGCGTTTTTCTGTGTTTCAGGAGGAGGAGCAGCGTCTGGCTGAGCTCTCCCAGCAGAAGAAACAGGGACTCTCTCTTGGCTCCATTGCCTCTCGGTTCTGGCGCAGACAGCAGTGAGCCCCGCCCCCCTCACACTTCCACCAATCGCAGCCCGGCTCTCCATCTGCGTCCAGGTGAGGGGAGGGTGCAGAGGACAGAGAAGGAGGAGGGGGGAGCGGGCCCTGCCGTCGGTCATGTCTCGCTGTGCAGGCACATTTCTCAGACTCTGCACCAATAAGAGAGGCACTTCCTGGTGTTTAGGAGGTGGGGCTTCAGCATACCCCCGTCCTGGGTAATCTTGGTGTCACCTGATGCTTCGAAGCTGCTGATTGGGTAAAAAAACAGGAGAGAGACAGAGAGAGGATCCAGTTCAGGATAGACTCTTGTCATTGGCGGTTGGAGGCTGAACTGAGATCAGCACTGCTATCGCCACTCCGGCTCTGAACGCTCGGCTACCCGCAGGATCTGACCTGAGATCAGACACGCTCTGTCCCGTCCCTCCAGAACGTTTGTTTTATTTTCTACTTCTCTGTGTGTCTCAGACTGTGCTGGTTGGCTGCTGCAGACCATCTCTAAGAAATGAATTCTGTTTCTAAAAAAATAAAAAGAAAGGATCCATAGTTTTCTGCAGAGTTTATTTAATGTGGTAAAGTGTTGGTGTGCTGGTGTAGACAGGAGATTCCCTTGGCCTGTGGTCCCGATGAGAAGAAGAGCAACAGCCGAGCCGCTCAAGGAGAGGTGAAACTTGAAAAGGCCCAACTTGTTTGGTGCAAGTGTTTTTGATGCAACATCTCAGACACGACCTCTTTTCATGATTTAACCTCAAACAAGTTTATTACAATATGGGCTTATCATCATGCATGCTGCTAGATTCACACAACTATTTTTATGCACACCGCTGAAATGCCATTCTGACATCACCGGGGCTGTCCTGGTAAAACCTCTGTGAGCTGTCAGGATAAGCTGATGTTTGAATGCAGTGTGCAATATTCAGGAGAATTAACCGTGTGCAAGCAAGGTGTGGGGATGTCCACTATAGCATTTAACTGCTGTGAAACAATAGAGCAGCATATGACAGGAAGAGCAAAAACAGCACAAGCTGGAGAAGAAGGTGTCTGCACATCTGTCATTGATATAAAAAAATATAATCACTGCTGTAGTTCTGCTGCATCAAACCTGGATTCATCTTTGGTCCTAACATAACCGTCATGCTTTAGTTTTCATCCCATCTTTAAGTCCGCCTGGTACTGCTCAAAGACTCATCAACTGTTTGCTTTAATAAACCTTTAAAGACACTCCACAAATGTCAGTTTCCTGATGAAAAGAGTCAGTATTCTATAAAACAGCTGCTCAGTGGAGTTTATCTCAGACAAACAGAAGAAATCAGGCATTAATAAAGGATTGTTCTCAACACTGGATGAATTATTTGGTGTAGCAGGACAATGTGTGTGGGTCTGAGTTGGATTTTAGCAGTGTGTGTGTCTGTTCATGGTAATAAACTTGAAAACATCAAAATCATTTCAGATGGATTTTGCAGCTTTTGTTCTCTGCAAAGTTGCTGAAGTTCAAACTCCAGATTTCTCCTCGGGACCTTCACTGTCTCTTGTGAGACGCAACAAACCTGCCGAAGAAGTGAGTCGAGTTTTAGTGAAAAAAAAGGATCTTTGATCTTTGAGGCTCAGCTGCTGCTCTTCATGTGCCTGATGATGAATTATGTTGATGTGAACTCATCGTCAACTTCTTCAATAAAGGAACAAATCAACGTCTTACTGTGTGGATTTCATTCTGTCAGATTCTCTAACTTTTTAAAAACAAGGTGACAATGCTTCACCACCAGGTTTTCTGTACATTCAACCACTTTAGCTGAAGCTTGGTATGTGATGTCATGTTTTATGGTCACGACCTGGACCCAAGTTTCCCTAACAACCAGATCTGAATGTTTGTTCACTCAAGCCATCTGCTTTAATAAATAACTCAAAGAGCCTGAAATCTACTGGAAAAAAAGAGCAAAGATGACATTGAATGCTTGAACTAAAAATTGAAGAACTTTTTACCTGTTTGGTTGTTCTTCTAAAAAAAAACTTTTTAACTGTTTGGTTTTTCCTCTTTAAGAATGTTTTACCTGTTTGTTTGGTTGTTTTTTCCTCTTTAAGAACTTTCTTTCTGATTGGTTGCTTCCTCTACTTTTTTTTCCTGTTTGGTTGTTTTTCTAAAAGAACATTTTACCTGTTTGGTTGTTCCTCAATCAGAATTGTTTAACCTGTTTAGCCATGTTTTTTTTTTTTATCACAGGACTCTAACACTGGGCTTGGGGTTGTATTTTTGGACTGCAGTTAGTTTCCCAAACACAAACCGAACTCACTAACCATTGGCTCAGCCATCTGTCTGTTAATGTTCAGAATATGACTGCAGAATGTTGCTGTTGTCTTTAAGTAGCTGTGTGTTTTTATCACTTTGATTTCATTTTCTCTACTACATACAGGAGTTCTCATTCAAACTTTAATGTATGTCTTCATCTTCCTCGTACTTTTCTGCAGATAAAGAAAAGTTTTAGTGTAAGTGGGAAACTTATTCCTGAACATGTTTACCACAAAGTGCAGAAAACCAAAAGCTGAAACCTGACCAAACCTCAGGAATCTTCCAGATTTCAGGGTTAAAGCAGAAACCCTGCTGTGCTCTGAACCTGTAAATCTGTTGTTCTTTCCTTGCCCTGCTGGACTCCTGCCTCCAGACCTCCACCCACCGTTAAACCCCGACGAGAAGAACCAAGACAATCATCACCTCTGAGAATTATGTGCGGCCTGGCATCAGGAGCAGGGAATCATGGGAAATGATGGATTTTTTTGTTGGCTCTGATAATAGAGCGGGAGCAGTTTGAGGGTTTTCCAGCTCCAGCAGCGGCTCTAGATCTGAACCAGAACATCGTAAACTTCATTAACACTTGTCCAGTTCCAGCATTATTTCTTTGAACTTTAAAGGGACATTTCACAAATTTCCAACAAAATTGGTGTCCATCCAAGTTAGTTTTGAGGAGTTTTAGACCAGTTGTTGAAACTAAAACTGGGCCCCATTATGACCCACAAAAAGAACAAGACCGTCAGCAACAAGACTGAGAATTCCTAAGGTTTCAATTTTAATAGGTAAACTCTCTTAAAGTAGGCCAAACAGTTCACCTATGTGCTGTCATACAGAGCTGAAGGTTTGAACAAGCAGCTCAAAGTCTCCTCGATCTGATCTTATTTACCCTCTGAGTGTGAAACCCTGCAGGACTGAAGCAAAGCAGCTCAGGGAGGTTACCAGCTGTGGTTCGGGAGCTTTAAGAGGGTTTAACTGAGGTAGATCTGAGCTGCAGGATTAAAACACTGCTGTTTGCACAAGTTTAAGTGCCTTCAAAATCCTGTTTTCACAGATTAGATGTTTGAAGTGGCTGACCACAGGCTGAAACTGCCAATGTGAAAGATAGGAGCCTGATTAGAGGCCGTAAAACTTTAATGCATCAGGATAAAGAGGGGAAGGAAGACTTACACAGTTCAATGTTCTCAGCTCTGCTGCGCTTCTGCTTCTGCATCTGCACTTCAGTGAAAACTTTCATCTCCAGATTATACTGGTCATGACAGCAGCCTCTGGATCTGTGATTCAAAAACATCTCACTCTTCCACTGAGGTGGAAGGTGTCTCATTGGTCAGTCAGTGATTTATGTTGCTATCAACAGCTTCTTATGAAATGGATGCAATCAAGACTTAAAATATTAACTAGTCTGCAGTGTCAGTGTCTAAACTTCAGAACAGCTATTATTTTTATCTATTACATGGCTGTTAATAATAGGTCAGCTTGACTCTGGTTCATACCTATAAAAATGGCAGTTAATTCTCAACACCACACTTGATATACTGAGGTATGAAGTTGGGCAGCAGTTTGAACTGAGTAAGTATTTAATGTAAAAATAATTGATAGTCTGTCAGGAAGCGACTGAATCGCTCCTTCATATGATGATGGATGTAAATCATGGTGTCTGTGTGCATGCACACTTCAAGGTCATGTTAATGACACCGTTTGACATCAGAGTGTGAAGTGAAAGGAGCAGGGAGGAGCTTCACACCTACCTGAAAACTGTCAGGCGTTAAAAGAAGCACCAGAAGCCCCCTCAGACCTCCTCCCTCTCTTCTCAATGGACAGACGACCTCACACGGAAAACCTTAATGAAGACCCTCTTTATAGTCTGATGTGAAGTTATCTTTAAAGGTCCTTGGAGGAATGAGCCGTTTGGTAGTCAAAGCAGATCCTCTTTATTCTGATTCTGACAGAAAATCCCACCCTGCTGACCTTTGACAGCACTAAACAGACCTCTGTATACACTTGTACTTACACATTGTAGACAAGGTGTAACAGGAATAAAAGTCCTGCCTCGAAATCCCAGTGTGTAAGCGTTTTAAGTACACCCCATGTACGCAGGGTGCCCGGGTTGTAGTCCAAGCCAAAGTTGATGGCATTTGCTGCTGTTAATAAAATGTAACCTGTTTTTTATTTGAGGAATATTGAGCTTTGATTCCACATGTCTTTTCCTCTCTGCTGTCTCTGTTCTCTGAGTCCTGGAGGTGTGACCCTGGGAACAGTGCAGCAGGCTGGAGCTTTATGAGTCCCACCATTTGCTTCTCATCAGTTCAGAGCTGCTTGGCTGGCAGATGCTAACAGCAGGTTAGCTGGGAGCAACAGACTGCCTGGACTGAAAAGTAGCACCTTCAGAATGAAGCTATTAACAGAGTTTAAACCACCCACAGCAGCGACCTCCAACACATCCACAGAGTTAGCTACTACATTTAAATCAGTTTATTTCTAAACGTTAATGTTGGAAATTTATAATTTTTTTTATTAGAAAATATAAATGCATGTTTTCAACTCCAGTTTGTAGCCTGTTGAACTTTCCAAAAAGTACTTGGTTGTTTTTGTTTGTGCCTCCTAACAGCCATTCACATTCATCTCAGTCTCTAAGCATTTAAAAAGGGGCGGGGCTGGGAGCTTTGATGATTGACAGCTTACAGGTAAAGAAAAAAAAGGTAGGCTTGTTAAAGTTTTGGTGATGGTCCAGTCTCAGCTCTCACAGTTCGGACCTCTTAAACCACACAGGACCCATTTGTCTCTCTGCAGTCTGCGCATGTCCGTTCAGGTGTCAGTTTTGACGCATGTATGAGCTCCCTGCTCACACCTCAGCAGACTTTCCCACGGCTCCGTCGTCGTCATCCCCCCTCCCTTACGGGCACTCGGCACACGCCGTGCATTCTCTCACCTTAACAAAAGCTCGTGCCGCGTCTTTCGGACCATTTGGGCACGTGTCGGGGACAAAAGGTGATGCTGGAGTGTGGGCTGGGAAGTGGAGACATGAGAAAGGATCAAACAGTGACAGAGAAACGTAAAACGTTCCAAAACTAAAACTAGAAAGAAGGTGGGTGTTTCAGTCAATTAAAGATGAGAAAGTGGGCCAACCCTTTTAAAAAAAAAATATTTAAAGGAATTTTAGCCCATTAAAAACAAAGAAAATATGTGTAATTGAACGCAGGGAGTCCATTTAAGTCATTTTAAACTCATTAAAGTCCCTCAGACCGGCAGGAAAACTTGTCTGCCTCCAAGTGATGCTGGAAAATGAACTCCTAACAGATCTCTGAAAATGAGCACGCAGGTTTACGCTGACGTGCGTGTGACGGACCGCAGTGACAGCCTCTTTGTGCCGAAAATCAAACCTCCGATAAAAAAAACCTCCGCAGGGGCACGCGCACCTGCTCTTCAAAGGGGCGCGTGGCGTGCCTGTCCTTTGTGGAATCTGACGACCTATGGGGGGGGGGGGGGGGGGGGCAGATCAATAAGCAGATGGCTCGCGATCGAATATGTGCATATTGTGGGCTGATGGCGGAGCTGCTTCCTGGTGCTCTGTACGCACGCGCCCCCTTAGCTCTCCAGGCTCTCCAGGGAGCGGACGCTGCACGTGCTGAGCAGGTATAGATTCTTCTTTATCACCTGTCCATGTGATGGACGGGCGCGTGCGTCGCATTAATGGTCGTTTAGAGAGATGAGTCAAAAACAGAAACAAGCTGCAGACTGACTCAGGGGCTGGGGGGCAGATGTGCTGCAGAGAGAATAAAAGAAAAGACTTTTTTTTTTTTTAACGAGCCTCTAAATCAGCTGATCAAGAGTAAACAAGGAGGAACAACTCTGGTTTTAACTTTTTATAAAGTGCGTGCTTTGCAAAAGATCACAATAGAAAAAGAATGAAGAGTTCTCTTTTTAAAATACCAAGCTGTTGAAAGATATGAAATTAACACAGATAGGTTCATGTGCCTTTAACTAAGACCATATCTGTGTGATATTAGTGGACCTGAAGGGCAGCTGCAGAAACCTCACAAAAAGTGCATCAATCTTTAAGACCTCACGGTGAGAAACAGATTATACTTTCCATTACTTACCAAGTATTGAAAATACTTACCATTTCAGGAAACACATGAAAATATTTAAAAAAAACTAAGCTTGAAATTTCACCACACAACGAAAGATCGCACTCAACTCTACTTAAAATGAAGAAAGAGGTATGAAAAATTGGCCTAATTCATCAGAGATGCAAAAGTATCAACCTAATTACAATTTTTTTTTACTGAAACGCACAAAGATTTTAATGAAACACGTGATTGAAACATAAAAGAATTCAAATGCACAAACATTTCACAAATTGCAACAAAAAAAAATAAATTTACAGATGTTTTTGCATGCATGCAATATGTTGTATACTTATTAAGGTTTGTTTGTTTAAATTGGTTTTCAGTTTTCTGTCATAAAATGTTTCTGCAGTTGGCTTTCAGTGCCAGCGTACCAGCGTCTTTCACTTTTCTTCAAATATGGTGAAGTTTTTGGTTTCATAAATCACAAGCTGCTCTTAGCTGGTATTAATGAGAGTTTTACTGGAATTTAAATAATTCGGTGAATCTTTCATTCTTTTGCTTTAACTTTTCTTATTCTTGTCGTGAAAACAACCCTATAAACTATGTGAGTGTCTCTCCATAAGGTAAGAACGGCTCACCTGTTCATGTCTGTTTTCACATAAAGTCAACTTTAATTCATTGTTTACCTCCTTGTTTACAGCGCACGTGCTGTCCTCTATCATACTTATCTATGGGGCGCTTTTGTCTCGAGCCTCAAGAGGAGACACACATACGTCTGGGTACAAACTCGGTGACAATAGAAGGCTTGTTGTGAGTGTGTGTTTGAAGCGTGCCTCGTGCCGGGGGTGGGGTCTTAATAGGGGGGTTAAAGTCAGGGCCAGCGGAGGCACGCGCTGCCCTCATTACAATGACAATAGAGGGCGAGGTGGGTCGCGAGCGCCAAAATGAAAAGCAACAGTTCGTCAGTGAGGCGACCCCGCCCCCAACACTCACCTGGCTTACCTGTCCCCACCTCTCACCTGTTCTCTTAAGACGTTACTGAGGCTTTTACACTGGAGATGATGTGAAGGAAACGTGCAGCCTATCCCGCTACAAGTGCAGAAACATGTCAATTAGAGGCTATAATTGTTTCCAGTACCATCTGAAGTGAGTGCATGGTTACTCTTCCTCTGTGTGGACTGAAGATGAAGATATATACCTCCTCCTCCCTTCCTCCTCCTCCATTTATCTCTGCAGTCCCACTGACCTGAGTGTTTGATAATTATCTCATTCAATGAAATGAGCCTCATGTTAATGACATCAGAGAGAGCGGTTTCAAAGCCTGAAGGGGGCCATTATCATACAGCTGGGACCCCCTAACACACACTTACACACACTCACAGAAAAACATACGCATGCACACACATCCTTAAAAATGTATCTGAGGTCTCCAGATTGAAATCCTCCTCTCTGCTTCTTTCTCTGCTTCTTTGAGGACGATTAATTGTTTCAGGCATTAAACAGCCGCTCCTGTGTGTGTGTGTGTGTGTGTGTGTGTGTGTGTGTGTGTGTGTGTGTGTGTGTGTGTCAAGGAGTTAACCCCCAAGCTCCAGTGTTGAATGCATGTGCATTATTTTGTGTTTTAAAGCCTCCTGCATTGATTAATTATTCAATTATAATATTGTTTATGCTAATGAGCTTTTATGAGCATCAGCCAGTGTTTAAAAGTGCAGTGCGTAGTAATTAGAGGCATTTATCAGGGCAGAATTAGTTGTAAAGGAAAATAATATTCAAAAACATGTTCAATTGAGTGTCTTATCAGTTTGTTTTAGTTACCTGAGGATAAGTCATATCTAGGTACGAGTGGGTCCACTTTCATGGAGGCCGCCATCTTGCACCACAGTGTTTCTACAGCAGCACAGAATGGACAAACTGGTAACATAAGCGTTTTTGTATTTAGTGAGCAGCTGTGGAACATGCATCAGTTGGAAGAAGAGAGTGGGTGTTATCTTATGCCAGCTATTTGTACAGCTGGAATGTTTTGATGATAATAAAAAGGATTGTACTTACCGTCAAGGCCACTGCTCCTTCATTGACATTACTGGTTTGTTATGAATGTTTTTGTGATTGTAAGTCTAAAAATGTTGGTCATAGTTTGTGTTTAAGCAGTATGTCATTTGCCCTCACTATCTAATACAGCTGTGGTTTATCTTTACCTATGGAGCTTCACTACCCTGTTGTAAACAAACACAGATGACAGTCAGTGTGTGTGTGTGTGTGTGTGTGTGTGTGTGTGTGTGTGTGTGTGTGTGTGTGTGTGCATTGAGCACAATCAGCTATTCCCGTGTTGTTCCGGGGAAAATATCAGTTTTTGAAAGAACCTGAAGGCTTTATTTAATCTTTAAAAAGAGATGCTCTTCTATCCGGATCCTTTTAAATGCTTTTAAACACTAAAACCAACAATTTGCGCCTGTCATTTACAAAAAAGGCATTTTAATGAACTCATCGATTGGACATAAGCCTCTAAGGCTGACACAAGTGTCTGTTTTACATCTACACACCAAAAAAAAAAAAAAAGTTCAAGAGAAAAAAAAACATTTTAAGGCCTAACTATAAGTCACTTTGAGCCAAGGCTAGGTATAAATGTTTTAAAAAAACTGATTGGTCGTTTAAATGCACCACGCTTCCCCTCGGCCTATAAATCAGGCCTTTTATTCTGTTTATGAGACTTTTAATCCAAGACTGAAACATGCATGTTGTAAAAACAGTCCTGTGCTTAATTTAGGGACTCTTGCACATTTCACCCTCGTGGCCTCCTGCAGCACAGTGTGTGTTTATGAGTGTGTGTCGGTGTGTGAAAGCTCTCGTGCTGGCCGGGGGGAGGCAGTAAAAGGAGCGTTTGGTCGCTCAGGCTGCTGCTGTCGCCTGACAGTTTGTTCTATTGCCCTGCTGTAATTGCCCCCTCGGTGGTGAAAGCGAATCAAAGCAGGGGCGCCCCAGTCCTCCCCCCCTTCTCTCCATCCTCCCCCTGCTTGAAAGACTGCTTGGTACTCCACACTGTAAGAAATGTCCCCCAGTTCACTCCTGATGATTTTACAGTACGCACATTGACGCAATTTTAGCCCCAAAGTTGCAGAGATCAAATTTGTGCGTGTACACTTATTCTATTGCAGAAATGAAACATCAAACCGCACAATGATGATGTTAATCTGTGTGCAGATTCCTGGCTCGTGTCTGTGCAGCTCTGGAAATTAATAGGTACCTGAGAGCCGAAACCAAACATGTGCAGTAAATCTGAACTCTTTTGTCTCCCTGTCAGCGCTGACGGGAATCTGCTGCACATGACTGAGAACAATCCGAGCTGCTCTTTCTGATGTCACTCCAGTTTGACAGGAAGCTTGGCTGCTCGGAGTTTAAACGGCGGAGGGACTCAGAGACAGGTTTCGTTTTGGGTCTCAGCGCCCATAGCAGAAGAGGAGGAGGACTCGTTCTGCAGGTAGACACTTTTTGCAGCGCACCCCTCCTCACACTCTTCCCCCCCCCCCCCCCCCCCCCCCTCCGCTCATCAACGGTATAAATGGAGGTGTAACCGCGTCTACCATAGTCCAAAGTTCAGCAGGAGAGTGGGTAACGCACTCATTAGTTTCTTTTTTCTCCACGCAGTCTGCACACACTAAAACACCCTCTGACTGCTCCTCCGACTTTAAACCTGATCTGATTTCTTTCTGGAGCATTTTTACCCAGCATTTCCTCAGATTCTCGTTTCTCTTGGACTTGTTTTGGATTTTACGCACTAACTTACCTTCTCCGGACCTCCGGCGCTTTTCCCCCTTGGACGCTCGTGCCCACACGTCATGGCGCGGTTATTACTATCGTGTCTCCTGCTGTTTGTATCGGCGCAGACGGTGAGTACCCCCATCAGCACACTTGCAGTAAATCAGATCCTATTTTAAATTTATTTTTTATCCCAAATCTGCCTAGATTTATGTTCCGCTCTGTTTTGGGGAGGTTAAAGAAATGTGCGCTTTTACGCGCAGCGCCGAGCTCTTCTCATAGCTTACCTTTATTATTACTGAAACGAAAGTATTTCAATTTGAACATTTATGAAACATATTTATGAAAATAATACTGTATACTGTAGAGAGGGTCTGAAGTCCAGAAATTATCAGTGTCTACAGAGATAAATGAGGACTTGTATGTAAAATAATCTGCAGGGTTTGCAGCGGTTCACGGACTGTTTTATGCGCGTTTGCGTTTTTTATGCATGTTTTCTCACCAGCATATTTAATCAAATTACTTTTCGTATAGCTTATCGGTCATTTCTGTCTTTTGAACCCCTATCCCTCTACGCTATGTGATCTCCTCTCAGGCCTTCTCCTCCGGGGTCTTCGAGCTGAAGATCGACTCTTTCACCAGCTCCCGCGGCTTATGCAGCCACCAGTCCCGGGACTGTCAGATATTTTTCCGCGTGTGCTTGAAACACTCGCAGGACGTCATCGACCCGGAGCCGCCGTGCACATACGGCACCGCGCTTACAGAGATGTTCGGCGCCGACTCCAACTCCATCTCCGAGAGCGCGCCCGTCAGGGTGCCTTTCCTCTTCAAGTGGCCGGTAGGTGACAGAAATCACACCGTGTGGCTTCATAAAGTGGAATTCTCACACCCAAAGCCCTATAGTCATGCTGATGAAGAGTGTGTGACTTCTGCTTATGTATGCGTCAGTTCAAGTCGGACCACGCACTTAAGTTTGATCGCATGAATGAGTGAAAGTTCTTGACTGCTGGGCATTTACTCTGCCGTCAAAACTTTTAATTTAAGGGTAAAACTTAAACACAAGAATAAATCTAACCTGCAGCATTCACAGGAGCTGGGCGTTCATTATAGCTCATGCAGGTGAACATGGAAACACTACTAAACCATCCGATAGATCACCTGGTGATTAATCGATACCTTCACTCTTTTTCAGGGGACTTTCTCTCTGATTATCGAGGCCTACACTGCTGAGTCTTCGGGACTGGAGTCCACAGGTACATAATCACAGTGCAGTACTGCAGCCATAACGCCAGGCGGCGAAAGAGGCGCTGTCCACTCTGAAATCAAATGCAGACGATGCGTAAAGGGACCCGAGTTTGATCTAAGTATACCAACTTTGATGATGATGATCAGATGCTAAGAAGCAAAATGTAGGACAAGACAATAGCAGGTTTATTTTTTTTATCTCATATCTAACCATAAAGATAAACAATTTCATGAAGCAGCGGCTTCATATAATGAGGTGAAGTTTAAGGGACAGTTTGCTCAAACAGGTCGTGCTGACATGAAGCTAAAACACACTGATTCTGTCTCTTTGAGTTGCAGTCTGCAGATCTGTCTGCGTGAGTCCTGCTTTGTGTGGTAAATGTTGTTTTAGCTGCTAAAACTTTATCTGTTTGGCAACCCCTTTTGGTTTCAGGAGAAAAGCATCTGTAGATGGTCATTTCTCCTTATGAGCATGGAGTTTCATATGAATCTTGTATGCGCTGGGTCGCTTCAAGTCACATTCCTTGCGACTGAAAAAAAAATGCTGAGGGAAAAGTCGAATAAACTTCTGAGAAAATACTTTCACAGACTTTGTTGCAGCTGCATCATTGGTGACCCAGGTTCTGTCAAATGTCCCCATAAGGTGAATCTTGTCAGGTTATGTCTTTGTTTAGTGCCAGTAAGGCATGACTGGCACAGGCCCTGTCTCCATGTGTTTGCTGACACATGCAGTGGTGATCGTCTTCTACACAGCTATTTAATTCATAACCCCACACTTCAGAAAATATGAACCAATCAAAAGCAGGATGTCCTCTCTGTTTCCAAGAGATGAAGATGCTGCAGCTGTGCACAAAGCCAAACACCTGGTCACCTTCAGAGTAGGAGTCCAGGTCTAAGGGAAAGTTTGAGATGCTGGTTAAGTGTTTGACTGGATGTTTCAGCCCTTTTACTTTTTAACACCAAAGATTGAAAATGTGAATTTGAGACGCACTCTCATTCAGAGAAGATTATTGGAGGACACATCTTCAATTATCCTCCAAAATTTTTTTTTTATCCTTATCATCTTTTCTCTCTTTCTTTCAGGGAACCAGAACAACCTCATCAGCCGGCTTGCAATCCGCCACAAGTTGAAAGTCGGGGAAAAGTGGTCTCAGGACGTCCAGTCTGGCAACCAGAGTGAGCTTCGTTACTCTTACCATGTGGTCTGCAATGAGTTCTACCACGGTGAGGAGTGTTCAGCCTACTGCCGGCCCCGCAACGATACTTTTGGACACTACACCTGTGATAAAGAAGGGATCCGGCTCTGCCAGGAGGGCTGGAGCGGCCAGTACTGCTCTGACCGTAAGTGCTGAGCGTGAACTCAAATGAAAAATTTGTGAGTGTTTTCAATCTATTCAGGATTCATTTAGAAGGAGTTAAACAGGGAATAACAATTAAAAATATGGCAAAAATAGCAGAATGGTCCTTTAGAGCATCATCACTTCTGCACTTGAACAAAAAAGACATAAAAGGGTTCGTCTGCACCACTCAGCAGTGAGTTGATGTAAAATGCCTGTAAAGTCCTCTTTCAACAGTAGTTTGACCCTTGCCAGTCTCCTCCTCCTCCTCCTTCCTCCATTTTTATCCCAACGTTTCTTCAGATTGGGAGGGAGGAGGTGCAGGTTGTGTGGGTGTAAGGGGGTGGGGGAGTGAAGAATAGGACCCTTGGCGCTTCATTTTTTTGTCCAGCAGCCTTGAAATTGTTAAGTCAAGCAGTTGTCAACGCCATCGTTGGCTCTGGTGGCTGTGGAGGACACAAAAAGATCTTAGAGCCTCTGCCGTTTCCAGTCTGCCATCGTGTGTGTGTTTGCTCCAAGGTCTGCTCCTTTTGTTTTGAGCTCAACAATGGGCCCCCAGAGTTGGCCCCCAGTCGGCCCCCGGCCCGCCTGCTTTAACAGGGACACGCGCTGCAGCTTAATGTGCGCTGCCTTGCGTGAAAAGAGACGGCATGTGTTGCTTTTGTTGTGCAGGCCAGCTGCTTCGTTGAGTACTTAACAAGCACTTGTAGGGGAGTCGAGTGTGTGTATGTTTGTGAGTGTGTGTGTGTGTGTGTGTGTGTGTGTGTGTACGTGCGTGTGTCTTGGAGAGTGTGTTTGTGTGTGTAAGGCCCTAGGAGGGGAGGATTGTTGTTTTCTAATATAAACCTGGAACATGAAATACACACACATGCAATCATAGTAATATCCCCCCCCCCCTCCCCCTCTCTCTAACTCCCTACCCCCTTCTTGTGTCCCCCCTCCTCTGTCCCATCAGCCATCTGTACAGCAGGGTGCAGTGAGGAGCATGGCTTCTGCGAGTCTCCGGGGGAATGTGTGTGTAGGCAGGGCTGGCAGGGCGAGCGCTGCGACGAGTGCGCCCGACACCCCGGCTGCCTCCACGGGACCTGCCAGCAGCCATGGCAGTGCAACTGCAAGGAGGGGTGGGGGGGCCTGTACTGTGACCAAGGTGGGTTCAACCACAAAGAAACAGCTTCTCAGTGATTAACTTTTGAATATGCACACTACTGCATGTTTTCTGCTAGTAAAAGACCCAAAAAGAGCTTTTTAGTGTCAATGGTCCAACACCCAAGTTTGACTAAAACTTCTGTTCACATTGATGCCGACCAGTGCACCCTCCTTAACTTCCACCTTATTGAGCAGTCTGTCGTTTCCCTGTAGAAAACAGACTCCAGATGCTTCTTTGTCTGCTGAACAAATGAGCTAGGACATTATGCATTCATTAAATATTAATTTGGAGTAGAAGATTGACAAAAATGGACTTTATAGACAGTTGAGCTTTTCTGCAACAGAACAAAAGCACATAAATGAGCCATCTGATTGTATTAGACTGATCATGTTGAGTGAATTTCCTTATTGAAGATAAAAGACAGACATGTCAGTTATATAATCACGTTGAGATCATATTTGAGTTAGTTTTGATTTAAAAAATTGTTAATAGATATTTCCAAAGTGAAAAAAATTATGTCTGTTGACACTCCCTTTTTTCTTTTTTTATCCTGCCAACTTGCCAACATAATTCAAGTTGCTTCTCTCTGCTCTCAAAGCTGCCCTGCTGCACATATTTGAGTAAAACCAGCTCAAATTCAAGTCATCCAGCATTTTCAAGAGTCAAACTCAACAAAACTTCAAATCATCTGACTATTTTGAACGACAAAGTTAACACAAAACCAAAAAACAGCAGAAGACGCGTCGTCAGTGTACGAGGTAAATATTGCTAGTTTCAAATTTCCTCTGAGTGTTTTTCCAAAGAACATATGAATAATATTCACCTAAGTTTTTTTGGAGGGTCTCTGCTGTGCTCTAAAAGTACATTTTTGGTTAGCTGTGATATATTGATGATAATGTGCTTTAAAAACAGATAAAAGCATCACAGCCAAGCAGTCATCTCTGTTCACAACTTTCAGCCCTTTTCGAAAAACAAAGTGAAAGTCAAACCCTTTCGTAAGAAGAGTAAAAGAATCGTTTGCAAAACTGTAAGTAATAGTCCAATTAAAGACGTCAATATTGGAGGGTTACCTTAAGTTAATTCCTATAGTTCAACTCACCTTAAATTCACTTGGATACAATCACAAACTCATCTTTTTCAACAAAATAAAACCAACCTGAGGAGTGTGTAGAAACACAAAATAACTGCTCTACATCTTAAACAGCGCACCTGATAAAATACAATCAAATTGTTGTGGAATATTTTGCTTTGAAATAAACTTCCTTCCTGTTAAGAGGAGCAGGTATAGTGTGCCTCAGGGCTCTTTCCTAGGTCATCCTCCATTCTTCTTTTCTTTTTTTTTTTTACTTTATCATAAAATGACAGCTGGAATGATTATAATGCACTTTTGTAAACAAATAAGATCTAACGGAGGCCTAGTCAGAATAAATTTGTGCTTTAATTATGTCTCTGTCGGTCCTGACTGAAAAAACAAAAAAACCCCACCAATTTAAAGCAGTTTTATGACCAGAAAATCACCAACTTTTCCTTTGATTCTTTTTTCATTTGATTTTTTTAAAGGATACAAATAAGCTTTAAGTTAACCAGTGTCTCCATGTCATCCATGTATTACCTTGTGAGAAGTATCAGGTGATTCACCACACTTTTTGTCAGAGTACTTTGATATTTCCCAAAGATACAAGCTGAGTTCACTCTGTCTTGGATATGCTACAAAGTTTCTCAGAGAGAGCTACATGACATGTTTTAAGTCAGTCTGCAGCAGCTTGTGTTCATGCACAGACCTCTGCCAGCTGCTAAACCTCTTTCATTTTTACACTATGGTGCAAATTTGATTTTCTTTTCAGGCTTCTGCATTTGGATGTCACACTCACTAGACTCAGCAACGTTGCTTGTTTAAAAATCTTTTCTCTTAGTGAGCACCAAAGGTAGAGGCGTATTTACTAGGTCAGACAGAGGAAAACTATCAGGATGCTGATATTATGGTGATGTTAAAGGCCTAACATGGCAAAGCAACACTGAATGTACCATACAAAGCATTAATATACTGTCATTTCTTAGGTTCAGGAAGTAGTCTCTTTTCATCCCTGAGCACATTGGCCAATCAAACATTTATTTGGGACTGACTTTCAGCAGACAAATCAGGTGTGCTCTTGACTCTGTAGAGTCAAAGAAAGCTTTATGTTTTACCAGCTCAGTGACATACGCTTCATCTACCTTTGGCCTCCTAGTGAGCTGAGATAGGACAAACATTTTTTTCCCAAAAATACATAGAATTCAAAAGCAGCTTATTTGTCTAGTCATACCCATTTATAAAAAGGACAGACATTACCAACTGTAGCTCAGGTTTCCAGAAACAACGCTCTGTTGTTTCTTTTTGCTGACTCCTCTCTGATTCGGTTCATCCCCCTAACCTCACTCTTACTCAACCTTTTTCAAATCCAGACCTGAACTACTGCACCAACCACAAGCCGTGCCAGAATGATGCCTCATGCACCAACACAGGCCAGGGCAGCTACACCTGCACCTGCAAACCTGGGTTTTCAGGCAAAAACTGTGAGATAGAGACCAACGAGTGTGAAAGCAACCCCTGCAGGAATGGTGGCAGCTGTAAAGTAAGTCAATGCACCAGTGATACTCATGCTTCTAGGTTTGATTTTTTTTCTCTAAGAAAACTTAACAATAAATCAAACAGACAGAAAACAGGACCCCACCTGACCTCCTTTACACTCTTCTTTTTTCCAGGATTTGGTAAGCGATTACTCGTGCGCTTGCCCTCAGGGTTTCTATGGGAAAAACTGTGAGACCAGTGCCATGAAGTGTGCAGATGGGCCGTGCTTTAACAGAGGAACCTGCATGGAGAACATTGCTGGCGGGTACAGCTGCCTGTGTCCGCTCGGGTTCACAGGCTCCAATTGTGAGAAGAGGATCGACAGGTGCAGCAGCAACCCTTGCGCTAACGGTACGAAACATCAGTAATCTGCATTTTTGCTTTATGCTAGCAGGTTAGAACTTTTCCTGTCAGGTCAAAGTCTTAAACACAAGTTTGAGTGAGTTGATTTCAGTAGAGATCTAGGGCAGCCAAAATCGAGAGGGTAACTTCAGTTTGAAGGATCGCATAAACTAAGGTGTCAAAAAGAGGACACCGTTGTGCTGGTGTAGATTTGGTGCCCTAAATTCAGCACTTGTGTAAATGCTTTGCAAGTATCACGATTGAGTCTAAGGATTTTTATTGAGACCAGCCTGCAGTCATGTCAGCTGCTCTTGATGTTGTGCTTACTACATTAGAATGATGGTGCAAATTGAAAAAAAGAGTAAAAGTAGAGAGGTTGCATCTGAGGAATGTGATTTCAAAAGACCCCGGATCCACCTTTTCCAGGTTGGTCCTGTCAGTACTTGCTTTCAGAGTTACATTTTTACCAAACCTCAGCCAAGTCCCTGATTGGTGTTTAGAAAACTCCAGTCTGTGGGGCAAAGTGGAGTCGGCTGTTACAGCTCAGTGATAGTTGGAGACTTGCAGGCGGCATTCAACCACTTCACGTTATCAGTTTGTCTGTCATTCCTGATGAAGCAGCTCCAGATGTTGCTGCAATTTAAACAAGCAGGCTTTTAGTGTTGTGGCAGGCAGTCACATGCTCAGGAAGAACTGTGGAGATGAGGAAAGATAGTAAAGTTGTGTTTTTATGAGGTACTTCCTGGTGGTTTACCTCAGAGCCGGTTAGATCTGTGCATCGGGCTTCTACGGGAAAGGGCTGGACTGCGAGTAATGGACCAGCCTGTCATTCATCACATATTAGAAGTTACAAATCCCTTAGAACCGAAACACAACTCACTGAAACCAGTTTTATACTGTCAAACAGTGTAATTGCATGTAATCACAAAATTTCAGTAGTCATTTACGATTAATTACATTTTAATCGTATGATTATTTATTCAGTTCAGAACTGCTTCTCGGTCTATATTGACAATTTGCAGCAATTTAACAGAATGCAATTAAATGTACTTTATGATCTTGACTTTAGATTTATTACTTGTATAAATGCTGCACTGCTGCACCAGTGTGGACTGAAACCAGGACTTAAAGGGAGGAGACATCCTCAATGTTTATTCAAAGACATCCCTGTTATACTTTAAGAGATGTGTAGAAGTGTTGGTGCTGTACATGCAGTTTCAAAACGAGTCATTCTGAGACAGTTTTGATGACTCAGTGAAGTCCAGGGATCCCTGGTTAATGCAACAGTTTTGGCACTTTTCAGTCTAGTTGTGTTCTCTGAAACGGTATCACAACATTTCCACTCATTTATGGAGCGCTGCAGTTAATCTTTTTACTTCAGTTTAATCCAAAGGTCTGTCAGGGTTCGGGTCGTAATCCGCACATTCAAAAATAGTGCTCTATTGTTTTTGTGATGTGGTCAGCCTCAGTAGCTGTATTTGTTTGCCTAGCTTAGAGTTGGGAGCTGACTCCATTGATATTTCTATTTGTTAATATCATAGACTGTTGAGCTGGCGGTGTTGATTTTTTTCCATATGCCAAGAGGTGCATAAAGGCACTCAGTCTACAGGAAATACACCCACTACTATCGGACCGTAATGACGTGACATAAAGTTTCAGATTTTGGTAAATAGTTATTGACTGTGAGTTATCTGTGGTTTGTTTGGACCAGGACTCACAGCTATAATCTGCAGATAGATCTCAAAGCAAAGTAAAAAATAACTGGCATCAGTCCAGCTTTTTTCTGATTTCTCGGCATAAAATTATTTACAGAGCACATTCATCATGAAGGCAGGGTGACAGGTTTTGAAAGGTGTTGAAAACCTACATGGCGCATCTGGATCCACCTGCTGCATGTTGTTTAAAAGTAGTCAGATAGTGGCAAACTTTTTTTCACAGTTGCTCAAGCATAGCAGCAGCATAGTTTGATTTCTTCACACGGCCCTGCTGTTATAAAAGCACCCTGATGCCCTCAGTGTTGTTCTGCAAATCTATCTGACATGTTGTCATTTACCATGCTTGTATGCTACAATTCATCTGGTGTGATTCAAAATTATTTGGGCAAAACAGGTCAGAATTATGACAAAATCATGCTGCAAACCTGTCAAAGGGAAAGATCTGTAGGTTTAGGGTCTATTTCTTAAAACACCACTTCATTTCAGTGGTCCAAATCAGTGGTTTTTAAACCTAGTAATAATTTTTTACACTAAATCAGACGGTTTTGTCCTTGTGAATTGATGATGATTGATCAATTATCATGATTAATTTCCTCCCCCAGAATATTTGTCCTTGTCTTAAGGGTTTACTTCAAGGTTTACATGATTTTCTTTTATTCCTAAGTGAAACGTTATCAGGCTCACTGAGCGAGGACCGTTTGTACAATACAGATGCAAAACTGTATGTCATCTGCATCAAGAGGGACCTGTTAATATTGTACAAATGAGGAGTGGCCTGAGATGTGAGCCCTGTGGAACACTACAGTTCATATTGAAAAGGCAGGAACAGAGGCTGATCTAACTGTTGTTTGAGTGGGAAAATTTCCATCTTGGTATCCAAAGATCTGAGATACTTTTAAAATAGTTTTGCCTCACACGGGTTTGTATGACTTAAACAAGAACCCCTACCATTTCTGAAACTAATACTGGCTAAGCTAAATTTGAGAATGAAAACACAGGGCCCTCAACTTCAAAACTAACATTCCCAGAAAGGATTTGCCAATTTTACATGAATGTCAGTGTTTTTGTCTTTCCGTGAAAGGGTTTGATATACATCCAAAGCAGTATAGCTGGAGACAGGGCGTGTCCTCTTTGATATTCCCTCATATTATCATCTGACTGAATGTTACCCACCTGCAAGCATTTCCACATATTCAAAACCTGGAAAAAGAATGACCAGTAATAGGAAAGTATTCAAGCATTAGAAAGTTTTCTTGATCACAAAGGCACCTCCAGCATTTCCATTGTTAACTTTTACGAAGCACAAGAGTTAAAGTCAGGTCCAAGTTCTGGTGGTGCACTGGCCACCAAAGTCTTCAGAGGAGTCTGCGATACTCAGATACTCAAACTGCAATTGGCTTGGTCTTGCTGTTTTTTTATCAGTAGAACTTGGAGGCTGATATGCAGAAACAAAAACACTCAGAATGGGACTTAAGCCAAGAAGGAAGTGTGAATATCCTGCGAGTTACTGGGAAGTCGTTTGTTATTTTGACTGTGTAGAGACATTTCTCTGTGCTGGAAAAGAGGCAGGGAGGATCTGCATTTTAACTCCTGCATATATAACATCAGGTGTGGTTCTGGGAGCTGCATACAGCAAACATACAGAGTATAAAAACGCTTAAAACCATCAAAAAGTAGCTTTATGGGACAAAGAAGTGTCTCTTTGACACAAGTGGGCTCCAGCCGAGGCTAAGATCGTTTCTCCACTGACTTAACATCCAGACGTCCAGTGACTAGCATCCTTCATCTGGCTGAAATGCAAGGTTTGAATGATAATGAACTAAAAATAAACAGTGATGTGACTCGTAAAAGTAAGAGGCATTAGTTGGCTTCAGATTTGTAGAATGGTGGAGGATGAATTCAACCTATAAGGGACATTCAAGACCTATTAAGAAGTGAAACTTCTCAGATCAAGAGTTAAAATTTTAACGAATAAATATAGAGCGATGAAGACAGGATATTTGTGTTTCGTACTTCATGTTATAGAGTAAGTGTGTGTGTGTGTGTGTGTGTGTGTGTGTGCGTGTGTGTGTGTGTGTCAGAGGGCAGATCGTCTCCTGGATTGTCACGTAGGAGCCTCTGAGCACGCCTTATCACCATCAGTCTGGCAGCAAAAATATTTCTCTCATTGTTGTCATCGTAAACAAGTTTGTTTTTGGCCGTAAACCTCTCAGCCTCTCTCCGTCTCTTCTTTATTGTTCTCGTATCGTCGTGTTTGGCACAGGTTCATCTGAGGGGGCTTTTTCAGCACTGGTCTGAGGTTGAAACTCTAAAAACTTGAGTTTCGTTTCCTTGTCTCTTTAGAGCTCCAAGGAAAAGTTTTACAAGGGGATCTCGCCCGTAAATGTTTCTGTCCTCAATATTATAGCACATTAGAGTTGTTTCTTGCTGATCGTGTTCTGGTTTTATCACTTTCGAACATTTCTCTTTCAAAACCATTAGCTTAAAGGTCAATCCTGCCTCATAGGCATCCATTACTTTCATTTATCCACATAAATCTCCTCGCAAAGACTTGGAAGTTGCCATGGAGCAATGATCAGTCACAGTCAGGGCTTTGCTGAGTTTATTATGTCAAAAATCATCTGTCCAGGATGTTTTAATTTTGGCTCTGAGGGGTTATTGCTGGTGAAAACTGTGACAGAACAAATGAAAGCTGCCCTGCTGCCAGGCTGTCTGGTCTTCAGATCTTCTGCTGAACTGTGATGGATTAGCAGTCTGTAACATGTTCCTGTGAGTTGACTTCCACAGCCAGGAGGTCAGGAAAACAGTTACCAAATATCGGATGAGAAATCATAAAGAAACCTGCAGCACACATATGATGCAGAATTTGTTGAAGTGTAGAGAAATCGCATGATTTCTCCTCTGATTTGAGAAAGCACAGACGGGAATAAGGATGTTTCATGTTGGCTGACATTTTCTCAGGCTGAATCACCAGCAGACATTTTTTTTCACCGTGAGCAGACAATAATCAGGATCAGACGGCTCCACCGACAGAACTGGCATCACAAAAATAAACTTTATCTCAGAACTTTACAATAAACTGTCAGTTATCATAGACCTGCTGAGTAGAGCTGTCTCAAAGGGACCTGGTGTAGCCTACAGTCCTCCCTCAGGTCCTCATTAGCGTGTCAGAACCCCTGTCTGCTTATCTCCAATCTGCAGTCATTCCTGCCTCTCAGTGAGCCTGACGGTCTGACTGAAAAAAGACCCCCAGAGCTGCTGTCTGGGTTGTTATTGCGCCACTCTGTTTGCAGTGTTGCAACACAGCAGCTGCAGAAGACAGCCAAATATGGAGCTGATCCTGGAGTCTGATCCTGCAGCACACAAACTGAGCTTCAATGCATTAATCTAAATCTGCTCCACTGGTCCAGTTGAAACTCTTCCAGGAATTTGGAGAAGAGCGGGTCTCCTTCTTTCTTCTGTCAGTAAATCTGTTGGCCATGTTTTATCAGTTCCCAAAATTTGATTGTTTCCAGATCTAGAAGCTATTAATAATTTAGAGGTAACAATCATAGTCACTGAGTTCGTAAGGGTGAGCTGGCGTTTTTCCCCTACTCAAGATTTTCTGTTTTCATTGTGCAGTGGAAAACATGTCCTCAGGATTATCTTAATCATATACACATTTCTCTTCCGGTGAACAAAGATCTGTCATACAGAAAAATAACAGCCTTCCCTCTCAACTCCCTCCCTTTCCCTCCTTTGCAGCCTGATGTCATCCTCTCATTGAAACATACCTTCCTTTTTTTAGAGGCTATTTTGGCGTTAAAACATTTAATGATTTTTAATTCTTCTTCTTTTTTGCAATCTACAGTCACTCTACCTTCTTTTAACCAGAGATAATTAACTTCTTTTCTGTTTTGATGCATCGAAAAGCTTCACTCAGCTCTCAGATTTCATGTTTTCAGGATGGGAAACAGATTTGTGCAGCAGTTGATTTAATTATAAGAAACTTTGAACAGACATTTTGGATATTTTGGACTCTCATGCTGTTTATTGATTTTTTTCATGCTCATGAAGTCACTCTAGTGTCCCCCAGGGCTTTCTCACTCTACAGTTATGCCAATAGGTGCCTCCGAAACCTTTGTGAAAGTGCATTTGTTCCTTCTGTTGATACGTGTCTTTGATTGTCAATAGTCTTTTTGACAAGCTTCCTGATAAACAGTGCAACATCTTTATATCTGACCAGCAAAGCAACCAAAATCTCAATCACACACCAGTAATTCATCATAGCCAGACATATATTTGTCTTTTTCTTCTGGAACGTCCTTGAGGCTTTTTCTCTTGAACTTATAACAGCTATAGGAAACAATGTTCCTTTCAAAGCTGACCCTGTAACATGTCAGCAGCACATTACCTGCAGCCATCTGGTTTCTCTTACTCTCTATAAGGGACGTGTAAAGCCACTTAGATTCAGCCTTTGAGGCGAATCCCAGGGCACTGAAGTCCAAAAACCAAACCAAAAACATGATTTTCTTCTGGCCATTTTTTTTTAAACAGGTCATTGTATTTGGTCAGTGCTGCTCTGTAACTGAAGATTTGAGTTTTTCATGTGTCTCAATCTGACAGATTCATAGCAAAGCAGAGAAGTTTGGCTCTTTGTTTCATGAGGAGGTATTTTTCTCCTCTCACCTGTTTTCTTGCAGCCAGGTGTTCAATTTTCTGTCTTGGTTTTTTAATTCAAATGTTTCTGTCTCTTCCCTCTGCAGGCGCTCAGTGTCAGGACCATGGAAAGCGTGTCACATGCCGTTGTCGGCCAGGCTTCACCGGTGCTCGCTGTGAGACCAACATTGACGACTGCGCCGGCAACCCCTGCCGCAATGCTGGCACCTGCATCGATGGCATCAATGATTTCAGCTGCTCGTGCACACTCGGCTTCACCAGTAAGGACTGCTCTGTGCGCACCAGCCCCTGCAACCAGTTCCCCTGTGAAAATGGCGGCACGTGCTACACTCATTTCACTGGTCCTGTGTGCCAGTGTCCGACGGGCTTCATGGGCGCTCGCTGTGAGTACCCCATCACGAACCCCATCACGAAGGCGACAACCAAGCCGCCAGTGACAGCTGACTCCTCTCCAGCGCTAATTGCTGCGATTGCCTTCGGCCTGGTGACGCTGTGTCTTCTGACATGTGCCGCCATCCACATTCTGCGCCAGCTCCGGCGAGGCAGGGCGCTGGCCCTTTCCACATCTGTGAAAAATGACCTGGAGACGGTGAATAACCGCAACGCAGTGATTGGTGGGGGTGGTCCTAATAATGGCAGCTTACCAGGAGGACCGCTGAGCAGCCTGAGGGAGAAGGAGGCCTTCCTCATCCCTGGAGGACATCTGAAAATGTCCAATAAGGATGCAGCTTTGGTGGACAAGTGCGACGACAACATGAGCATGTTTAAAAACAAAATGGCGGACTGTAATCTGGCAAAGGAGGAACAGCGATTAGCCAAGAACAAGTTAGACCCGTAAGTCCCTGATGATGGTTTGAATGCTCTTGTACACTTTCAGTCCTTGTTGTTACCGTGGTACCAACCGTCCCCTTCTCTCTCTCTTTCCCTAACAGTAAGATGTGTGACTCCACCATCATCACGCCTCCTCTCAGTTTCACTAAGGACAGTTTGTATCACCCGGTGTTCATCATCCCAGAGCAGGTGGAGCAATGTGTGTTTGCTACTGAGGTGAGGACACATCGACACTCCCACATATACAGATATTTATGTCTTTACCTGCTCAGTGAGAGACGAAGCCCATCAGTCTTTTCATTTTTTTTCAAACAGGTGTTTACATACAGAGCAGCGATTTTTAGGGGCAATTATATAATAGTGGCGCTGTTTTGTAACTAGACCAGTGCATCAAAAGATGCCAAATTTCCTGCAGAGAAATTGAGTGAAAAGGAGAATGTTTTTTGAGCGCTAGTGTCTGTACCCCAGACCTGGGATGATATTAAAAGGTTTAGTCAGTGATGTATCAACCAAGCAAAACAGTTCCCAGCTGTAATAAAAATATAAAAGCAGCCCCTCAGTTTAGTGTTAATCTGATCATCGTTTTCCCTATATCCCTATAATCCTATAATCCTAAAGCAAGGAATAAACGTGAACACAGAAGTGAACCTCAATCTCTGTCTTTATCAAGCATGGTCAGATTAATATGTGAATGATGACACCTCACATCTTCTCAAACATGCAGGAAGTATCAAATGTTTATTTTTGAAATAACATCATTTGTCTTAAAAATATGTAAATACAGTTTCATGGCAAGTTTATTTATAGAGCATCAATAATACATTAGAAAAACAATAACAAAATAAACAGCTTAAAAGAGATGTTATAAACAGTACACATAAGTTTTAAATTTTAAATGTATTACAATGTAGGATCAAAAAAGGGAGAAACAAAAATCAAAATAGTCCATAATACATTGGGTTTGTTAGTCGCAGTGAATGATTACTGTTATGTAATATTTATGTTGTCAGGTCTTTGCATAGAGACTACTGTGTCTTACTGTCCCTCTAGACACAGATTGACAGACTGATCTCGACCAATTAGAACAATCTCTGCACATTAATAAACCCCAGATTCACTGGTTGTTCCATCTGTGTCAACTAACGGCTAATAAATTGTCTCAGACTTCCAAATATAAACATTGTTTATGAAACTCTGAAACTTTATATAAACACCTAAATAATTAGAGAGAGGAATTTCTGAAGCTCAGCGTTGACTCAAACTTTCATCTTTAATCATTTGGATAATTAACATTTTACCCTCACTGTGAAAACCCAACCAAACCCTCCCAGGACGTATTCAAACCCTGTGGTTTTCACATAATCAAAAACTGCCTGGGATTTTACCACAAGCGTTCTAAACACTTCCATCTGTTAAAAGTTAGCAAGTCTTCTGACAGACATAAAAAGATGGAGATGAACAGCTGATTAATACAAACAATTAAAATTATGAAATATGTAGAAAGCTCATGATATACTAAATACCACCCCAGTCTGACTTTTAAACTTTGAGTTTTTTATTCAGTCTTGTTGCTGTGGATAATTTTTTATCATGTAAATTTGAATTTTCTTCTCAAATCAAAAACATTATCAGTAAGTTGCCCTTTCTTCTCCTTCAGGTTTAATTTTAATTAATTAATTTTGCAGTGTGTAATTTTAGCCAAATAACCAATATAAAGTTTTTGATTTTCTTGGCATTCAAAAATGTTAAAAAATTAAGCTTGCAAAAAAAAAAACAGTGATACTGCTATTTTGTGATCATTTAGAGTCTTATACGTCGGTGATTATTTTTTTGTACTCCTTTTAAACTGACATAAGTAAGGGAACTGCATATTAAAAACATTTAACTACACAAACAGCAAACCTACAGATACTAACGCCTCAGTAATACAAATCATTTATTAATTATTGGCTACACTTTTAATAATATAAAATCAGTAACAGATAGAAGGATTTATCAGTTTTAAAAAATGCCACTATAGATTAATTTAAGTAACTGATTGGTGATTGTACTTTGAGATCAATTCCACATAATTAAAGCTATTAAAACTAAGTGAAATGGTGCTGTAGTTTCATTTTTATCACTGATGGTTTATTGGCTCTATGTTGGAAAAAGGCTGGCTTAAAAAAAAGACTTTTATTCTGTAATTAAGTCATAAACAGGAACATTGCAAAGAAACACTCTGCCCATATGCCGATGACTAACTGCTGTATCTTTGTCTGTGTTTCAGGTATAACCTTCAGTTTTCAGACCCCCAGCTGAGAAACTTTTTCTGCTGAAAGCCTGAAACACGTCCATCCAGGACCCAGAGGATCTAATCTACACATCTTATCTTATTTAATATTTATATCTGCTGCTCAGTGAGAGGAAACAAAAAAGACTCCCTTTTTATTCTCACCTGCTTTGGTATTGACACTGTTTGGATGATTTTGAACGACAGAGCTACGGAGGAGGAGCGGAAAGAAGAAGACTGAATGTCTGGCATTATTTGCACTATTTATCTTTTTTATACTTTAAATCTTAATATAATTTTTCTGTCTGTGTATCTGGATTTTATTTGCATCAAACGTGAACTAGAGGACATAAAGAGTCACAACTGTCCACCAATCAGAAACACTGGTGCCTTTAGCAATGCTCCAATCACTATGGCAATGACTGAAAAGTTTCACAATCAGCTGGAAGAGAGACCTGTTTGCAGGAATGTTTTGTTTTAGGTTCATATGATTGAAATCACAGACAGCGGAGCAGTTTGCGGACGGCTTTCTGGAAGTAATGTATCACGTTGTGGCCTGTAAGATGAACATCAGCAGCTTTACAATCACATCCAGTCCTTATAAATATCAGAAGTGCCTCTCCGTTCAACAGGATTTCAATCAAGGACACTGATTTGGGTGTCAGGAAGGTATTTTTCATCTGAATCTTGCCTTAAAGAACCCAAAAAAAGTCCCCTAATCCGTTGGATCTGGGCCTTTGTCTTCTGACGGTGTTTAAAAATCTGTCTGATGAGATCAAGTCCTTGACCTGATCCTGATGCCCAATCCTAACTTTTTCATACCTTAATCTTATCCTGGTCTGAAGAGGTTTCAGGTGAATCAGGAGTTAAAACCTGAATGACCAATCAGCTGTTTTCTTTATGTACTCCTCATGAACAGATCCCCTACCTTAAACAATATTACAGAAACTTTACTGGCTGGTTGAATCCAACCAATCAGATTTTTGTTTTCGTTCCTGATTTTGCTTCTTCATAAAGTGTATTTCTCTCTCTATTCTAACTTTGCTGCCTTTTCAAACCTCTATCTTTCACAGTGAGTACACAGGACAACAGTAAAAACACGCACTGCTGTTCGGCAACATTCCCCAAACTCCTCACAGTCACAGCTGCAGGTGTTTGATAATTTTGACACCAGTGAAGAAGTACTCACACAAACTTTCTGTTTTATTTTTTTTCCCATTTGATACCAAAAATATGTGTTGTTCCTGTGTAGTCATGTCTTTGTGCTATCTTTGTTAATTTAAGAAAACAATGCAATGTGTACATAAACTCCAGAAGATAGTTTTCCTATTTAAATTTTGCCCTTTGTAAATAATTTTGTATTTATGAAAGAGAATTGTATATATGTCTATGTTTATGTGCCTAATGTGTCAGTCAGAATCAAGAAATATATATTTTTTCAGAAATAAATTAGAAAATAACATCATTGTCACTGAGTTGCTTCACATTTCTTCTTTACTAAAGCTGCTTGTAGACAGTCTTTAAGAGCGCCCAAGTGTTTATTTCTGTGTCAGGATATATTATTCCAGATAATTATGGGGTTTTAGCTAAGAATCTGATTCTTCAGACTTTTATATCAAAGATATCAAATGGTGGTTTAGTATCCAAAGTCAAAGGCTCTCCTGAACCAACAGATGAGACTTGGATGTCCACACTTCTGTTACTCTCTTATTAATATGCCAATATTTAGTAGCATGACTACATTACAGATCATGAGTTATTTCAGTTTTTTTTAAGCATTTTATATGCAAGAAAAACACTTATACAGCCAAGTTTATATTAGCATCAGCCACTTTCCACTTTAGAGCTTTGGGCATTTTCACCTTTATTGGATAGAGAATAAAGGGGAATATGGGGTGCAGAGAGCAGTGATAGGCATTCAGCAAAGAGCTATGGCTGCTGCAATGGGGATTATTACCTCTAAACCTAAGGCATTAGACTGCCAGGCCATCAGCGACCCAGGATTTACTTTAAAAACAAACATAGACATGATGAGAAAGAAAACACTTTTGCACAAGCAGCAGGTTATTTTTAGGCGAGTACTTCTGAGGTGTTGGTGTCTCCACAACAGAATACATACAATTCTGAACTGGTGCTTCACTTTTCCAGTTTAAGGGCATTTACCTCAATCCAGTTACTGTGCTCTTTTTTCAAACTTCGGTCTGGATCTTATAGATTTGGTTTCCCATTTGTGAATTTATTTGAAGTAAATTCCCAGTACAAGAGTAAGATTTCCATCTCACTCCTGGACCAAGGCTCATAATGACTCTCAGTGTTATGGTTTAAACAGTGTCCGTGTTTACATGTAAACAGGTAAATAATAACAGAACATTTCAGGGACAAGGCTTCTGAAAATTATTGGGAGTTTTCAGAGTTGCATCTGTGACAGACGCTTGAGAAAATTGACAAGCTTTGGTTTCCCTTAAACAATCAGATTATAGCATCAACAATAATACAGTCAGTCAAACAAATCTCTGAGTTTTTCTTTCTAATACCCCTTCCCTGGTCAGTGAAAGAGTAGGTGGTGATAGATAAGATATGAAAATTGTGTGTCAGATACAGAAATGTGCAAACATAATAAGGGTTGGTAAAAAGATCATAAACAGCTCCTGAATGTCTGTTAGAAATCACACAAGCTATGAGGGTGATCAGCACCTGCTGCTAATCTCTTTGGTCATGGCGCTATGTGTGTGTGTGTGTGTGTGTGTGTGTGTGTGTGTGTGTGTGTGTGTGTGTGTGTGTGTGTGTGTGTGTGTGTGTGTGTGTGTGTGTGTGTGTGTGTGTGTGTGTGTGTATTGAAAAAACAAAAAAAGACTCAAACCCTGCAGCATATCAGTGATCTGCGCAGAGTATTAATGATAACCCGGTTGGAGCCGTGCAGTTATCGGACAGAAACACACATCATGAAGCTGAAATGATCCCCTAAGGTTTAAAGCTCTTCTCTGTTAACCAAACCTGCTCTTACTGTTCTCTGTGCCTGTAGTCCAACAAATATTTATTCATTTTTTCAATAAACCTGATCAAATTTAAGAATCTTGGTCGGAAGTAATCTGAGGCAATGACCTCAGAAAAATCTGGTTCCTAATTGGCCACAATTTGTTTTATGAATGACGAAAATTTTAACATTAAATCACAAAACAACCAAAATCTTTTCACTCATGCTAGATCCTGTTAAATGTCATCATTTGAACATCACCTGACTTTACTGTAGGACTTATACCAGCAGTTATGTATCCTGGCATATGGTATGGTACGGTGTGGTACAGTAGATGTATGATACAAAAGCTTGTTTTATATGGTGTTTTATACTACGATGTCATACCATATTGTACCATACCATACCATATAACTTTATGCTATAATATCATATTATGTGTATTGTTTTGTATCATATGTGTCACTATATTATACTTAAACTTATTTATCAGGTCTTGTTGTTTATCATATCATGACGTATATTTTATTATATCATGTCTTTTGTCACCCTTTGACATATATATAATTCATCATATCTGGACACATATTGAATCATGATATATAATGTTTAAAAAACATATAGTATATCATATTAGGTCATATATCAAATTTCATGTCATATCATGAAATATAAAATAAAGGATACTGTATATCATATGTATTATTCCCATTCTTTTGAATTACATGTCATGACATATCATGATATATTATTTATCATAACTTCAAACATGTTTTCATGATGTGTATTTACTAATAGATCATATATCATGAATTGTATGACATATCACGTATCATACCTTGACATATATCCCATCTTCTAGCTTGACACACTAAAACATAATATATATATAAGAGACCTTCATATATGTATATATATATCATGTTTTAGTGTGTCAAGCTAGAAGATGGGATATATGTCAAGGTATGATACGTGATATATGTCATACAATTCATATATATATATATATATATATATATATATCAGTTCATATTATATTATAACATATGACATATCGAATCATTTTACACATGGCATATAAAACATAATAATGTAATGTCTATAATACATATCAAACACTTTATTTTATATCACCTTTCATGACATATCACAATATATATCCTTTTATACTATCATATACTGTATGAAACATGTTGTACAGTTTGTATTATAGCATGTCATGTAAAATCTGTGTGTGCACTGAAATGAACCTGTTGAGTCTGATTATGTTCAGGTGTTTTTCCCTCTTCTGTCCCTTCTCCCTCATTTTCCCCCTGTCTTTCACTCTATTCAGAGTTTTGAGAAATGACTAAGTGTCTCCTTAGTCATTTCCTTAAGTAGCTGATATCGTGTTCTAACACATACACATGCACGCGCGCGCACACACACACACACACACACACACACACACACACACACACACACACACACACACACACACACACACACACACACAGTGACAGCAGGAGAGCAGAGAGACCTTCAGACTTTGACCCACCTGCTGTTCACCTTGTTGGCCCGTTCTCTATTACACATGGACACACCTGTCCCCAGGTTGAACCGTGAACTTCTTTATGTGTCACCTGGTGAAAACAGAAAACAAAGGATGCCCAGCAAGGCAAGCAAAATAAAGATCAAAGGTCATAAACTGCAAACAGACACACTGTTACCCACCCAATCCAAACCACCACACTAACACTTGAGGACTCTGGGATATACAGTATTTCCGCCTAGTGTTTGATAACTTTCTGCAGTCCCATTGACAGATTACCAAGTGCATTGCAGGGCTAATTAGGGATGGTTTATTTTATTTGTCTAGTTTTATGGATTTTTTTGTTTGTTTTTTTGACATTGAAAGCTGCTGGAAGTTGGATCTGCTGAAAAGAAAGGGGGCACATCAAGCAACAGAGGGTCCAAGGTTGGCCAAAATTAACTTCAGCATTTTTCTGACTGAAGCTGAATTCAAAGAATATAGGTCCAACCATCCAACCAGCTTCTCCATGGTTATGGTCATGTGGCCTCAACCAGGGTGAGAGAATAAAGGCTCAGTAAAGCATTGCAGGTGTTCATTTGCTGATTAAAGCTTTTTCAGGACTGAAAGACCTAAAAGAAACTAGACTTTTACACAATATTCTGATATTTTGGATGGATTTTTGTGAGCTGTAAGTGCATTCTGTTTTTGAGGAATGTGCACTCAAATACAAGTTTGTACTTTTGAAGTAATTTCTTTGGCTCCCTGTCGTCATCCAGATCAGTTCCTTTTCACAGACTGTCATTCATAGATGCTCAGATGTGGATATCTTTTGCTTCACAGCACACTGAAACATATCTGTAGCTTCTTTTTCTCTGAATATCTGGCCAACAAGACTGTCTAAACATCATTCAGCTGGCTAATGCTGAGCCATTTACAGAAATGTAGATTCATGTGTTTTGGTCCTATAAAACTGGAAACAATGAAGTGAAGTTATTAAGTCTGGTGACAAAAACTTGGGGCCTGGTCTTTGTCAGTTTTAATAAGAGCAGGCTGGAGCGAATCTGCAGACGGACCAAAACATTGTGGATGTGTTTTTTTTTACTGTATGTGTATGTGGGATTGATGAACCTTAGATCTGCACATGGACTCTGTAAACATCTTTTTCTATGACATTAATGACCGAAGATGTAAAAGGAGGTCAGGCTGGTATAAAAAAGAGTCTTAAAAGTCCTCTGGTGTGTGATCAGTATGTTCGCTGAGCTCAGATGCTGAAGCGTGGGACCTGAACCCACCAAGAGAGAGAAAGTGAAGCACACAGACAAAAACACACACCTGTCATCACTCCATCACCGTCCTGACCTCTGACCTCGTCCCCCTCCCTCTCTCACAGCTTGTTTTGGATACACACACAGTCTGTCTGCCTTAGTCTTTAATGGCAGGTACTCAGTGTGTGTGTGAGAGAGCAGGAAGAGGAAGGATAAAGACGAGCACATGAATCAAGCCTCTCCTGTCATCCTCCTCCGTCTTTTCCTCTGATGGATACTTCAGACGCAGCAGCTGGAGCTGTTATGGCCACACCAGCTTTATATATATATGTATTTATGCTGAAAATATTTAGCAAGAGCTTCTCAGCTCCTTCAGCTCCTGTCAGACGATGGATAATACTCCTCTAGGAACAATGGCTAGGTTAATAATGTGGTCAGAAGTTGAGCTGGAGCAGCTGCTGTCCACCATGAATCTTTAGTAAGTTTGATCCAAAAAAAAACAAAACTCCAAAATTAGAGAAAAAAACAAGACAGTTTTCCTCCTCTGCACAGTCTCTTTGTCTGTGTGTCTGTTAGCTCTATTTCTGGGACTCAGTCACTTCCTCTATGTATGACCTCTGACCTCTTGGGGTCACAGCAGCTGATTTTAGATGTTTGAACCTCTTAGGCTGCTCCATCACGACTCACTCTGTCCATGCTGATCACGAGGCATTTCCTCTCTGTGTTTGAGGCAAAAGTATAAACATGGAGATAATCACCAGACTGGCTCACAGTTTGCAGAATGAAGGAACCAACCCTTTTTACCAGAAATACTGTTTGCATGTGTCTCTTAACATCCACCAGACCCCATTCATTAAAGCTGTCATTTCGCCTCTTCAGCTGCTTTGATCAGTAAAGGCTCAGCATTACATCAGCTTTTTCAAGTCAAAATGTTTGTCATCTTCTAGGAAAAAAAATATATATATCTGTACCAATGTTGTCAAACTCTCAGCCTTCTTATTCAACGTTACACTACATGCAACAGAACCCTCCCGTCCCCCTCTTCCTTGACTAGATCTCTCAGCTTCTCCTCAGGATGGAAAATGATTTCTAGTGAAGCATGAACAGGAACTGTTGCTGAGAACAGGCAGCATTTGTGGTCCCTCTAACACACACCTCCTGTTCATATGACCCTGGTTTGTCTCAGCTGGACCTCAGTGCTTTAAGTCTCATAAATCTCTCTCTCTGTGTCTTAAACACACTGAGGGCCACCCAGCCTTATACAGGTCACTGCTCAGGAAGCAGAGGTTGCAGGCGTCTAAAAACACTCTTCGTCTCTTTGCATATACTTGGGCAGCCTTCGTCTCCAGAGTGTACTACCTCCACATTCTTGTTCCTGAGTTACAAACTGAGCCGTTCAGATCACTGAAATATAAGCATGTCCAATATCAATCAAATCAATCAAATTTTATTTATGTAGCGCCAATTTACAACAGTCGTCATCCCTAGGCACTTTCCAAAGAAAAAGAGCAGGTCCATACCACGCTCATTGTTTGATCAATTATCAAGAACCTTAAGATGGGACAGATTTAACCCATCTCATCTAACATGAGTGACAGTGGCAAGAAAAACTTAATTTCAACAGGCAATAGACATGTCATTTACTTTAAATGTTGTTTGATCATGTATGGTTGTTGAATCGGTGAAGGTGGCACAATGTTGTAAATACAATAATTGCAAAGCTACTCAGTGACCACTCAGGGACCATCTCACCCTGTCAGGATTCTAATCAGCAAAACTACTTTGGTGCTGCTGACCAGCCAGAGTGACGGAAACTAACTGAAGAGAAAAAAAACACTTAAAAGGTAAAGTTGTTCCAATCTCACCACCTCAGACACCATGTTTGTTTACATTCCTCAGACGTGATGTAAATAAATACAAACAAGAACATCATCCACGCCCTTTGTTTCCCACCCTCGTCCTCCTCTTCTTCCTCTGCTTTCATCCCTCTCTCCTTACATCCGTTTAGGAGCTGACCTTTGACCTCGCCCATCGTGGGAACTTCTCCAGGAGGATGAGTTGGCGTGACGACAAGGAGGACATTACCACGGCGATGATGAGTCTAACAGAAGCCCAGCACCTGTCTGACCCACCCATTCCCACACACACACACACACACACACACACACACACACACACACACACACACACACACACACACACACACACACACACACACACACACACACACACACACAGACAGATCTACAACCACATTAAATAAAAGAAATCAAATAGAAATGGTTCGTCCTTCTGTTGGAAGTTTTTATTCCATTTGTTGTTGGGAGAAAATCCTTCCCTTCTTTCATTCTCTCTCTTTACTCTCTCTTTCTCTCTCTCTCTGATTTTAAGTCTCTTCAGTTATGTGGCGATGACAAGAAAAATTTACAACCTGCAATCCATCACAGAGTGTGGGAACTGTGGAGAGAGACAGAGAAAGACAGACATGAGCATTACCTGTCTTCAGTCTGGCTGCAGAGCTGATGATGCTGCTTTCATTTTGTCTGCACTAAAATAGTAATGAAGTTTTAAATCTCCATGTAGAAAAGAAAAGGCTGAGTTTCAGCTGCAGCTTTTGCATCGGTGCAACAATTAAATCAGACCTCTGTCTCATTCTTCGGTTTAAATGATGCGCCAACTGGTTAAAGCCTCTCTCACTCTAAATTAACTTGAATTTGAATTCAACTTCCCTGGATAAATAATAATGAAATATGAAGTTGAAAATAATTTACTTCAGTCAAACATAATGCAATATTTTCCAATCATTCATTCCTGTAATAATATTTTTTTTAGAGAATTCTCAACCCCCAGCTACAGCTGTCCAAGCACAGAGCAAAGTCTGCAGTCTTTAGTTCGCAGCAGGGCAGAGAGGACATGCAGCTCAGTCTCTCTGGTGTGAAAAGTGCTCTGTGTAGGTAGAAGTGCAAAGCCTGTACCTGGTATTGATACAAATTATCTGTGATCGCTCAGTCTTTAAACGTTCTAATAAAAACCCTTACATTGGTGATAGATGTTTGCTCAGACTGTCCTCAGACAGTACAGACTCTAGCAGGTTTATATCCAGTTTATCCATGGCATCACTCTGCTTGGACTGAATAAAGTGTAATCTCTGTATAAATCGGAAGAAGTGTGGCTG